ATATGACCCGTCATTTCCACCCCTAGGTATATACCCAAGAGAACTGAAAATAGATGTTCAACCAAAATCTTGTACATAAATGTTCATAGCAGCACTATTCACAGTAGCCAGAAGGTGGAAACAATTCAAATGACCACTGACAGATGAAGGATAAACACAGTGTGGTCTATCCATGCAACGGAATAGTACTCAGCCTTCAAAAGAAATCAAGCACTGACACAGGCTGCAACATGGATGAACCTCAAACATACTACGCTCAGTGAACAAAGCCAGACACAAAAGATTACATATTGAAGGATCCCACTTATATGAAACGTCCAGAACAGGCAAATCCATAGAGAGAGGAAGCAGTTTAGCTGTTCCGGGGGCTGAGGGAGCCACAGCTAATAACAGGGGGTTTCCTTTCAGGGTGATGAAATGTTCTGGAATCAGCAGTCATCATTGCACAAATTTGTGAATGTACCAAATGCAACCAAACTGTACACTTTAAGACAGTTAAAATGCGCAGTTGGTGGTTACACAGAGAAAGATCTGGCAGGAACACAGCCCAGCAGAGACTCCCATGGGGAGGGGTGGGAGGTGACAATAAAACGAGACTTTGGCCTTATTTGTAATGTTTAGTGCTTTGCAAGGGGGGTCATCCTTGCAGTTCTTGTGTTATCAAAAAGTAATTCTAAACATAGGGCGCCAAGTGTTGAGGCCACATGGAGGGGGTGTTGTGGGTGCCGCCCATTCCCAGCTGCCCAGGCCAGGCCCGTAGCTGCTCCCCTCCCTGCCAGCCACCATTGGTCCAGGCTGGCACACAGCCCACTGCCACCAGGAAGCTCCCTCCCCCAGCCGTCTCATCAGGAGCCTATCTGCAGGGCGGGTGGGGACAGGGGCCCCGGACATCACAGAAGGCAGCCCAGCCCCTGCAGAGCCCCCCACACAGGGCCATATTAATAGGTGACCCATTTATCTAGGGGCCGGGGCTGCAGTGCTGGCCTGGCCTGGCCGCTGCCCACACCCCCATGTATCAGTCCAGTGACACAAACAGCAGGCGGGACGGCCGGCTTCCAAAGGTGCTTTGCAGATGCCTTTGAAGCCTTATCTCCCAGCCCTGCCAGCACCCCGATAAAAGCCCAGGAGCTGCCTCGCCCCGCTGGCATTCTGCTCCAGCTGTCCGGGAAGCAGGCTGGGGGCCCGGTGGGCTGGGCTCTGGGAGCTGCCCCGATGCTCTGCAGCCCCCGGCAGGGGCCGCCCCGCCCACTCTGGCCTCCGTCTCCAACTGAGGAACAGGGGCCGTGGAGCAGCCCTGAGCTCTGAAACCTGGCCCTGGTTTGCTGGGTGCTGACGTGAGGGTCTGTGGTGTCGTTCAGCGTGTTTACTGTGAGCCTGAGGGGCGGGGCTGTCTGTTTAGTACGTTGCATCTCCAGCACCTGCTCCGAGAGACTTCGACAAACGTGGAGCGAATGAATGAATGCATGATGCCAAAATATAATCTCATTCAGTCCTCACGTCTTTGTCTTTGGGTTACAGATGAGTAAACTAAGGCACGAGACCACCTGCTGTGTGCCTGATTCTGACAGCCAAGTCTCCTAAACAGGAGGGCCCACCACCGCACCCCAGCCTCTCTCCTGGGGAACCCGCTGCACCCCAGACCCTCGCCTGGGGAACCAACCACACCCCAGACCCTCCCCTGGGGTGGGGTCTGAAAGCACATAGACAGGGGATTGTTTCCCCATAATTACCTCGTGGCCTCTGCCTCTGGCTGGAGCCGGCCAGCTAACAAGGAGAATCTGGGGCCTCAGACATGAAGGGCCAGGCAAGAGGGCCGCGGAGGCTGGAGGCACAAAGGGGAGCTGCACTTGACCTTCTCTTTCCTCTCGCCTTCCGCCCACAGCTCCCAGAGCCAGGGAATCTTTGCCTGGTGTTCCTTGAAGCTGATGGCTGGGCCAGTGGTGCCACCTGTCCCCAGACCCGGCCACAGGCACAGCCTGCACCGTGGCCCACCTGCCCAGGCCTCCAGCTCCTGGCCAGCTCCGGCTCTCATGCTGGCCCCTCCAACCAGCACACCAGGAAGTGCACCCCCAGACATCACGGGAATGCCCAGCTCAGCTGTGCCATTCCACAGGGCGTTTTCTGCGTCTTTGGGTGGCTGGGACATTCGTGTCAGCTGAGGGAATCCAGGCTTCTAGGGCAGGACCTTGGTGATGGCCAGTCAGATGGCTGGGGAAACTGAGGCCCGAACCAGAGTCTCTCAGTGGATCAGAAGCAGCTGAGCTCAGGATCCAGGGCTCCCGACACCCAGTCCAATGGAGTGGGGGAGATGTGGGCTTGGAAGGGGCCATGTCACCCTCCCTGACTGCCCAGTTCCTGTTCTGACCTCATGGGCCACCCCGCCCCTGCACACACTCTCCAGCCTTGTGGCTTCACCCCCTCTGCCCCACGATGGAGTCCGACTTCATCAGTTGTGACAGATGCACCTGCCTGGTGGGGGTGTTGATAACGGGGAGGTTGTGCCTATGGAGGGCAGAGGGTAATGGGAAATCTCTGTGCCTCCCTCTAAAATTTGCTGTGAACCTAAAACTGCTCTAACAAAGCTACCAAGTTAAAAAACAACTCTATTGCGGTATAGTTTGCATAAAACAAAGCTTATGTTTTTCACGTGTACAGTTGATGAGCTTTGCCAAGTTAGAACTCCCCTGTAACAACCACCACAACCAAGATATAGAACTTGCTGTTGCGGGGCAGGCCCTGTGGCTTAAGTGGTTAAGTTCACGCGCTCTGCTGCAGGAGGCCCAGTGTTTCATTGGTTCGAATCCTGGGCACGGACATGGCACTGCTCATCAAACCACGCTGAGGCAGCGTCCCACATGCCACAACTAGAAGGACCCACAACGAAGAATATACAACTATGTACCGGGGGGCTTTGGGGAGAAAAAGGAAAAAAATAAAATCTTAAAAAAAGAGAACTTGCTGTTGCCCCAGAAAGTTTCTTCTGCCCATCTGTCCACCCCTATCCCAGACCCAGGCAACCTCTGACCTGCCTCTGGCTGTCGTGGGCCAGACAGTCCTTCCCATGTCCTGTCTGTGGAGTCGGCCAGTGTCCCCCGCTGAGCGGTGCCCTCACCCCACAGGTGAGGAGATCTCCTCCTGACCACCAAGGTGGGTGGCCCCCCATTGTTGATCCACTCACCCACCCAGGCACGGGCCAGGCGAGTGTGAAGGCAGCGCTGTGAGCATCGCGGGGTTGCTGGGCTGTGGGGCAGAGACATTTACCCTTAAGAAGCTTACAGGTTTTGTTCAATTTCTAACAGGATCCAGTCAGAGACCCTGACTGTCAGCTGACCAACACTGTGGGCACCTCCTGGGGCAGACGCTGGCCCAGCTGCTGTCACAAAGCCCACTTTACAGATGAGGCCCTGGCACAGAGAGGTTGGGTGACTGGCCCAAGGTGGCCCAGCTCTCAAGGGGCAGAGTCAGGATTCCAACCTGGCTGAGGTGGGGGGAGGGGGAGCAGGACACAGGTAGGCCAGTCCTGGCCGGTTTGAGGGTCAGCACTGCTGGGGGGAGGGTCTGACGCTGCCCCTGCTTCTGCCCTCCCATGGGACACCTGTTGACACACACATGCAAAGCCACAACAGTGCATACACGTATCTCTGACTCCCATCATGCCCACGGTACACCCAGCCACACACAACAAAAACACGCCCAATCATGGGCACACATGCAGGTGAACACACACAAGCTGAGAGGCAATCCACGGACCTGCATTCAAAGTCACACACACACACACGGTCCCCACACATCACACTGTGCCTGCCCTCGCTGCGTCCACTCCCTCACACGGTACACATGCAAACACACACCCGACAGCACACAGACTCCTCACCAAGGGCCCAGAGAGGAGGGGCCGGCAGCGGGCCTCGCGCAGGAGGCAACCACAAAGCTCTAGGGCCTGGCCGGACCTGGGGTGGCCTTGGCTGACCGCTACCCCCTCCCGAGAGCCCAGGGCCAGTCCAGCAGGGAGCAGGAAGTGCCTCCTGGGACCTCACCACCAGGGCTGCTGGCCTGGAGCCCAGGTCCTCTCCTCTGAGTCCTGAGCATTCCCTCAGGTTCCCCTGGGCGCCCTTGGGGGAGAGCCTCGTGGACTCCCCGGAGGCCCAGCGCTCCTCTGCAGAACTGAGGAAGGAGATGTGGGGAGGGGGCGTGGGGTGGGATGCTTAGGGGGTCGGGGTGAGGGGGCGTGGGGCGGTCAGGGCAGGGCAGCACAGGGTGGGGCGCGTGTGGAGGGGTCTGTGGGGCAGCTGCAGCCCTCAGAGGCCAGCTCTTTTCTGCATGAGTGCAGCCACTGTGGCCGTGCAGAGGACAGACACGGAAACCACAGCACCTGGCTCCTCCCGCACCCTCAGCAGCACCCCTAGGTCCAGCCCCCTGGGCACCCCCAGCCTCCTCTGAGACAGGGAGATGTCCGCCCACCTGGGCTGCCCCCCACCCCGCTCTACTCCAGGAGGGGCGGAGGGGGGAGTCCTGGGCAGGGTGTCTCCCAGACCCCACCTCCAACCTCAATTCTGGATTTCCGTCTACTGAGCTCTGATAGAGACAGGCCCGCACTCATGATGCCCAGTTTACAGACAGGGACCCCGAGGCCAGAAAGGTCAGCCCGTGGTGAGCCTGGACATGAGGCAGGAGGGGATGCTCTGGGCCAGGGGCCCCTGCTGCCACCTCTGCCCCAAGGTGACAAGACCAGCAGGTCTGCTCGCTCTTGCCCACGCCCTTCATGTCCCCACACCCCCGCAGCCCTCTGCCAGGTCCTTCATGTCCGAGGCCCTGGCTTCTCCTTGTTCACTGCCCAGCTCCAGCCAGAGGCACAGGCCACGAGGTAATTACGGGGGAAACAATCCCCTGTCTATGTGGGTTCAGACCCAACCCGTTTTGCCACTTTCTGTGCAATGGCAGAACCCGCTGGGCAGCTTTGGGCAGTCTCTGCCTCCTTTCTGCTCCTGGCTGGGAGAATCGAAAACCTGTCAAGCAGGTTTGGCTAAAATTGTGTCTTGTTGCCTCTGCAAGTTCACACACTGCTGGCTTCTATCTCTCTTGGGCGAGCAGGAGCGTCTGGCTCAGCACGGAGGTCGTGGAGGTCGACGCGGGTGAGGGGCCATGTGAGTACCCGGGGACCGGGCTGGGAGCCTCAGCTGTCCTCTGGAGGCTGGGGTCACTGTGGGGGTGCTTGCCATGGCAGCCAGAGGCCCAGCCCCTGCTTGCTGGGCAGGAGGAGGGGGCCGGTGGGGCCGGCGTGAGGAGTGCAGCCACCTGCTCTGGGGCTCCTGATCCGGGGCCGAGCGGGGGAGGGGGCTCAGTGGGCATTCTGGGCAGAGGGGCTGGGCGCAGAGGCAAGGCTGGGCCTGGCACCACTGCACCAGGAAGTCTGCGTCGTCTGGTGAGGATCTGGGGGCGCCAGGAATGGGCTGGTGGCCAGGCACTCCATCCTGGACCTGCCTCGATCCTCACAGGGTAGAGGGGGGCAGCCGGGGGGTGAGGAGCAGTGCACAGCGCCGCCGCCCACAGCTGGGTGCTGGGTGCTGTGGGACACTCCACTGCCCCTGGCTCAGTGTCCCCTGGGAGGCAGTGACAAACAGCTCCTGGAGGACACAGGACCTGCTCGGCCTCCCCCAGACAGGCCTCAGGGAGGCAGCCAGCAGCCAGGGAAGGTACAGCGGGCTGCAGTGGCCGCCCCGTCCTCAAGGAGTCGTGTTGCAGGGTCCACTGTTACCTGAGCCGCAATGCGACACCTCAGCCCGCCCAGCGAGCAAGCGAGCAAGCGCCTGCCTGTTCCTCTGTGCATGTGTCCACGTGGGATACACAACTATGTGTGCACATGTGAATGCGTGCACATGCATGTGCAGGTCTCCCTGAGCTGGTGCGGTGCCGTGTGCACAGCAGGGGAGCTGGCTGAGGGTGGCGTGCGTCTGGTGTTTGTGTGTTGGAGTGTGCACTAACGTGTGTTAGGATGTTGTTGGGGTACTGCTGCGTCCATATGTGAGTGTGGGCATCACACATGTGTGCACGTGTATTATAGGTCTATGTGGCTGGCGGATGTTAGCAACCTCCCTGGCAGTGACACCTCTCTAGATGCAACCGGCCACCATGAACTGGCCCAGGAGGTCCCTAGTTTCTGCCCTGGCTGTGCCCCTCGTGAGCTGGTGATCGTGGACAGATGACATCACTCTGAGCCCCAGGTTCCTCATCCATCAAGTAGGGGTCACTGTGGCCGTTCCATGGCGAGCGTGAGGCCCAGTGAGTCACTGCATGTGAGGCTCCCCTTGGGTGCCTGGCACGTGGGGCCTCACAGGCTGGCCCCTGACCACCTGTCGATAGGTCACTGGAGTACCCACCACATCCGAGGAGTCCCGACAGCCCAAGGAGGCACAGAGCCCCCTGCCTCCAGGAGCCGGGGTCAGGGCACACCGCCCACATCTACATTATGGACAGGGACACCAAGGCTCTGCCCAGCACCACAGAGGCCGCACAGAGGGGTTAGGGACACTGGGGCCCCTTCTCTGCTCCGAGCCTCAATGCCTGCATCTGTGGATGGGACAGTCAGCACCTCCTCGGAGGGCCGCGCGGGCTCCAGTCACATGTGCGCGCCAAGCCTGGGCACTCAGTAGGTGTTCCGTAAACACTCGTGCTGAGAACATTTTATGGGCTCTGATGGTGCACCTGGACCTGTGCAGGCCGGGCAGGAGGCAGGAGGCGGCGGGTCCCTTGGGGAACGGCAGGGTGAGGTGCAGGCAACCTGTCCTTGTGCAGCTTCCTCAGAGAAGCTTTGGGATCGGGGTGGTGCCCCTGCAGTTGATGCTATGCCCCTGCAAGTGCACAGGGCCTGGCGCGGTGCTTGGAGCAGAGCGGTCACATGGGAAGTAGCAGCCGCTGCTATTGTTACTGCCGTGTCGTCATTAGTGTTTAGTGGGTAGGTGGATAGACAGACAGACTGATGGCAGAGAAGGAGCAAAGTCAGGGTCAAGCTCAGAATTCCCGCGCCCGAGGGGCCTGCTGGAGCAGGGGTGGCCTCAACAAGGGAACGTGGTCAGGGGTGAGGAGCCCTACGCCCACTGCCACATGCTTAGGCACCAGAGGAGCCCAGGAGCAGAGCAAGAAGCCACACCACTGCAGTCTGCTGCTCAGCCAGATGGTGCCCAGCCCAGGCCGGAGACCACAGCTGGGGCCTGGGTGACCTCCCTGTGCATAGGGGCTGGATGGCATCTGCCCTGGGCACAGCCACCAAGACTCAGTGGACTCGAAGTGTCCACACAGTGAACAACTGTACAAAGATGCTAATATGTGCCATCACTGTTGGGAGCCGAGACCACTGCCCTAAACTTGGGTTGGGGGTTGGAGGTTCTTATCCTCCTGCAAAGGGTCTTTGTGACAAGGGGACCTGAATTTGTCCAAGAGAGGAAAGGCTCCTGTAAGCAGCACTGCTAGCCCCCTGGGGGTCTCTTGTGAGGGAGGCACTAGGAGGCGGACTGCAGGCAATGGATCTCCATCTGCAGCTAACTGAGCACTCAAGCGGCCAGGTTCTGGGCTGAGGGTGCAGCACCCAGACAGACGTCACCTGGGCATGCATTACCCAGAGATGCATTTGTGTTACCCGGACATGCGTCATCTGAATAGGCATCATGCAGACAGGCATCACCCGGACAGGTGTCACTCGGACAGATGTCACCCGGACAGGCATCATGAGGACAGGCATCACCTGGACATGTGTCACCCAAACATGCATCACCTCGACAGGCATCACCTGGACATGTGTCACCCGGACAGGCATCACCCAGTCAGGCGTCGCTTGTTACTTGGTAGCAGCCTCACAACAACCTGACATGGGGGGTGGGTAGTATTACCCCACAGATGAGGAAACTGAGGCTCAGAGAGGTGAAGCAACTTGCCCAAGGTTGCACAGAAGGTAAAGGGAAGACAGGACGAACACCGGGGCTGTGGGCTCGGACACCCATGCCTTCAGCCCTCTGCCCAGGCTGACTCCCTGCCCAGTGTGAGTGGCAGGCAGACGGTCATCGGCAGGGCTGACCCACCTGCCCTTCCCTCCCACCTGCTCCTTCCAGGGGCTCAGCTCCAGCAGAGACCTTCAGGCCTGGGCCTCCAGAGTGGGTGGGGTGGGGAGCCCCTGGGCCTGCCTGGGGCCCTAAGGAGCCAAGGGTCTCTGCTCCCGCCCCTCCCTCACAGGCACCTCAGGCCACCCTCTCCTGTGCACAGGCCCCCCCCAAGGTCCCGCAGCAGCCGCCCAGCCCCTGACCCCACAGACTTGCTCCTCCATCCCAGCCCCACTGCAGCCCCCACCTCAGCCCTGGCAGCTGTGCCCGGAAGCACCCAGGCCTGAGGACAGCCCATCCCACCTTCAGAATTCCCTGAACCCTCAGCCCCCCAGCTGCCCTCGGCACTCCTGGCAAAAGCAGACCTGGCCTCCTGGGGAGGGCAGGCCCTCTGACCCCCCGGCAGGAGGCCGTAAACCCTTTATGTCCCGGGTTCATCCCGCTTCATTCCACTCATAGCCACCAACTTCTTCCCAAAAGCCCCAGAGCTTTCAGACTTCACCCTGGGTGGGGACCTGCTTGCCTCCACCTCCCCCGCCTCCCCCAGACCCTCCCTACACTCCAGGAGGCTGGAGGCTGGGACAGGGTCTGCCCCAGGAGGCAGACTCTGTCTGCTTTGTCTTGTCCAAAAGCATTTCTGTCACCTGCTCACCCTGGGACGTCACACCATCCCCACAGCACTGTCACCCATGGGCTGGGTGGCCCCGGGCCTCCGCAGGAAACAGGGGGCTCCCTGCAGGACGCAGCCCTCCCAGTTCTGCTTCCAGTCACCCGCACGGTCCTGCCCCAGGGCCTGGATCCGTGCTGTCCCTCCTGCCCAGCAGGAGAGGGTGTCTCCTGCTGTCATCCAGGGACCCTGAGAAGAATAACCAGTCAGGGCCTGTGGGGCAGTTTGGGGCACAGAGAGGACCCTGGGGGCGGGGGTGGGGGTGGGAAGCACAGGGCCCAGCGGAGGGAGCCCCTGGCCCCTGCTAACCACAGTGACGTCATCCAGAACGGTGTCTGCCTCTCGCCGGGACCCAGAGCACTCACAGGCCTCTCCTGGGCCCACGGGCAGCCCAGCCTCCGTTGGGTGGCTCCTTTATGGGCGTCAGCCCAGCCCAAGGCCCACGGCAGGTGCTGTGGGGAGAGGAGCTACCTGTCAGGCGAGTCTGGGTGGAATTTCAGGTGCTGTGGCTCCGCCCCTCCCCAGCCCTCCTTACTGGACCGGCCAGTGGCCTGAGCCCCCAGAGGCCCCAGCTCACCCTCTCACCTCCCAGGGCCCCTGCTGCAAGATAAGGATCGGCAAAGCCAGCATAGCAGGGCCACTGGTGAGCTCATCCCTGGTCCACGCAGGGCGAGGACGCAGCATCTGCTGCTCCTGAGCGAGTTCAAAGACCAACTCCCACTTCCCACTGGGTGGCCAGGGCAGAGGACACCATCTCTCTGGGCCTCAGTTTCCCCATCTGGAGAGTGGGCTCCTTGCAGTGTGGTGCGGGCTGTCGTGAAAGTGACTGGAATTCGGCGTCTTGTCTCCAAACTGCAAGGACATCCCTCATCGGGTGAGCTTCTGCTTCCGGCTGTGAGGTGGGGGATCCTCCCAAGCCCCCTTCGTTCCCAGAGCCCTCTCACCTGACACAGAGCCAAAGCAGTCACCCCCACACCCCCGGCCAGCACTGGGGGTGTCCCGGAGCCCAAGCAGGTCTGCGAAACAAGTTTGAAGAGCCCCACCTTCTCATGGGTCCACCCTCCACCACACCCCAGCTGGCCCTGCCCACCGGCTCCCAGGGCCACCGCGGGACACAGGACCACGCTCTCCTCCAGCCAGGCCCAGTCCCACATCCAGAAGTCTCAGCTTCTCCGGTGCTCTGATGCTTGACCCCAGGTGCAAGGAGCCGGCTGAGAGCCAAGCTCCACTGTTAGTCTCCCTTTGGACAGCTCCAGCGATGTGCTTGCTCTGGCCCCTGGCTTCTCTTGGGTCACAGGGCCTGCTCCCCTCAGTCAGAGATGCCCCTCCCAGAGCCCACCACCCCACCTTCCGAGAGCTCAGAGCAGTTGCGCCTCTTCTGCGCTCACCGTGCTCGAAGCCTGCAACAGCCTGGCTCCCGCTGTGCGGCATCACACTGCAATGGCAGGAGCAGTCATTCCTCCTGCCTTGGAACACTTGGCAGCCAGCATTTGGGGGCTTCCAGGTTGATCGTTGCTGTGAACATTCCCGAGTGTGTCCTCAGGGCAACCTTTGAAATGCAAATGACACTGTCTCCCCTTCGTGAGTCCGTGCTGAGGATAAGGCAGGAGCCTCGTGTGATGGGGCCGAGGGCGGGTTTTGAGCAGAGGTATCAAGGGCCCAGAGAAATGCCTCCTGGTGGGGCAGGGTGGTGGCAGGGAGCCTGATGCAGTAGCCCAGGTGATGCACCAGCGGTCCAGTGGTGGCTTGGGCCCAGGGGCATGGTGGAGGAGGAAAGGTGAGATTCTGGCCGTATGAAAAAGCAAAGCTAAGTTGCTGCTGACGGGTCAGAGTGCGATGCCAGAGAAAAGTCGCGAGTGCCAGGAGCCCGGCTGTCTGTTTTTGGAGTCCAGCAGGCCCCGGGATCCTCGGGCTGAGGACCAGGAGAGGCCACTGCCCCCTGGCTCGGAGGTGAGACCCTGAGGGAAAGAGGATGGCTCTGGCCCCAAGTGGATGGGGACGGAACCAGTCTCTTCTGTATGAGATTCAGGGTGCAGAGCTGATGCTCAGAGCATGGGTCCCCTCATATGTACGACAGGGCTGGCAGCACCCTGGGCTGGTGATGGATGGGCTGGGCTCAGCCTCAGTAAATGCAAGCCAGAGTCAAAATGAACACACATGATTTCTCAGACCTGAGGTGGGCCAGGGACAAGGAGCTGGGGCTTCAGTACCCCCAGCACACACACATACACACAGCACACATGCACACACAGCACACACACTGTACATGCAGTGCACACAGAGCATACAGGCACACACAGTACACACACATACACACAGCACACATGCACACACAGCGCACACTGCACATGCAGTGCACACAGAGCACACATGCACACACAGCACACACACACTGCACATTCAGTGCACACACACAGAGCTGCACCACACACACAGCACACACACTTACACATAGCACACACACACTGCACATGCAGTGCACACATAGCACACACACACTGCACACATGCACATGAAGCACACACAGCACACCTGCACCACACACACAGCACACACACACTGCACATGCAGTGCACACATAGCACACTGCACACATGCACATGAAGCACACACAGCACACATGCACCACATGTACGCACAGTGCTCACACACATGCACCCAGCACGCTTATGCACGCACACATGCACACTGCCCAGCCCGAGAGAGGGCACAGCCTGACAGAGTGAATGGGAGCCCCGTGCAGAGGTCTGAGCTGTGGAGGCCAGAGCTTGGTCCAGCAGCTGGGCAGCCTCTGCTCACAGTGCCCCTCCCCTCACAGAAGGAGCTGGAAGAGACTTCCCCAGAAGGGCTCTGTGTGTTGCAACCGGCTAATGGGTTCACAGAGCGTGTAATGTGCACCCAGAGCCACTGCAGGCCAGGCCTGGCCAAGCCTCCCGACCTGCTGCCCAGCCTCCCAGGCCTGGGGCCAATCTGTGACCACAGAGGGAGGGGAAGGAAGAGGAGTGGAGGAAGGAGAGAGGGAGGAGGGGGAATGAGGGATAGGGGAAAGGGGAGGAGGCAGCCACAGCCCCATGAGCTTGCTGCTCCCAGCCCGGGACCTCTCCAGGCTGGTGGGGGCTCAGAGAGGCCTGGAAGGGTGTGAGGACGAGAGTGCCTGGGCCCCAGGCCCTGTCCCTTTAATTCTGACCTGTGTGAAGGGACCAGGGCTGCATCAGGGCGGGACCTCTGTAAGGAGGGTCCTGGAGAGAGGAGCACCGTGATGGCGATGATGGCGGGAGACTAGGTGATGACCTGGCTCTGCGAGGTGCGGGTCCCACCCTCAGCTCCGCCAGTGGGTGGGCACCATCCACCCCGAACTCTGCATCCTGCCTCTCCAGCAAGGATGGTAACAGAAGTTCCCACAAGGCGGATGGGCGGTGGGCACTGGTGGCCTCGCTGCCTGTTCATGGCTGCCACAGGGGTCTGACGCAAGGATTGAGGGGCTCTTGCCTGGCAGAGGCTGGCACCTGGCACCACGGTGAGGAAGCTGCTGCTGGGCGGAGCCCCAGCCTCATACCTGGCTCCAAGCTGGACCCTGCAGGACCCCACAGGATGCTCACAGGTGCCCAGACACGGGTGCCTTGGCCGCCACCCAAAGGAAGCAAGAGCAGCTCAGAGAGGCTAGCACTCACAGGGCACACGGCAGGCAAGGTCTATCCAGCACCCAGCTTGGGCTCTCAGCCCCACATTGTTCATTTTAGAAAACATTCTGTGGGAGGCACAGAAAAGGGCCCAGACCATGAGGGGCGACTGGGTGAGTTTCCACCGAGGCAGTGCGCGTGGTCGCCAGCTCCTGGATGGGAGAGACCCTCTGGCCTCCGGCCCCCACCATGTACCCATTCATGTACCCGGTCCTTCCCATGGGTGAATGTGCCATGGCTTACTGACCTGCCGCCATGGGTGGCCTGAGTGTCTCCAGTCTGGGGCCTCGTGAACACGCATGCCTTGTGCCGTCATGACACCAGCACCAAGCAAGAGCCGGCGCCTTTGGGGACCTGCTCTGCTGGGAGAACTGGATTAGGGAATTGAGATTGAGAGAAAATGCCCCATCCCTGCTGTCCCCCACCAAGTTCCCCTCCGGCGTGGACGTGACCCAGTGGGGGTGGCATGGGGTGGCCCAGAGGACGGGACTCTGCCCCACCATGGCGGTGGTTCTGCTCCCACACCCACGGGGACAGGCGCTCACCTCCTCTCTGGGCAGTGGCCCCTGACTGGACCCTGCAGCCTCCAGGCCCTTCCTGAGCCAGCGTGACCCTCTCCCGCCTTCCTCCTCCACAGGCTAGAAGCAGAGGGCTGGTAGAGGCCGAGGGGCTGTCCCACACCCTGAGCAGAGAGGAGCCTGGGCCGGGGCCCTGGGGAGCCATGGAGAGCTTCGTGGAGTCTCTAAACAGGCTGAGGGACATCCATGAGAACGAGGTCCTGGGTGAGTGCGGGGTCTGCACAGTCTCCATCGACGGCGGGTCTAAGGGCCTGGCCAGGCACTCCCGCAGGCTGCCTCCAATCCTGCCAAACCTGGGGACCGCCCCTTCCAGGCCCAGCAGGGGAGTCTCAACCCAGAGCCCAAAGCTGAAAGTGCCCAGGTGCCTGGCTGCAGACCAGCACCCCAGGCGTGGCCCCAGAGAGGGGTCCTCCCAAAGGGAGGCCCACGGCAGAGCAGATATACAAAGCTGGACCAGACCGCAGAAAGCCGAGGGGCTCTGGTCCAGACGGGCCCTTGCCCACGGGGGCCTCGGCATCCCCAGAAGGGAGGTCGCCCGCCTCCAGGAATGGGAACTTGTGGCTTGGGGAGCCTGTATGGAGCATTCCAGGGCACTGAGCTGAAATCCCCTTGCTTCCCCCAGGACACCCAGGCCAAGGTCGCCCCAGCCTGCACACCTGTCCCATTCCCACACTGGCGACAGGGCTGTCCCGTGCTCCTCTGCACTTCTGTGACCTTTCCCGTGTGTGTAATGAGCACTCACACACACCCTGAGGGCCCAGAGGGCCTGGGTCACCTCCCCAGCAACCCAGAGGTGGGGGCTCTTGGGATAGCAGGCCAAGATGGACCACGGTGAGGTAGCAAGGAGGGGGTCTGCTGGGCTCTCCCCCCAAGAGCCTGTTCTATTTCAACACTAGTTGCATCCCCCCCAAAAAACGCCCCTCCTGGTACTTGGCCAGGTGGCTGGTCATTGCCAGTATCAGGGTCCCTACCAACCTCCAGACAGACCCTAGAGCCAGAGACCCCAGGGGAGGGAGACACTGGGCCCGGACCAGGGGTCCCAGGCAGCCACGAGACTGGCAGAAGATGACAGCGAGCACAGACCGGGAACCCACCATGTGGGGCGGCCTCAGGGGAGTCAGTGAGGGGACCTGGGCAGGCGTGGGGGTCTGGAGAGGTCCCTGTTTGACACCCAGGGACAGGAGGTGCCCTGGGCTCTGCTGAAGGAGGGGGCAGTGTCTGGGCCTGACCCTCCCCTCGCTTCCTCGCTCCTCCAGGCCTGCAGAACAAGCTTCTGGAACTGAACTCAGAGAGGTGCCGGTGAGTCAGGCCGGGCTCTAACCCAGCAGGAAACAGATGAAAAGGACTGCGGCTCCCTAGTCACTCACTTCAGGCCCCCGCAGCCCAGGGCACTGCCACTGTCCGTGATGCAGAAGGGGAAACTGAGGCTCAGCGTGGGCAGGGCATTGGGGGCAGTTACTGGTCCACAGTCATGCCTCGAGTAGCTGCTGGAGCTGGAACTGGAAGCTCCAGGCCCACCTGAGGGCACAGGGAGCCTCACGGGGGCTGGGCAACCCATGTCCACTCCAGGACCCTCCGGGACCTGTGATCACAGACAGGAACCTCATCTGAGCCCTCAAGACCCAAGGGGTGGGCTCCCTGCGTCCCCATGTCACACACGGGGCTTCAGTTCTGTAGCGCTACAAGTGGCACCTGGACAGGACAGAAGTCCCCAAGGTGGCCACAAGCACCTGCACTTGGGCGCGCCGGGTTCAGCACTGCCCTCGGGAGGCCCCACTTTATAAGGCGGTCCCGCAGCAGGGCGCACCCAGAAGACCCAGCCCAGGACAATGCCAGGGCAGTGGGAGAGGCCACTGGGGCGCGGGCAACATGGGGCTCCCCAGGCAGAGCAGGACGCCCCCTCGACTGTTTTCCCCCACAGGGACGCCCAGAGGGTGGAGGAGCTCTGTGCCAAGAACCACCAGCTCAGGGAGCAGCAGAAGGCACTGAAGGAGAACGTGCGGGTGCTGGAGAACAGGTGAGCAGGGAGAGGGCCACCAAACAGCCCCGCTCGTGATGGGGGCAGGGGAACGGGTGAGCAGGGAGAGGGCCACCAAACAGCCCCGCTCGTGATGGGGGCAGGGGAACAGGTGAGCAGGGAGAGGGCCACCAAACAGCCCCGCTCGTGATGGGGGCAGGGGAACAGGTGAGCAGGGAGAGGGCCACCAAACAGCCCCGCTCGTGATGGGGGCAGGGGAACAGGTGAGCAGGAAGAGGGCCACCAAACAGCCCCGCTCGTGATGGGGGCAGGGGAACAGGTGAGCCAGGAGAGGGCCCCCTAACAGCCCCGCTCGTGATGGGGCGGCAGGGGGAAGCAAAGATGAGAAGGATTCCATGAAGAATGAGTTTGGGAAGCTCTGGGGTAACTAACCCAGGGAGGTTTCTTCACTGCAGGACCTCTCAGAGCCTTAAGTAAACTGCATTTTCAAGGTTCCTTCCCGAACCCAAGAAAACATGGAATGCTTAGCCGGCAGGGCAGGGGATGTGGCAGGGCTCCCACGGAACACAGATTGGGAAAGGCAGGGGACATCCTAGGAGCGAGGCGATGAGGGTCCCAGCCCCCTGTGGGCCTCCACCCGCCTCCTCAGAGTGGCCTCTTGCCCCCTGCCCTGCAGGCTGCGGGCCGGCCTGTGCGACCGCTGCATGGTCACCCAGGAGCTGGCTAGGAAGAAGCAGCAGGAGTTTGAGAACTCACTTCTCCAGAACCTGCAGCATGTCTTCATCCTCAGTGAGCCCTCCCTGGGCCCCCGGCGCCTCAGTGTCCCCTCCTGTGGAGGACCAGTGACCCCCAGAGCCTGCTCAGGCTGACATGGGGTTGCAGGGAAAGGGGAGAAGGCAATCCCGGCCTAGGCCATCTGGGGGGCAACCCCACACCCCAATTTACAGACAAATGGTACAAGGCCCCCAGCTGACCCATGCATGTCCCTACTCCCAGTCACCTGGGTGGAGGTGTCCCTGCCCTCTCAGGGCCTCAGCTCCCTCCTCTCTGTGATGAGGAGGGGTCCCGCAGAGTCCTGAGGTCCTACTGGTCCTACTAAGGAGGAGGACAAGCCCCCTTCCCTTGGGGGATGCCCAGGGACAAGCTTGGGGGGTCCCATCACTTTTCACAGCCTCAAGGCTGGCGCTGTTCACTCAATAACATCTAGTCGTCTGCTCACGCGGAGCTTCACGGGGCACCTACTGTGTGCCAGGCTGGCGCCAGTGCCCATGTCACCGCTGGGGAGGACAGGGAGGGGGCTTCCCTGGGGCTGTGTCTCCCCTCCCTGGCCCTTCGCTCATCAGTGCCTTTTGCAGCCAACGAGCTGAGCCGGCTGCAGGAGGAGAATGAGGCCTTGAAGGAGGAGGTGAAGCGGCTCCAGGGCCCTGGGTGAGTGGGGAAGGCACCAGGGGGCGGAACACCCGCGATCCCCAATACCCTGCCCTCAGCAGGCGCCCAGCACAGTCTGCAGGACACCAGGGCACACAGCGCAAGAGGGAGGGGCGAGGAACACCGTGCCGGACCCAGGCCCAGCACTGGGGTAGGGGTCCCACAGGCCGTCACCACAGAACAGAATTCCAACCTCCCATGGTCTGTAAGCACAGCCACCCTGTACACGGACAGGAGCCCCAGGGGACACCCTAGAAATGGAGCGGGTCCCCAGCACGCACTGCGGCTCCAACCTTGAGGCTCTGCTGGAGACACCTCTGTGAGAGGAGCCAGCGGGGATCTGCTCCACCCTGCACTGTGAGGTGGAGCAACTGCAGGCAGCGTCAGGAGAGCTGTCCTTCCAGGTCACCCGGACGTCTCCAGAGAGGTGGCTTGGCCCCCAGAAGGGCGCCCGGGCCTCTCTGATCATCTCTGGGGGCACTACCCTCCCTCACCCTCCCTGCCTTTGCCTCCTTTCCGGAGACAGGCCCAAATCCCAGGGCACGGAAGGCGCCTCGGATCCCCCCTCACCCCTGCGGCTCCCCTCCCTGGGCACCCAGAAGGCCGTCACTGAGAAGCCACCAGGAGGCCACAAGGAGGCCGAGGACGACCACCTAGGTCTGGGTCCATGGGGAAAAGGTGCCACAGGGGACGGGAGAAGCCAGGAGGCCCGGGCACCACAGGACGGTGGGGTCTGTGGCCGTGGGGCGGAGCTGCCCACCCCTCGGAGCGCCTCCCAACCTGTCCTGCCCACTGCTTCTCCTCCCACAGAAAAGTCTCTGGGGTACGGGACGTCTCCAGTGGCCAAAATCTCCCCGGGGGCCAACCTGCCTGAGCCACGGGCCCCAGACATGGTGAGGGCGAGGGACCCAAACCCACTCCTCTCTACCAGGCAGCTCTGGGCAGGAAGCTGGCAGCTGCCAGCCCTGCTGTGTGCCAGGCACTGCCTGCCAGCCCCACATGGCATGTGCCTGTCCTCTATGCCAGGCAGGGACCACTGAGCTCCATTCAACATGGGTGGAGGCGAGGCTCAGAGTGGGTGGGTGACCTGCCCAAGGTTGCACAGAGAGCCAGGGCAGAGGGCAGCAGCTGGCCTCACCCAGGCTGACCCATCCACTCTGTGCAGAGCCCCCAGCGCATCTCCAACCAGCTGCATGGGACCATTGCCGTGGTGCGGCCGGGGTCCCGGGCCTGCTCTGCTGACCAGGGCTCTGCCAACGAGACCCCCCCACTGCCACCTGCCAGATGTAGCCCACCCAGCCCACCTTGCCCACCTTACGAGAACAGCCTCCCCCTGGACAGGTGAGGCCCCGCCCACTGCCACCACCAGGAGGGACCTCAGCTGAGCACCCAGTCTCCAACTCTGTCCCACCTTTCGGGAAGGATTCGTGGCCCAGGGAGCCCCTCTGATTCTCCCACCAGCAGCCCCTGACCTTCCTTGGCTTCACTCTCCCGGACACCCTGCCCAGAGCAAAGTTCCCAGGTGGACATCTCCTGAATGGCCAGGACTGGGTGGAGGGACATGGGGGAAGGAGATGGGCCCCACACCAAGCCTCTCATGGTGGTGTAAGACCACTTTGGGTGTCTGAGAGGAGCGTGGGTGGGGTTGAGGTGGACACACAGTTGGGCCAGGTGGCTCAAGGTGATGGGGCAGGTAGCTGATGCCCAGAAGGGGGAGAGGCCTCACTGTGCAGGACCCTTCTCGGTGCTCCAGGTCACCTCTGATCAGGTCCACGACTACCCACACGGCTTGGCCTCCAGAGCTGGGGTCCCAGAGCCCACCCCTCTCCTCTACCCACCCTGTGACCCAGGGCTGCTCCCCTCAACTCTCTGGGCCCCGCTCCCCACAAGTGAAATGGGGCTAACAGGAAACGGGCCATGGCCACTGGGCTTCTCCTCCCCTCACAGCCTCCTGCGGGCTTCCCAGCCCTCCACCATGACCTATGAGTCCCTGAAGCGCTGCCTCCAGGCTGACCGCCTCTGCCTCCTGAACCACCACCTGTCCCTGCACCTTCGGAGGCCCCACAGCAGCCCCCAGGCCTCTGCCACAGCCCCCGGTGGACCCTGGCCCCAAGGCCTGAAGGCCGGGGAGGCAGAGGCCTGGGAGGAGCCGGCCAGCCTCCTGGGCCTGCCGGGCACCCTGGTGGATGTCAGGGACCCGCGGCTAGAGGGGGCACTGCATCTGCTCCTGGCCCAGCAGTTGCGGGCACGGGGGCGGGTGGGTGGTGCCAGGCTGAGGGGCCTGCGCACCCCAGGCAGGACACCACCTTCCCCATCAGCGGGCTCTGACTCCGAGGTCCCCCAGGGCCCTGAGGGCAAGGCAGCTGGGGCAGCCCTGCTCAGAGGGCAGCACACACAGCCCACAGCCCCGGGCAGTCCTAGGAGGAAGGACGCCATAGCCCCACAGGACTATGTCCCAGACAAGCCCCTGGACCTCTCAGAGAGGGGCCGGGGCAGGGATGCCTCCAAACCCACTGGCCAGCTGGGGTCGCTCAGCCCAACTGCCCACACGCCCAGCCCCACGCTGCCCCAGGGAGCGGAGCCACCTGTCCAGTCTGGGCCCCAGGGACTCAGCAATGGCACTAAGGAACCCAGAGCACCAGACCCAGGAGAGCACCCCACACCCTTGGTAAGGGCCCGACCCTCTTCTTGGCCTCCATGAGCCCCCACCCCAGGCCAGCATCCAGCCAGGTCCCAGGCTGCCCTCTTCCCTCTGCTCCACCAAGCCAGTTCCCAGTGACAAAGCCTGGCTGCCTGATTCACACTAGAGAGGAGTTGGCTGACCCTCCAGCTGCGGCCCCAGCCAGAGTCCCACAGACTTTGCCCCAGGCTGGGTTGGGGGGCAGGGCAGTCACCTCAAATGAACTCCAGCCACTTGCTTGCTGCCCCCAGGACCCCCCACATCCTCTCCCAGGGCCCCAGCCCAGCCTGCCCTCTTCAGGCCGGATGGGAGATGAGGCCAGAGGGAGGCTAAAACTGCCCTCCTGCCTGCAGACGCCTGATGCTGATGGCCACCCAGATAAAGGTGAGTGCCCCAGGTCACGAGAACCCAGGAAGTGGTGCCGTAGTGGGGAGGGAGGTGCAGTGGTCAACGTCAGCTGGGGGGGGACCTGTCCCAGGGTCCAGCTCAGCCCATGGGCCTCACTGGTCATACCCTGCAGACCCAGAACGGACTTGAGGGCCCAGGGTGGGCACGTTGCTGACCATAGGCAGTGAAGGGAACAGCATCCTAGCAATTAGGGCTTCAGGGCGGGTAGTGAGCTCCCCGTCACACAGCAACCAAGCCAGGAGACACCCTGCTGGTGGGGTCATTGTACCAGGCACTGGAGACACTGGACCCGGGTTCGACCCTAGGGTGGGTTACTCGGTCCCTCTGTACCTCAGTTTCCTCGTCTTCAGAGTTGTTGCCACTTGTCCTAGTGTGGCAGGCTAGAGAGGCCTGTGCTTCCGCTAGACTCCTGGGCCCCCAGCCTGACCTGCCTTGTACCCTGCGTCCCGCAGGGCTCAGCCAGGCTGAAGCACAGCGGCCAGAGGCAGACGACCAGGATAAGCCAGACACCTCAGACAGAGAGGTGGGTCCCCGGCCACATGTTCGGGTGGGGCCGTCTAGAGGGCTACCCAGGCTTGGAGGGAGGGTCCTGGCACTGACCATGTCCCTGCTCCCCGAGGTGGGCCTGAGCTCCGAGGGGGGGGCCACGCCGAGCATGCCAGAGGAAGGCCCCATGTGCTTCTGCTCCAAGGAACGCAGGCAGGGCCTGCAGCAGAAGAGGAAGCAGGCCCTGGACTCAGACCCAGCAGACCTGTGGGGCGAAGGTACAGCAGCTGGGGGCGGGGGGCACAGCACCAACACCCCACCCCACCTTTCTAGCCACTTGGAAGCGAGAAACCAGCCCCTGAACCTCTCCCAGAGCAGGCCCCCTAAGCGGAGGGCCCCAGGGTCGGGCCTGTGTGGATCCTGAGTCCACTCCCTCCTCACTGCATAGCCAGGCTGGTGCCTTCAACCTGAGCCTCAGTTTCCCCCGGAAAGGAGGGGGCGATACCAGAGCTAGTACGAGAGTCCAGTGGGACAAAGTCATGACCACGGTCTTCGTCCTCACGGAGGAGAAGGGCATCCTGGCCACAAGCAGCCCCAGGCCTGGCCGTCCTGAGCCCCACTCCTCTCCCGGGCCCACCCGGGCAGCGACTCCTGGACCCTCTCATCCACCTTCAATGAGGAGCAGCGGTAGAGGGTGCAGCCCTCTGTGTGTGTGTTGGGGGGGGGGGGGTTGTTCCCCAGGGGAATTGGGAGCTGCTCAGTGTTTGCCAAGGGTGGAGCTGTGGCTCCTCCCAACAGGGCCAGCAGAGCAGTGGACCCCAGACTGAGGGTGTCAGGATGACCTCCCACTTCCTGCTCTGGCCACACAGGCAGCTCCGCGGGGCCTCCAGATGCCCGCGAGAGCTTTCGAACGCCTGAGCTAATAATGGCTGCTGCCCTGGTGTTTGTCCAAGCAGGCTCACGATGCGGTGGGCTGGGCTGTGAGCACCACAATGTGCCATTGTTGCTGGGAAGGTGACAGCGGCCCCTGTTTGCTCTGGGGAGTGGTGGAGGCCTGCATACCTGTCTGATTGCCAGGCACTTCCTGCTGGGCACATTCAGAACCTGTCCTGGTGGGCACAGTCCGTAGGGGTGCATGGGTGTCTGCTCCCACCCTCCACCCTGAGCAGGGCCCACCCCCCGAGCCTCCCACCAGGCCAGGACAGGGGCTCCGCAGCAGGCACCCACACCCAGCAACACCCACACTGGTGATCAGTGAGCATGAGGCCCTTGCTCAGCTTGTGGCCAGCACCGCTATGTGCCAGAGAGGGTGCCCTCGGCTCAGCGCCAGGGACAGCACCCTTGTGTCTTGTGCCCCCCGGAGAAGTGCCAGGTGGCATCCAGTCGTTACTGCCTTTGGGCCTCCTGCCCCTGCCCAATGATGCATCGTCTCTGTTTCAGAGACGGGGAACTGAGATGCAGAGAGGTGAGGTAACTTGCCCAAGGTCACAGAGCTGGTACATGGGGTCAGGACTCCAAGCTGACCTGTCTGACCCAGAACCAGAGCTCGTTCTGCATCAGAGACAGACCTGGGGCCCAGTATCTTGGCAGGTCCCAGGGACCGGATGCCCCTCCCTTGTGGCCCCAGCCCAAGGCTAGTCTCCTGGGGGCACCCAGCCAGTGTCTCAGGGATTCTGAGAGCATTTCACCAGAAGTTCAGTTTATCCAGAATGTCCCAGGCCCTCTGCAAGCCAGTGAAGGAGACACTAGGGCCAGGCCACCTCCAGGGTCACACCCTGGGGGGTGGGTCCACCCTTCCACCAAGTTCCCACGGCTCACCCTCCGTCAGGCCACCACTGCTCTGCTGTCTGCTTCTGTCAGGAACAAGTGGATTCTGCCAGTGTGGGCTCTGAGTGACAACTGCCCATGCCCAGAGACTGTCCACGAGGCCCTGGGGAGTAGGGGAACCCAGTGTCACTGCAAGGGAGGATACAGAAGGCCACTGCTGTGCCTCCCAGCCTAACCTCTGTCTGCTTCCCACAGCCTCCAAGAAGCTGTCCCGAGGGAGAAGGAACCCAGGGGAGCCCCTGATGGCGGCCGAGGAGCCCAGGGGCCTGAGGGACCCAGAGGACAGCAGCCCCTCACCCAGCAACAGCAGCTGGGAGGAGACCTAGCAGGCTGTGCCCGGGGTACCACAGCCTGCCCAAATGCACTCCCCACCTGACTGCCCATGGCCAGGACAGCCCACACCACCAGCTCAGCAGCAGCCTAGCACAGGCGAGGGGACTAGGTCCTGGCCCATGTGCAGAGGGGCTGGGAAGGCCGAGAGGGGGTCTTTGTCTTGTCTTTCAAACCCCTCCATCTTAATCCACCTCAGAAATAACCCTGCCGTCCTACCCTCACCCCAACATCTGCTCCCTTGGGGAGAGTGGGGGTCCGGGAGGCATGGGAGGCAGAAATCGCTCAGGCTCCAGCCCAGCCCTCACCTCCGCTGTGCACAGGCAGCCCCTCCCAGGCTGTGCCCCCTAACTCCTACTGCCCCAGTTTCCTCTGGCATCGCAGACTCCCCGGGCCCTGCACGCCTGGCCCCCCCTTTCCTAATGGGGCATGGAGCTCCGAGAGGCAGTCTCGGGCGCCCCCTCGTGGAATCCCACACACAGGCACTGGGTGGCAAGTGCAGGGGAGGCTGGAGGGCAGTGGTGCAGTGGAGAGGGTCCCCAGGGTGCTCAGGAGACAAAGCTGTAAAGAAGGATGGCGTATGCAGTTGGCAGGGTCGGGGGTCAGCCGGGCCTCCACCTGCCTGGGCAGGTAACTCGAGAGGCTCTTGAATGCGTCCAGAGACGGGGAGGTCACTCCGTTGCAGGAGGACAGGATCAAAACCAGCCCCATTTGCAGAGTTACAGGGACCAGGGTGCCCCCGAGGAGGGACTTGGGGGGGCAACAGAACAGAAAATGAGCACCAGCACATGGGACCACACACAGAGCCCCCTCCTCACTGACACTCCTGAGTCCTCAGCCGCACGTCTGCCACTGACCAGTTAGCCATCTGCATGACCACATGGCAGCTCACCCAGAATCTACCCTCAGCACTTGGGGATATTCTGACACTTTAGGAGGGCATGTCTCAAGTGCCTCCGTGGGAGGAATGTAAACAGGTTCCTGGACCCCACCCCAGACCCACTTGAGCCTGGGAATCTGTATTTTAAGAAGCTCCCAGGGGCAATTCCCCTGGACATGAAGTTTGAGAACTGCCCCTTGCAGGGCAAAGGTAGGACATGGGGCAATGACTGGGCTGGGTGAGGCCTGGAGCAAACTGGGAGTGCAGGCCTGACTAAGGAGAGCAATGCTCCCCCGCTTGCTCACTGCAGCCTGTCTGCCTGCTGGCTCGAGGGGCCAGAGGGACTAAATTCCCAAGAGATAAGTGTAGGGGTGTGTGTGCATGTAAAACTTCCCAGCTGTTAACAGTTGCTTTGATTTTTCTGAAATCAAATAAAACAGAACCTGTGTACTGCATTCACATTGACTTGCAGGCTGAGGGTGGCTCATGGGCACCCTGGGTGGAGGAGAATCCACACAGGGCAGAGCCCAGGAGAGAGTGCAACAGGACCTGGAAGGAGACCGCGTTCCTCCCAGAGTCCCTTCAGCACCCTCAAAGCTGAACAGAGTGCCAGGTGGCAAAAGAGAATCATCTACAGGGCCAGCTCCATCACGGCACAGCAGACAAGCACGGATTTGGAGCTGAGGGGCAATTAAAGGGGTAACATCCCTCCATCACTCCATCCTCCCATTGCTCCCTTTTTATTTTCCCCATCTGACATCAGCTTAACTGTTAGCTCCCAGTTTGTCAGTCTCCCCTCACCTGTCGGGGGTCCTTCTAACAGTCACAGCTGGCCAGGACGGAGGGCCCATCGTGCCCCATGCCATGCTCAGCACTTGTAGTCCTGGTCAGACTCCTCCCTTACAGGAAACTCACGAAGCACACGGTTAGCACCCCCACTGTACAGGCAGAGAACCTGAAGCTCAGGGAGGGTAAGTAACTCACCCGAGGTCACCCAGCTGGCAGGTGGCAGAGGAGCCTGAATCTGGAGCCCACACTCTTAGCTACTCCAGTCCCAGCACCCCCACCCACCCCACCCCCAGCATCAGCGGGCACCAGGACTCCCTGAGAGGGGCCTTCAATGCGTAGTTTTCCTTCCATTTCTCAGAAATGCCACTCCCCAGGAACACCTGACGGTGCACACTCAGTCCCCATCACACACTTGGTCAAACCCCACATTCTACCCAACAGAAAACTGCCCACTTTCCCTCCCAGGTGAGGGAGAGGTTGTGAAGGCCACTTTGGAAGGGCAGAGGGAAAAGGAAAGAGGACAGACTGGGCATTGGACAGCCTACCCGTGGTGGCAAACAAAGGTTGGTAGGAGGAAACACGGCCAAGGTGGGAGATGGGTAAGGGGCCTGCACGGGGAACGGGCCATGCATGAGGGCCTAACGGACATCACAATGATGACTGTCTTCATGCCACCTGAGACCAGAAACTCTCACCCATTTCCTTGATGCACGTCGATGCCCACCTCCTCAGCTCAAAGAGGAGCTCTGCCTGCCGGCCAGGGCTGTGTCCACTTCCACCAACCCCAGCCCAGCACCTGGCACAGAAGAAACGCTGGAAAAATGTGCCATGCGTGATACACTCAGGTGCATTTACTGAGCCCTATGGGCTAACCAAACGGCAAGCACCTGGAGCCCCTTAACCTGACAATACCCTGAGGTCAAAACCACTGTCACCACCTTAAGGACAAATAAACCCAGGCAGAAAGTTGGACAGAGCAGGTGAGTGGCACAGAGGTGGCTGCAGGACCCTGCCTCCCAAGACACAGGCGGGCTCCTGGGCGCTCCAGAAGGCAGCACCTGAGCATGACACTGGCTGTGAAGTCACCCGGGTGCAGAAGAGAAAATGAGGCCCACACACCACCAGGCTCAAGGTCACTTTGCTGCTGAGGGAAGTGCAAGACTCTGCCTGGGGCTGAAGGCCCGGACCGCCCCCAACAGCAGACAGGTGCCTGCTCCCCTCAGACCCTCCGTCCCTCCTTCAGTCAATGAGGGAGACCAGGTGGCACCGCTGGCCATGCCGGGGAGCCGTGGGGCTCTCGGGGGGCAGGCACTAGACGGCAGCCGGCCCAGCTTCAGCCCCTGCACCAACCCCCCCACAGACACACCCCCCCGAGAGGGAAGCAGGCTCCACCGAGGCTGAGCACGAACGCCGCAGCCCAGCAAGGGGAACAAGGCGCCGGCACCCCGCGGCTGCGGCTTCCGAGGCAGGGACTCGAACCACGGCGCCGCCATCGCCCGCCCCAGGCCGGGCCTCGCGGGGCGCCCCAGTGGGCGGGAGGGCGGGCGGGCGGCCGGCCAAGGGCTCCCTCGGGACCGCCTCTAGGACCCAGCAGAGCCACCCCCGCGCCCCGCCCGCCCGCGGCGCGGCTCTGGCCAACGGGCGAGCGCGACGGCGATGTATTTGCATGTGTGCGCGCCTCGGCCAATGGGCAGCGGGCGCGGGCGCGGGCGCGCGCGCGGGCGGCGGCGGCGGCGGGACCGGCGGCGCAGTCGGAGGATGGCCGCGGCCGCGGCGGGTGGAGCCCCGGCCGGCCCCCGGCGCCGCCGCCAGGGCCCCGCCGCCCGCCGGCCCCGGCCCCGGCCCCGCCGCCAGGGCCCCGCCGCAGGCGCTGCGGAGGCGCGGGGACTCGCGGCGACGCCAGGCCGCGCTCTTCTTCCTCAACAACATCTCCCTGGACGGGCGGCCCCCGAGCCTGGGCCCGGGCGGCGAGAAGCCCCCGCCGCCGCCGCCGCCCGCCGAGGCCCGCGAGCCGCCCGCGCCGCCGCCGCCGCCCGCGGGCCCCGAGCCACGCCCGCCCGCGGCGCCCCGCCGCCCGCCGTGCTGCCCGCGCCCGCGGGCCGGCCGTCGGCGCCCCAGGGCCTGCTCAGCCCCGCGCCCGCGCCCCCCGCCGGCCTGGGCCTCGGCCTGGGCCTGGGCCTGGACGGGCAGCGCCAGAGGTGAGTGCGGCCGGCCGGGCAGCGCGGGGGCGGGTGACCTGGGAGCCGCAGCGCGGGCCGGGGCGGGCGGCCCGGCCCATCTGCACAGGGCTTGGGCATCGGGGGGCCCTGGGGCCCCACATGACACAGCGCTGCAGCGGCCGGTGAGCGCAGGACTTGGGGATCGGGGGCTGACGCTGGTCGCCTGGGAGCCCCAGACACAGCGCTGGAGTGTCCTGGACCCTGCCAGCCCAGGGAGGGGAGTCGTGCCTGGGTCCCATCAGCCTAAGATGTCGGGGTCAGGGGTTGTCTGGGGCTTTCAACCCCCTGGACGTTGATGTTAGGGTTTCTTCAGGCCCTGTGGGTCCCCAGATATAGGGGTCATGGTCCCCTTAATTCTGCCAGCCCCTGGGTATGGGATCAGGGTCCTCTCAACCTTATCAGTCTCCTGAATGTGGGTTTCAGGGTTCCCTCAGCCCCTGTCAGCCCCCAGACACAGCCCTGTCAGCTCTAGACACACCCCCTCCCCAGCCTGCTTTATTTCAGTCCCCTGGACGCAAGGACTCCCAAACATCTCTTAAATGTCCCCCTGTATTTGCTGAGCTGGATGACGCCTCTGTGTGGGCCAGGGGTCTTCCCTGCACTGTGACATCTAGTCTCAGAGTTTTCTGCACCAGACTGGACCTCCCAGCCCATTACACCGCAGCTGCTGGTCACTGGTCCCCCCATTACCTCCTTGCTGGCCCCCGCTCCCCTCTGAGCTCAGCGTCCATGTCTGTCAGCCTGTCCCGTCCCCGATTGCGGTTTCTCCCCTGCCCTGATTCCACTTCTGGGAATCCCTCAGCCCCTCAGAGCAGTCCCCCACCGCTGAGCTCTGCCCTCCAGGCTGTGCCCCCTGCCCAGATAGCTGCTGGCTGCCAGATGCCCCACTTTCTTCTCCCAGAGACCCTTCCACATCCACCTGCAGAGCGGCAGCTTCCGTATTCTTGAGCGCTGGCTCCCAGGTGACCCTGCCTCCTTGGCCCCTCCCTTCAGACCCTGGGGCTAGCCCCCACCCTCACCCTGAGGAGCAACTGGTTCCTGGGCCCGGGAGCCAGGACTGGCTGCTCCTGGAAGTCCCTTGTCAAAGGCCACTGCTTAGCCCTTTGTCTGCAGGACAGAGCCGCGGGGCGCGTGCACTGAGGCCGGCCCTGGAGGTGTGCGGAAGGGGCTGAGGGCAGAGCCTGTGGCTCCGTGCCCTGCATGGGGGGCCAAGGCTGAAGCCGGCCGCTGATCCCTCGTGTCCAGAGGTGACTCTCCTTACCTGAAGGCCATCACGGCTGCGCAGACGTAGTCACCTCACGCCCCGGCCTTCAGGCGGGTCAAGGTGTCGAAGTTCTTCTGCGGGTCTTTGGTTGCGAGGGTTGAGTCCAGATTACAGCGCTTTGTTGTCCGGGTTTGACTTTATGTTCCGAGTTCTGAGTGGCCCAAGGTTGGCTGTCACTCTCCATAGATGCAGGTGTTTCCAGCCGTAGGGAGGCGGCTGCTTCCCAGGCTGGCCCAGAGGAGGCCTGTGGACCTGACCCCTTCCACAAACAAGCCTGGACAAGGCTCTGGGAACCGTTAGGGGGCTGAGTGGGGCAGAGGATAGTTTGGCCTGAATGTGGCAGCTGGACACCGTGCCCCCGGCACGCCTGGGCAGGTGGAACTGCTTATCCAAGAGGAGAGTAATGTTAAGAAAAAACTATTTTCTTCGTGGAAATCAGCCCATTTTAAAAACAGAGCCCTAAAGCCTGCTTGTCCTTGGCTGGCAGACTCTCCCGTGAAGTGGTCGTGTCTCCTGGCGGCAGTCAGCCCCGAGGACGTCCCGGGTCACACTGGGTCTTGTTCAGTCATTCCATGACTCTCCAGGGTGGAGTGGCAAGGCCCCTCTGTGTGCAAGGACTCGTGGGGTCTCGACAGGGCTCAGAGGAAAGGCGGCTCACCTGCAGCCAGGCCCGTGCTTTGTGGGTGTGGCTTTGCTCTCCTCTCGTGGTCCTGGTCCTGCAGTCTGACGCGGAGTCTCCATCTTCTGTCCGGCTGCATGTGTGAGTCCTGGGCAGACCACGTGTTGTTTTAGGCTGTGCCTTCAGCAAACGGTTCAGGCGCCCCTGTTGTGGGCCAGACCCTGTGAACAGGACAGGCCAGCAGCCTGCCCGCCGAGCTGTGCTAGCGGGAGGACTTCCAGAGCGTGGATGCTGCAGGGGAGCCCCTGTAAGCAGGAGTCCAGCATGGCACGGTGCTCAGTGATGCTCCGAGCTGTCTGTTTCTGAAGGGGGAGGGCGCTGGGACAGCGTGGGGTGCGATGTGAGTCAGGGTGCCCTTTGCCCTTCCTGCTGCACCCACCACGGCCCTGTGTCCCTCCACCCTTCCCTGGCCCATGCCAGGCCCTCTTCTGCCCCTCCCTCCTACTTGGCCTGCAAGTCCCCGTTGAGATGTCCTTCCCGCCCTTCAGGGCCACACCTGCCCGTGCAGAAGCTGTCCCTCCTGGAGGCGAGCTCTGCGCTCAGGGCCCTGCCCTTGTGTCTGGGAGTCACTGCCACTCCCTGACAGATGGGGGCCCACAGCAAGCCCCCAGGATGAGGACCGTCCCTTTCCCTCTGTGCTCCCCAGGCCTGGAGACAGGGCTGCAGAGTCGCTGCTGAGTGCCTGCGGCGAGGCTGGCCTGGCAGAGGGGCTGCCGGCTGCGGGCTTTGGGCTCTGAGGGCTGTTTGATTTTAGGAGTTGAAGTTCTGAGGCTCTCTCCCCAGTGTCGGCTTCCTGGGTGGGGTCTTTGAGCCGTGCTCTGGGAACAGGTCTGGTTGGAATCCTAGCTCCACCACTCAGGAGCACGGTGACTTTGAGCAGGTGCCCGGGCCTCTCTAAGCCTCAGTTTGCTCCCCTGTGAGACAGGTTTGCGTTCAGCACTCCCTGCCCGAGGGGCTGTTGTGAGGTCAGATGAATGTCGAGGGCTCAGCATGGTGTAGCGCTGGCCAGGGCCAGGCGAGCGGGGACTCTTGTTCCAGCCAGGTTGGCAGGGCTCCTCGTGGCTCAGCCCACGGCGGGGAATGGTGGTTCATACTCGGGGCTCAGTCTGATGTGGCTTTTTCTGCTAAGCCAGCGAGCGAATCATCAGAATCTTTATTTTCCTCGTGGAAGTTCTAACCCAGTTCTCTTTTCATTTCAACACTGTGCTCACTTAACACTCACGAGCAGGCCGGCCTCGGCTTCTCTAGCTGGGCCGGGAGCAGCACCCTCACTGCCACCTGGTGCTCCTCTCCTCACTCCTCCGAGGCCCAGGGCTGCTGTATCAAAGCACCACCACCTGGGCAGCGGCACAGCAGCGGGCTTCCTCGCCGTCTCAGAGGGGACAAGCCTGAGGTCAGGGTGTGGGCAGGGCCGTGCTCTCGGGGGCCAGGAGAGGATCCGTCCCGCCTCTCCCAGCTTCTGGTGGCCCCAGGCCCCCTGAGCTTGTGGCCACATCATCACTCCAGTCTCTGCCTCCGTCTTCCTGTGACTGCTCCTCCGTGTGTCTCTGTCTTCACCCAGGGTTTTCATCTCCTATAAGGACCCTTATAGGAGCACTGGGTTAGGGCCCACCCTAAAGGCCTCACCTTCTTGATCACATCTGCAAAAACCCTATTTCCAAGTACGGTCGTAGTCACAGGTGTCGGGTTAGGACTTCAAAATATCTTTTTGGGGCACACAGTTCACCCCACAGCAGCCCTCGTTAGTGTTCACGGTACCGATGAGGAGGAAGGTGAGCTGGGAGCAGAAACCCTCACGATTCTGGAGCGTTCGCTCAGGATGGTTCTGAGAAAGGGGCTGGGATTTTAGTTGCCATCTTGGCAGGAAGCTGCCAAGCATCTGTCCAAATTAAACCAATTTCAGTGTAGCATCTGGCAATTTGTTTACATCTCTGATTTTGGGGTTTCTTGTTCTCTGGCTGGAAAACAGCTGGAGGTGGTCGCCGAGGTTGGAGCCTGGAGGCACGTGGCCCTGTGGCAGCCCAGAGGCCTTGCCAAGACCGAGGCCTGGCCCCAGGGCCGCCATGTCGGGTCCCATCACTTGGGGAAGCTGTGGGTCTCGCTGAGGGGTTGGCTGGAATTTGGGAGTTTTGCTTGGCCTGGCAGGGACTTGGTGAGATAGGGTACCCAGGGCTGGCCACTCTGTCGGGCAGGTATGCACTGAGGGCCTTCGGGGTGCCAAGTGCTGCATTCAGGCGTGGGTGGAGCCGTGGACTGGCCCTCGCTGTCCTGGGGCCAAAGTGTCAAAGTGGCTGGTGCTGGCACCTGTTGGCCGCTGGACTTAGAAGAGTGGCCTCTTCAGGGGGCCTGGCCTGTTCTCAGACAGACCGTCTGGTCCCACGGACAGCAGCCCCTTCACATGGCCCCTGCTGAGTGGTCTTCAGACCTCAGACAGGAGCCCTTTCCTGGCTGGACGTTTCTTAGTTACAAAGTAAAGGAAGTTTATCAGATGCTAGAAACCCTGTGTGATAAATAGAATTTCTCTTCCTGCCTAGCAGGTGTCTGGGGGCAGGTGTTGGCCACCTCTTGGTAAAGAGGCAATTCTGAAAGTGAGCCGGAGGGGCGAGCAGGCCCCTGCTAAATGCGGCAGTCGCCTCTGCCCTCTGGGCAGCCCCCCATGCCCCGGACCCCTTCTTCTCAAAAGAGTCAAATGCAGGCAACCTGGGGCCAGTTGCTGCCACTTGTGGGGGCACGACGCACGAGTGGATGCCATCCTGTGTGACTTGAAGGCGGCCAAGCAGGGAGGGCTTCCTGGGCTCGGGGGTGTCTCATGTTTGCCCGAACATCAGCGTCCCGGGCAGGGCATCAGCCGAGGGAGCAGAGAGCCCAGACTCATTCTTGGCAGTTTGTTTGCCTTTAGCAGTTTTTGGATGGAGGTGTGAAATGCATGTGTGAAGCACAGTGGCTGCATTTACTCAGGAACACACGCCAGGGACCCACCACAGCTCGGGGACAGCGCATCCGCACCCCGAGAGGGGCTCCTCAGCCAGTTCCCCCGACACAAGGTTCCGACTTCTCTCCGTGGTCCCGAGCAGCTCGGGATGGGAGCCCAGAGCAGGTCCATGCCTGGTGGTGCTGTCCTGCTGGGCCGTGTGCGAGGCTGTGGGGGCCTCACCTTGGGGCTGCCGGCCTCCACGTGCCTCGCGAGGAAGCCGCTGCCAGGGCACAAGTGGCCGCAGTTTCTCTTGAACGGGGTGCTGGGCGCTGGTCCGTGTCCTGGGAAGGGCAGGCCCTGCCCGATGGTTGGGGCCCTAGGCCTCGTGCTCGATGGCTGGCTTTTCTGTTTGCTTTGCTTTCTGGGAAATGTGCAGACTGGCCGCTGGGGGCATGCCTGAGGCTCGGTCACCTCAGCACCCAGGGAGTGCCGCAGACTGCCCCTCTCCTGTCCGTCAGCTCTCATTCCCAGAGTGCCCACAGCCGCCAGCCCACAACTCTGCCCGAGCTGGGGAGCAGCCAGCACACTCGTCTCTGGCACGTGCCCTGTGGAGGCCAGACTTCCACGGAGCAGAGGAGCACTGAGGAAAGCGCGCGGAAGGGGCCTGGATGCCAGCTCACCTGACGGGTGGGGCGGGGGTGGCACCAGGGCAGGCGGCAGAACCTGGGCAAAGGCAGGGCTGCAGCAGGTTAGCACGCAGGCCGTTGGCCGGGGTCAGGTCTCAGCTCCACCTCGTCCCAGCTGTGTGATCTCAGGCAAGTTGCTCGCCAGATCTGTGCCTCAGTTTCCCCACCTATGAACTGAGGGTGGTAATACTGCCCATCTTGTTGAGTTGTTGTGAGGGTTGAGTTCAATGTAAAATGCCTCCGACAAAGGAAAGAGAAGAAAACCACGGAGACCCGGCTCTGTGAAACCCGACAGGAACAGATTTTAAAGTATGAGATGGACGGCACGGTTCCCGCAGGAACCCGGCACTAGCGGGAGGAACGAGCTGGACTCCGCTGGGTGCTGCTCCGAGGCCAGGCTGGTTGGTAGCATGTTGCTGTTGCCCCAGGGCCAGGAGCCTCGTGGAAACTGCTGCTGGCCTGAGCCCTGTGAATGAGCTCACAGCTTGCGGGAGCCACAGCCTCACCAGGGAAATTACCTGAGGAAATGAGCTGGAGAGAGCCACATGGGGCTGCTCCGTGGGGCCTCTGAGCCAGCTCTCTGCAACAGAACAGACAGCTTTCCAGGGACGGTCCTGTCTCAACCTGGGCTGGCTGCTTTCCCGGCATGGATCCTGCTGTGCATCCTCACTGGACAGGCAGGGCCAGCCTCATCCCCCACCACAGGGTCAGCACTCACCTGGCCCCCCCTCCAGGCCTCTGAGAATGCTGGGTGTCTGCCCACTCGCCCCTCCTCCTGCCCCTTGAGCAGGCAGCACGCCTGCCTACAGAGGCCCTGGTGCCCTCCTCCCCGCAGCCCTTCCCGCCCTGTTGTCCCAGCCTGGCCCCTTAGCTGATTCGTCCTGCACATTCACCCCCGGGTGCTCCCCTCTGGCCCGTCACAAGCAGGGGGCAGGTGGGCATGCCTCTCTGGAGATGGCCGCTGTGGGGCACCCAGGATTTTACTAGACTTCAGTGTTCAATTCCAGTTTCTTTTCAACAAGCTCCTGTTGCCTTTGTCTTGTAAAAGACTTAAATAGCATGTGGACTCTGGGGCCGGCCCCGTGGCCGAGTGGTTAAGTTCGCACACTCCGCTTTGGCGGCCCAGGGTTCGGATCCTGGGTGTGGACATGGCATCGCTCATTAGGCCATGTTGAGGTGGCGTCCCACGTGCCACAACTAGAAGGACCCACAACTAAAATATACAACTATATACTGGGGGGATTTGGGGAGAAAAAAGCAGGAAAGAAAAAAGAGAAGAAGATTGGCAACAGTTGTTAGCTCAGGTGCCAATCTTTAAAAAAAATAAGAAAAAAGGGAATATGGACTCTGGCATCAAGGTGACAGCCTTGGGACCCCCCCCAGGACTTCCCTGGCTATGTCACCTCAAGCAGGTGCCGAGCCTCTCTGTGCTGCCATTTTTAGTTGTGTGTTGGCGTGAGGTGGTAGCTGCAACACCTTCGCTGGCACAGTTGTCCCCCCATGTGACAGTGACTTTGTCCCTCGCCCCAGCTCCTGGAGGATGCACTGATCTTAGTGACCTGGACTCCAGGCTGGCCCCACCCAGGGAGGTGCCAGGCCTCATCCGTAACCAGGGCTCCTGCTGGGAGGGGATCCCTTGAGATGCCACGAGGAAAATGTTGTGCCCAGGCAGGCAGCAGCTCCCAAAAGTGGCCTTCTGGGGACGAGCCCTCCTCTCCGCCCCTCCCCAGGAGCCAGACTCGGCTCTCTCTCTCTTAATGAAACGGCTGCTGTTGACATGCGAGGCACTTGGTGCATGCCCAGCCCATCTGAGCGCAGGACCTGCCCTCTGGAGCCTCCCTGTTGGGCAGGTGTAGGGACGGCAGCCCCGCCGCCGTGGCTTTGTCATGAGGTTCTTATTGGTGAAATGTAAACATCAACCCTCGTGACGACTAGGAGGTCGACCAGTGACCACAGTGGTGGCCCTGGTGCCAATAACCTGGGTCCGTGAGCCTGACCTGGGGGTGGGGGTGCAGCCCACGCAGGGTCTCTGAGCCCTCACGCTTGGGAAGGCCCCAACTCGGGATGGGAAGCTGCCTTCCCGAGCTCCCCAGTACATGCTGGGTACTGCTGAGGCCCCCACTCAGGGTGGGTTTCACCCAGACCCAAACAGGTCGTCTTCTCTGTAAACACCTCCGTGTGTGTCTCTAGAACAACCACAGTGCCATCGTCACACTCAGAAGACTATTGTCATCAAGCACTGATCATTGGTCACCTGCGGTCACTGAGAACCCACTCCTATCTGGCAGGTTGAGCTCCACTGCTCCCTGACCGCCCAGAAAGTCTGAGGGCCTCTGGGCTCCAGCCGCAGGCCTGACCCGAGGCCACGTGTGTGCCTCCTGAGGAGTCTGACTCCATCTCCCCAGCCCCGTGGGGCCTGCTGCTTGGGCCCAGCGGGCTCATGGCCCTCCTACCGCCAGCTTCTGTAGGGAGATCGCCGTTTATTCACACCCTCCTCGGCGCTGATGCCGGACCAGTCAGGCCTAGTAGACGTGCTTGGCACTAAGCAGCGGGTCCAGAAAGCTTCTTCTCCCTGTCACTGGACAGGGCTTTGCTCCAAGGAGAATCTGGCCGCCAGACCTGGGACTGTCCAGAGGAGGGGCTTCGGTGTAAGGGGTCTGGCAAATCCCTCAGCTGGATGCTCACAGGGGTGCTGAGTGCCAAGCGAGCACTCCAATGTGCTGTCTTCCCTGCTGGGTGACAGGCACTGCCCTGACACGCGGTCAGAGGGTAGCGGATGGGCACCAGGGCTGCGGCTGCCCCAGAGAGAGTGAGCTGAGCTTGAAGTTGAGGAGGAGGTACCACCAGAAAAGCCGGGAAAAGAGTGTTCCAGACAGGGAGCAGCCCTGCAAGGGCCCTGTGGCGGGAGGCAGGAGCTCGTGTGCAGGCAGGCAGCACAGCAGCCAGGCACAAGTGAGAGGCCTGAGTCGCGCTCTGAGTGCTCCCGCGTGTCCCCAGGACGCCCCCTCTGCCTGCTCCTGCTGGGGGAGGGGCAGGGTGCCATCGGGGTGCACGGGGCCCATGTGGGCATGCGGACCGGTCTGTCAGCACTGGCAATAGCACCAGGCAGGGTACCTCCCACGGCCGCAGCGCCGTGAGGTCATGGGTAGGGTTGGCAGGACTCGTGCCTGTCCGAGGAGCTGCCCTGCAGAGCCACAAAGGGACCCCAGTCCAGTCCACCACACCCCCTTCCAGGGGCTTCCGCCAGGTCCCTCAAACCTGCAGAGGACCTCTTTCTGCCTGCAGCCCGCCACAGGTGAGCCGGGCCACCCCACCGATCCTGGGCCTGAGAGGGCTCTTAGCACCACCGGGCTGAGCTCCCCCAGGCAGCAGGCAGACCAGGGTGTGGCCGGCCACCCCTCCCAGCACGGTGCCCCTCATTTTCTTCTGGCAAGCTCTGGTCCTTGGGTGGCCCTGCCAAAGCTCAGCCCAGGGCCCGGCCCGTGGCCTAGGGGGAGAAGAGAGGAGAGGAGCACAGTGCCCAAGCAGCAGGAGTGACCGAGCGCAGCCCTGGGTCCATGAGGGGCCCTTCCCCACAGCAGCGCTGCTCCAGCCCTGGGCAGCGCCCTCAAAGGTAGCCTCCCCCGGCTGTGTTCTGAGCCCCGCGCTGTCTCCTTCACAGAAGGAGAGTTGCCTCCCAGCGCTGCTCCCTTGAGTTTCTGGAAGATGCAGTGGGATGTGCCTCCGTCCAAAGGTACGGGTCCCTGGCCACCACTCGCCTGGGGGGCAGAGAGGGTCCTGGGGAGGGAGGAGTGACCTGTTTGTCACCTTGCAGAACCAAACACATATCTGGGTCCCCCAGACACAAAGGCCTGAAGAAGACTCACTTCATCAAGAACATGAGGCAGTATGACACCAGGAATAGCAGGTATCAGTGGGCGGCGGCCGCAGGCGCGGGACCGCCCCGACGGGAGGACGGCTGTCCTTCCTGCTGCTCCCACGCGAGGCACCTCCCAGGTCTCTTTGTCTCACAGTGTGTAACTGGGTACTTTCTGATGCCATTAGACTCCCACCCCTCCAGGATGGCAGAGGATGCGCCCTCTGAATGAGACAGTCCTCTGGGCACGTGCCTCTGCCTCCGGTGCCCTCCAAAGCCTGGCCTCTCCTGGGTGAACTATGACCCCCAGCTCTGGCCTCCACCCTGCCTGCATGGAGCAGGCCAGACCCTTCCCGTGCACCCATCACGTGGAGGGGACAGGCTCGCCAACAGGACTCCCTTATTAAGCACCTGGAGGGAACCAATGAGAGCTGGGGTGGCCAGGCTGACTGACTGTGGCACGGGGCCCCTTGCCCTGAGAGTCCCCTGGACACCTGGGGCAGTTCCCTTCACCTGGGTCCAGGCAGGAAGGGGTCTTCCCTGGAAACACTGTCACCCTGTTTTGACCCCCTGCCCTCCTCGCAGGATTGTCCTGATCTGTGCCAAGCGGTCCCTGTGTGCAGCCTTCTCGGTCCTGCCCTATGGAGAAGGCCTGCGGGTCAGGTGAGTGACCTGGTCCACGCCCGGTGCAGGGAGGTGTGGGCTGGCCTTCCCCGGCTTGGCAGCCTCACAGCGGTCAGCAGCTTCCACTGAAGCTTCTCACGAGCTCTGAAGGCCCTTCCGGTCCTGGTTCTCCAGAGGGAGTGTGTCCACACCGTCATTTTGTTTGAGCTGCCTAAATGTAGGTGCCTGGGACATTTGTCCTCGTGGGAACACTGCTCTGCGTCCTTGTGACCAGTCCAGGCAGCTGTGTCCCGTGTGTCCCTCTGGGAAGAAGGAGGGCAGGGTCGGTGCCGTGTGACCTGACATCAGATGGTGTAGGGAAAGCCGGCCAAGGGTTGACCGTCAGGCAGAGGGCACACGGCCAGAAGGCAGGCTTGAGGCAGAGCCTGGGTCCATGCTGTGGGGCCACATCGCTGCCGGCCACCAGGGCGTTTCAACGGGAAGTGTCTGGGACTAGGAAGGAGCGAGACCAGACGGTCCTTAGCACAGGAGTCGTCACCGCGTCCTCTGTGATGCTGGCGCTGCTGTCCTCCCAGCCACAGCACATGTCCTCAGCCTCGGGCCATGGCAGGTGCCGAGGGGGCGAGCTGCCAGCCCGGAGGCTCTGCTCCCCTCCTGCAGGAGGGGCAGGCCGAGGGCCCAGCAGCTTTCTCCCATCCGTGTGCTGCAGTGACCTGAGGGTGGACAGCCAGAAGCAGAGGCATCCGTCTGGCGGCGTTTCCGTTCCTTCTGAGATGGTCTTTGAGCTGGAAGGTGTTGAGCTGGGAGCAGATGGAAAGGCAAGAGTCGGTGCCACACACGGTCGGGGCTGGGGGCACAGAACTCGCATTGATGAAGGAAATAGACATGAAGTCGTGTTTCACTTTCATCTTATAAAGTGCAAGGTGCAAGGCCACACAGCCCTGTGAGAATGGGCCCGAGGGTCTCGCTCAGCCCCGGGAAACAAGGAACGACCTGAGTTGTGGGGGTGTCCTGGGTGCCTTCTGCACTGGTGGTCAGAGGCCAGGGGGCTTCAGAGGCAGGAAGAAAGGTCCTGTCCTGCATATCCCAAGTAAGGGATGGCGAGGACAGAGTTCCAAAATGTTCCTGTTACTGAGAACACTAACTTCAAGTGAGTGAGCAGCACCCAGCTAGGGCTCCCCTGGAGCATTATCCCTCAGCAGCTTGAGCTGTGCGGTTCCTTCGTCCCTTTGTGTCCACGTAAGGGGAGCATTTGTGTGCAATGCTCCAGCAGCAGGAAGGGGTAAAGCAGAGGGACAGGGCTGTGGGGCCTGGAAACAAGCAGGCCTGAGCCCTGACGCGCTTGTCTTTCCAGGTTGTGTCTTATGCCAAGTTCCTGTACCCCACCAATGCCCTGGTCACACACAAGACTGATGGCCATGGCCTGCTGCCCCAGTCCCGGCCCAGCGTCCCCCGGGCTCTGCCTGGGTCAAGATACAAACCTGCCCCTGCCAAGGCAGCAGCAGCCGGCCCGGAACTAGGTAACCCCACGTGCCCTAAGCAGGTGCAGAGCAGGCGGCCACCCCGGCTGGGCCAGGGACACTATGTGGCAGGCAGACCAATGAGTCACGTTCAAGCCCGCAGGCCTCAGTCCAGGGGGCCGGGCGTGGGGGGTGGGGCAGGGCGCGGCCTCGAGGGAGACGAGGGACTCGTGATGAAGCAGGCACCAGCGCTCCGCCTGAGCGGGTGGTGGAGAGAACTCATGTCCACAGATGGCTCCAGGGGCAGAGGGCCTCCTTGTCAGGACATCCTTCCTCCCACCCAGCCTTCGGGGACAGGACCCATGACCAGAGCCCCTCCTGGACCCCAGGAGTGTCACCCACCTTGTTTCATGATGATGCGCCCGGTGCCAGGCGCCTTCTGACCGAGGCTCAGGTTGGCAGGGGCCGGCTGACCAGAGCCGGGGCTCACGGCGTCTGCGCTGCCTCTGCCTGCAGGGGCCGACGTGGGGGATGCTCTGGAGTACAACCCCAACCTCCTGGACGACCCGCAGTGGCCCTGCGGCAAGCACAAGCGGGTCCTCATCTTCGCGTCGTACATGGTATGGAGTGGCCACGCGGGCGACACGCCCACATGGTCCTGCCTCTCGGGGCTTGGGTGGGGCTGTGGGCAAGCCCGGGGCAGGGCTGCCACCCCCACCCCCGGGACACCAGCAGCCCCTCAGGGGAGGTGGGGGACATGCGGCAGGCCAGGGAGCAGCGCCAGCCACACTGCCAGGGGTCAGCGCTGGCCCTCGGCCCACGGGCTTGGCAGCCTGGGTCTCCCGACCCACGTCCCCGGCTCTGGTGCCCTTATCCTGAGGTGTGCCGTTTGCACAGACCCAGCGTCTCTGAAGCCACTAGGCACTCACATCTGCAGACCCAGTGTGAAATGTCCCACCTGCCGCCCTTCTCTGTTGCAGACCACGGTGATAGAGTACGTGAAGCCCTCTGACCTCAAGAAGGACATGAATGAGACCTTCCGGGAGAAGTTCCCGCACATCAAGCTGACGCTGAGCAAAATTAGGAGGTGAGGAGGGCCCGGGCGATGTCTCTGGGCTGCCACGGGGTCTTCCTAAGCCCACTGCTGACGTGTGTCATCTTGTGAGGCCCTGTTGGTCTCTCCTCTCCTGTTTCTGGTAGATTCCTAAGCTTGACAAGTCCAGGTGCGCCCCCCCGAGCCCACCCACTTCCTGCCATGTGACCACTACCAGCAGCCAGCTCCCCCACCATGGGTCAGGCCTGCACTTGTCATGCCCGCTGAGCCTCATCACTATGCTGAGGCAGCCCGTGAGGCGGGCACTGCAGGCATCCCCTTCAATAGGTGAGGAAGTCGAGGGCCGAGGTGGCTTGCCCAGGGTCCTGGGGCAGGTAAGTGGTGGAGCTGCCCTGAGCCCAGGCAGCTGGTCCCAGCTGGGGCTCCCCATCACTGCTCTTTGCTGGGGTCCTGTCTATCCCCTGCCACTAACCATCCCCCAGCAGCAATGGGGGCTTATCTGACAGTCCAAACACCGCCTCAGCATGCTCCTGCCTCAGGGCCTTTGGACTGGATGTTTCCTCCCAAACCTGGGTGCCACAGGAGAGTAGGCACTCTGTGGGCCACCTGGTACAGTTGAGGGGTGCTACAGAGCCCCCACCAAGGGGCTAGTGGACGCCAAGACCAGCCTGCTGCTGGCCCACCATGCTGTGGGCCCTAGTGCTGGGCTGCGCCAGCCTGGAGGAAATGGTGCTTTTCTAATGGCCCAAAGGCACACCTCTAGGGCAGGGAGAGGGTGGCTGCTTCCCCAGCCCACGAGCATTTGGCTTCCGTGTAAACCCGCAGTTTGAAACGGGAGATGCGGAACCTCTCCGAGGAGTGCAGCCTGGAGCCTGTGACGGTGTCCATGGCCTATGTGTACTTTGAGAAGCTCGTCCTGCAGGGCAAGCTCAACAAGCAGAACCGCAAGCTGTGCGCGGGGGCGTGCGTGCTGCTCGCCGCCAAGATCAGCAGCGACCTCCGCAAGAACGAAGTGAAGCAGCTCATCGACGTGAGTCCGTGGTTCCGCCCGGCCTCCCTGCCTGACCACAGTGCCCCGTTGGCTCCGGGAACCCCTGGCCCTAGGCTGGGCACCCCCGAGGGGAGGGTGGTCATCCAACTGCCAGCTAAGCTGGAGCGGGGCCTGCTGCCCACGCCCTAGCTGCTCACCTAGGTGGGAGTGGAGGAGGGCTGTGCTTAACTTCTCTCTCTTCCTCAACACAGAAGTTAGAAGAAAGGTTTCGCTTCAACAGACGGGATCTCATTGGCTTCGAGTTCACGGTGCTTGTGGCCTTGGAGCTCGCTCTCTATCTCCCAGAAAACCAGGTGTTACCTCACTACAGACGCCTCACGCAGCAGTTCTAGCCGCAGCGGTCGCCGCTCAGGGGACGCGCTCCAAGCCACGGCGGCCCCGTGTGCGTTTGTGGGCCAGGGGGTATCCCAGCCCCTGAATGCGTGTCCCGGCCCCCTTGCTGCACCCGCCTAGTGAGGCTGCTGTGCAGCCCTCACACCCTCGCTCCCCTGGAGGGATCCTGCTTTCATTCCAGAAGGCACCATGCCGCCACGGTATTCTGAGAACCTTCCTGCATTTCATGAAGCAGCTGTGGGGTTTTGTTCCTGTTTCTTCCTTCTCACGTGCCTGAGCCTGCTGTGGCCAGAGGACCTGTGACTTGAAAGCGTGGGGGTGAGCCCTGACTGGCCTCTCTCCTGGCATCACCTGGTTTGTGCAGCCTTGCAGCCACTGCACTGGCGCCACAGCAGGGACGGCTTCCAGAGCTCAGTGAACACACCGAGGCCACGGAAGTGGACGCACTGAAGGTTCACCTGGGCTGTTTCGGATTTTGGATGTGCAAACGCAGCGCTGTGGGGCACACCCCACCCCCATGGCCTGGCTCCCTCCCAGCCCAGCAGAGCCCCTCCGGGTTTTCCACTCGACCCCACGTCCACAAGCAGAGCTCTGGCCTCAGGTTAAGCCAGCAAGGGCAGACTCATGGTTGGTTTGATGTCCATTTTCACTCTCGGACCTCTGTTCTTCCAAGCATCACGTCACTGTGAAGTCCGGGTGCACGAGTGTCGCACCCCACCGGCCTCGGCCCAGACACAAGCCCACCCCCGGGGGCCCATGCTTGCCCGCTCACCAGGAAAAGTCTGCTTGCCTGTGACACTAGACCTTCAGGATGACCACTGGCTCTTGGCTCTTGATCTTCCTGAGCAAGTGTGATGGGGGAAAACAGTGTATTCATTGTTGTTTAGGATTTGGTCCTGTGAGTTGTTTTTATTTTGAAGGAACAAAAATTGGCTGAACGGGGTCTGCTGAAGTTGTGACTTGAAACCACACGTGATCCTCAAGCGGGGAGACCACTCCACAGCCCCGCCCCTCAAAGGGTCAGCGTTGATGCCTTTTTCTTCCTGGCAGGAGGTAGCAGCTGTCCTGCCCTGCAGCCAGTCCCACTGAGCAGACCCCAAGGAGCAGTCATGGTCTTTTTGTGCAGCTCTGTGCCCGGTGTCAGCAGGCCCCTTCTCACCTCTCCCAGGTCTGTGTCCAGTTCTCCACTTGCGGCCCCAGCAGCAGCACTGGAGAACAGAGGACTGTTTTTTCCTTCATGGGTCAGCTGGTCTCAAAAGTGACCATGTTGGCTGGCCATTACGCTGCTTCCCTACTGCTGTCCTTTAACCCATCACTGGAGGGGCTGGGGATAGCCCCAGCCCGTAGTCTGTCCGTGTGGACTGGTGCTTTGCAGGAAGGCCAGTTTTGCCCGTCACAGCCGTCGACCACCAGCACTCAGCCTGGGCCCCCTGGAGGCGTGCCACCTGCAGGCCTGCTCCCCGCACCCGCGTGCTGCTCCTTCTCCCTTGTCCACTTGCCCAGGCTGCGGGAGACTGCAGGATGGAGGTCGAAGCCCAAGTCCACATTCCTACCTTATTTATTGCAGTGCCTCCCCGTCCTCTCCAAGATGGCCCTGACCCCACCTGCCCGCCGCCCCCCCGCCGTGGGAGGGGGCTGGAAGCTGCTAGCCCCGGGCAGCTTTCCTCTGGGAAGCACCCTGTCCTGCCAGCCCAGCATCTCAAGGATACCCCCATCACAAGCCCTGTAAGGCACTGACTTCCAAAGTCTATGTTCTGGTTTACAACTTAGCCTCGAAGGGCACATCTCCGTGGGAATTTCTATATACGGACGTTAGAAGAACGGCTGATACGGTAATTTAAGTTTGCATATTTATGTGGTAAGATTTAGTTGTTTACCAAACTCATCTGTACCCTCCCCTCAGTGTGTCCTTTTTAACGCCAAGAGCTGCCACTGTGTGGTACTCAAGTCACTGCAGCAAAGCTAGTATTTAAGGCAAACTTCAGCCTGACCCGGCATCCTCTACAAGCCCAGAGCTCTGAGGTGTGTTCAAGGGTCTGGTGCCACTCTCTCAGCACCCAGTAGCTCTGGATGTAAACGTGTGTTAAGCGACTATCTGACCTTACCGTCCAGTCACGTGTCACCAATGTGTTTGCAAATGGTAACGGATTTGTGCTTTGAAGTAAAATGTGGTTTTGCAACATACTTCGTAAGTTGTTTCCTTTCAACTGACCAGCCCCTCATCAACCACACACAGCACAGTGTGGGCCCTGACCCTCCAGAGCCCAGGGACGCATGCCTTCAGGCAGAGAACGAACCAACACGGGTGGGTTTTCACTGTTTATTTATGACAAGTATTCCACATGCGTGATCCTCTCCAGTCAGAAGTTCCTAGAACAAAAGGAAAGACAATGGGAAACCCTTCCCTCTGGAAAGCCCTAGGCCTCTGTGTCCACACGGGGAGCCCTCTTCTTACTTTGAGACGATGCCGTCGGCCTTGGCCAGTCGGAGAATGGAGTCATCTGACTCGCCCTAGAAAAACGGAGGTTGGGACTATCTCCCCTGCACTGTCCAGCCACATCGCCATCCCGACTGAACAAGTGGGCTGACAGCACAGCGCGGGCAGCCTCGCCCAGCCCCACGGCCTGAGCCTGACTGGACACGGGGCCGTGATAACTGGGAAGCCCCCAGGTAGAGGCCCCAGCGCCCTTCCCCCGCCCCCGGAGGAGGAGGCGGCCAGCAGTCTACCTGCCCACAAACGCTCGGGCCTGAGGGCCTGAGGACCAGGAGGATGACGCCCCTCCACTCCCCACTCGCAGGCCCCCAGAGCAAAGCCAGGCCACACTCACCATCCTGCGGATGGCCCCGCAGATGGCGTAGGTCTTAAACTGACCGTTGAACCTGCCTGTCACCTTGTCAACCTATAAACAGAACGGGGGTCACAAAGATGGCACCCGAGCGCCTGCAGCCTTAAACCCAGCGTTAGGGAACCATCCGCCCATCCCGGGCTGCCCCGACCTCGCTCCCTCCGCGCGGAGCCTCCTCCCCCTGGACGGCCTCCCCGGCTCACCTCGGCCACGTTCATCTGGATGGACGCGTGGTCCTTGGCGCCGATGATGCGGTTGCTGGCGGAGCTGCGGGGGGAGCGCAGTGAGCGGGGCGGGGGGCTGGGGGGAGGACGGGGTCGCGGGTGGCGAGCGCGGGCGGGGGCCTCACCATTTCCGCGGCACGTACAGGTCCACGAACTCGCCGGCGTCGTTCTGCATGTCGAGGGCGCGTCTGCGGGAGCCCGCGGGGCGCCGTGAGGACGGGGTGTCCGTGCGCCCGGGCCCGGACCCCGGACCTCAGACCCGACCTCGGCCCCCGACCCCAGCCCCGCGCGCCCAGACCCCCGACCCCGCCCCGATCCCGCCTCGCGCCCGCCCGCGCCCCAACCTGGTGCCACCACGCCGAGCGCGAGCGCAGAAAGGAAACGCCGCGGCCCCGGCAGCGCTATTGGCGGGCGGGGCGGGGCCTCGGCGAGTGTTTCCGGGTCCCGGGGCGCCGCGACGAGTCTGCGCAGAGAGCTCGGGGCGCCGTGGCGCACTTCCGCTTCCGGCGTGCGGGGGCGGGGCCTGCGTGCCGCGTGCGCTCGCTGCCCGGGGTCGCGCCCAGGGCCCCAGGGTGACGGTCCCAGATGGGGTGGCGGGCGGCGCGCTCTCGGGAGGGCCCCGTGGGCCGCGTCCCCCCGCACGGCCGCTGCCCGCGCCCCCGCTCAGCCCCGGGCAGCGACCCCTGCGCTCCTGCGCCTGCTCGTGACGTCCCCGCGGTGCGGGGACCGCCGCTGGGTCCCCTCTCCCCCGTCAGTCCCGGGCCGCCTCTCGGAGCGGTGACAGCGGTTGTTTCCGATGGCAGCGGTGCCCACGCTCCCGGGACGCACCCGGGGGGCGCGGGGTGACGCGGAGACGAGCACGAAAGGCCGTCGTTGGCCGCGAGAGCGCGGGGGAGGCAGCCGCGGCGGGCGGTGCGCGACGCCAGCCCCCGGTGGTGGCAGAACCGGGCCGCACCCCGAGCCCTGCCCCATTCGACCCTCCCGGGGACCCCTCTCGCCGCTCTCGCAGTCACCCCACTCCATCGCTCCGCAGGCCGCTGCCACTGAGAAGGGCTGTGCCGGGCCCCTCCTGCTGCAAGGGTCCGCTAGCGGGAAACAAACCCGGCTGCAGGGCTGCTCCGGGAGCCCCTGCCCCGCGGTCCCTCCGCCAGAACATCCGCCCGGGACTGCGTCTCCCCGATGAGACGGAAGACCCCTCCAGGATGGCTGGAGACCGCGTACACCGCGCCTCCTCCATAGGGGCTGCCTGAAGCTGAGCCCCAGAGGCCAGAGCCTCGGAGATTCGACCACCCCTTTACTCCAAGCGTTGGCTCCACCCCGCTTCCCTGACCCAGGTCTATGTCAGGCCGCACAGTTGAGGGCTCTTCCCAGCTGTGTCTACTCGCCCTGTGGGGGCTGCACAGCACCCTGTTTGAGTCGCTGCCAACCTCGTTACAGCTCTGGGAGGGTGTAATGCCTGGGCCTGGTGGGAGCTAGGCTGCAGATCCCCTTGTGCCTGGAGGCCAGTGTTCATGTGGGCAGCGTGTCTGCTCTTGCTTCCACAGGTCTCCAGCAGCGGGGCATTAGGAATGAGGTCACTGAGGCCAGCGCCTCACAAGAAGGTCACTCAGTGTTCGTGCAGGCCCTGAGAGGTGCGTGCTCTTTCCAGGACCCGCAGCATGTGCACAGACATGATGTGTTTATGTTTGTGGTTGGGGATCTGCACAGCTGGCCTGTCTGCATCTCTGTGTGAGTCAGCCCAGCTGGGCCTGGTCATCAAGAGTCTCTGTAGCTGGAGGGCAGGAGATAGAGGCCACTAGAGTACCAGAAAGGAGACAGTGGCAAAGAGGTCTGCAGAGGGTCTTCTTGGAGAAGTCAGCAGAGAAGAGAGCCCAGAAATAAACCTTTGTGTATATGGTCAAGTGATTGTTGACAGGGTGTCAAGACCGTTTAAGGGAGAAAGGATTGTCTTCAACAAATAGTGCTGGGAAAACTGGATACACACATGCAAAAGAATGAACCTGGACACTTACCTCACACCATAGACAAAAACTTACTCAAAATGGATCAAAGACCTAACCGTAGAACCTAAAACTATAGAACTCTTAGAAGAAAACATAGGACTAAAGCTTCATAACATTGGATTTGGCAACGATTTCTTTGATATGAGACCAAAGATACATGCAAGGACAACAAAAAGAGATAAGTGGGACTTCATGAAAATTTTTAAAATTTGTGAATCAAAAGACACTATCCACAGAGTAAAAAGGCAACCCACAGAATGGGAAAGAATTTTTCAAGTCATACATTTAACAAGGGGTTAATATCGAGAATGTGCAGAAAACTTCTAAAAGTCAACAACAACAAAAAAACAAGCAACTTGATTTAAAAGCAAGCAAAGAACTTGAACAGACGTTTCTCCAAAGGTAAACAAATGGCCAGTATGCACATGAGAAGATGCTCAGCATCAGTGATCATCAGGGAAATGCAAGTCAAAGCTGCAATGAGGCCACCTCACACCCATCAGAAAAACAGAAAATAAGTGTTGGTGAGGATGTGCAGAAATCAGAATCCTTGTGCGCTGTCGGGGAGTTAGATGGTACAGCCACTGTGGAAAACATTATGGTGCTTCCTCAAAAAGTTAATAGAATTGCTATATGATCCAGCAATTCCACTTCTGGGTATATGCCCAGGAAAATTGAAAGCAGAGTCTGAAAGAGACATCTACACACCTGGGTTCATTGCTCCATTATTCACAATAGCCAAGTGGTGGAAGCAACCCAAGTGTCCGTGGATGGATGAACAAATAAACAAAATGTGGCATGTACATACAATGGAGTGTTATTCAGCCTTAAAAAGGAAAGAAATCCTGACACATGCTACGATATGGATAAACCTTGAGGACATTATGCTGAGTGAAATAAACCAATCACAAAAACACAAACACTTTCTAATTCCACTTATCTGCAGTACCTGGAGTAACCAAAATCAGAGAGTAGAATGGTGGTTGCCATTGTCTTGGGGAGGGGGCGGGGGAGTTAGTGTTTAGTGGGCATAGAGCTTCCGTTTTACAAGATGGAAAGGTTCTGGAGATGGATGGCAGTGATGGTAGGATGTAATTAACGTCTTTAACACCACCAAACTGTACACCTAGAAATGGCTTACCACACAGAGAAAGTTAAGACTAGAAGACATGCGCACATGTAGGCACACACATGAACACACAAGGTGTCACAGTCTCCTCTCCCTTGGGGCCGGGTCCCAAGGCCAAGTTCTTCAAAAGGAAACTCAGTGCCCTTCACCCTTGGGCCCAGGAAATCTGGATGAACCTCTCTTTAAGAAATCCTGCTGTCCAAAGTCTCAGATCCCACCAACAGGAGCGAGTGGCCCCTGAAGGGGGCTGAGGTGGGCCTCTCATCAGCGGGGCCTCCTGGCATTTGTAGGGAGGGGACGGCCGCTCAGGCTGGGGTGGCAGGCTACCAGATTTCAGGAGCTGGCGGGGGAGATGTGCCTACATTCTGCTTGCACTGTCCCTAGCAGCCACTGTGAGGTGCCCGAGAGCCATGCCTGGCCCTGCAGGCAGCCCTGCGAGGGGCCTGGCTCACCTGTCTGCTCCCTGCCCGCTTCCCTGCTGGCTGAAGGGGTCTGAGACACCTCTCTCAGACCCCTAGCCCCTCGCCTATGGGGTAAATTGTTTACTGAGCTTCCTGTGGAGTCTTCAGGTTGGGACAGGGCCAGAGGGGGGGAGGGACGAATGGAGGGGAGCAGGAGGAGGTGGCACTTGAAGACACTGTCATGCTGAGTCCTTTGTGCAGATCTCAGGGCCACCCCCGGGCTGTTCAACAGAGCAGCAGCTGTTCAGCAGAGTGGTCCGTCAGGTCCCTGAGTGCCCTAGTGTTTACTGTTCCTGCCCCCACTCCATCCCCAAGTGCTCTGGGTAACCTTCACGGCCAATATCACATCAGGATTATGGCCAAGTTTGCAGTCTCTCTCTGCCTCTTGGCTGTGTGACCTTGGACACATTACTTAGCTGCTTCCTCCTCCTGGCTGTAAAGTGGGGACAATGGTAATAGAGCCACCCCACCGGGCGGGGGTTGTATGCCTTCAACGAGTTAACATATGTAGTGCTCAGAGTGGGTGTGGCACTCAGGGGGCCCTCAGCATGCCAGTGCTCACCACCACCACCACCATCACCATCACCTTCAACTTCATCATCCTTACACCCCCGTCCTTATCATTATCACTTTTGTCATCGTCATCACCATCACTGTCATTATCTCCATCACCACCATCATCATCTCCACCATCACCACCATCATCATCTCCACCATCACCACCATCATCATCTCCACCATCATCATCATCATCATCTCCACCATCACCATCATCATCATCTCCACCATCACCATCATCATCTCCACCATCACCACCACCATCATCTCCACCATCACCATCATCATCATCTCCACCACCACCATCATCACCTTCACTCAAACCATCGTCATCTTCATCATCATTACACCATCATCACCTTCATCACCATCATCATCATCACCTTCGTTATCATCCCCACCACCATCATCATCATCGCCATTATCACCGTCATTATCGTTGTTATTATGTTGTGGCCCAGGTCACGTGGCTAGATTTGATTCCTGGGCTGGTACAGTGTGGCCTTCAGGGAGCCACCCCTTCCTCCCAGAGCAGCTGTTTCTGGGCCAGACCAGCCTGAAATGTATTGTGTATGAAAGGGAACCAGCCTCGAACCAGGAAACCCTCCTTCCGAGCCTGGGCGGGGTCCTGGGGTGAGCTGCAGGTCAGGGCCAAGGGACAGGCCTTCTCCCGAGGCAGACCTGGCCAGAAGCTGTGGCCACGGCCTCTCTTGCTGGCCTTTCATTCTTGGGAGATGTCCTGGCTCATGACAGAATCCTTGCCTCAGAGGAGTTTGTGGGTGGGGGGAGCTCGCAGGCTTCAGGGAGCCACCGAGCAGGTCCTGGCCACCAGCTCCCAGCGTGACTCGGGATCACCCTCCAGTCTCAGAGGGACAGTGGCAGTCACTGGCCCTCCTCGGTCTCAGCGAGGATCAAGGGAGGTCACGGCAGGCATGCAGCCCCGACATGTAGGTCAGGCCTAACTGAGCGGAGCGTGGGTCCTTTGGCCTCATTGCTCACAGGCTGTGGTAGCCCCAGGGAGCCTGGGGGAGCCTGGGGGCGCAGGGCCAGCATCCCGTGCCATTGTGTTTATTTCATTTTATTTTACTTTATTTCGTATTACTTTACTATTTTTATTTATTTCACTTTATTTCATCTTATTTTACTTTATCAGATATTTTACTTTATTTTATTTTGTTAGATTTTTTTCCTTGAGATCTAACCCACACGTGATAAGAGCACAAGCCCTAAGTGTTCCACCCCCTGGATTTTACGTCTGTCTTCACCCAGGCGGGCAGGCTCCTGCTGACCACGCTGCCCTGGACAGAATCCAGGTGGGCCAGGCCCCTTCCCAGCTGGCTCCCAGTAGGCTCCTGCAGACCCCTTCCCAGGTAACAGGCGAAGGTGCCCTGGAGCCGGGGCAGGGGCCTGAACCAGGCACTCAGGGCCTGGCCTGTGCACCGAGTCCACCTGGAGGGCCGAGTGACAGTGACTCCTCCGCCCGGCCATACCGGCAGAGAAACACCAAGAGGTCAGAAACCTAAGAACGTCCCCTCTTCTGGCCCCACCCCTCCCGTGGGGAATGGCTACAGAAGACCAAGCCAAGTGACAGGAAAGGAGGCACTTCCATTCCAGGCGCACACAGCATCCAGCTGGTGTGTCCTAGCGGACACATCGAGAGCTTGCCATGCTGGCCAGAGGCCAGCACATTCCAGCCAAACCGGGTGCCGTCCAGGCTCAAAGGGCGAGGGCTGCAGAGCACAGGCAGCAGGCCCCTCCACCCCCAGGGCCAGGTCCCCAAGCTGCCCTCTGACCCCAGGCCCCTCCATCTCCAGGTAGGACAACACGGTATTAAGGCAAGGACCTGGAAACGAGACAGGCCTGTTTTCCAGCACACCCTCCACTCCCTGACCCTTTGCCTCTCAGAGCCTCAGTTTCCCCATCAGGAGGTTCACACCAGTCTCCCTGACTCCTTGGGAGGAGGTGAGGGTTCAGCAGACGAGGGTCAGCGAGGAGCCTTGTAAGAAAGGCACATGGAGTCCACACCTGGGGCGGGCAGACCACCTGGGGAGAAAAGACCGCTCTTACACCCACCCCTCGGCTGCTTTTCTTCCCAGTGGAAACAAGGCTGACGGTCCATCTGTCTGCCTGTCTGTCTGGGAGGAGACCTTGGACCGGTTCTCAGACCCCGGCTCTTCCTGCCCTTGGAGGAATGGGCAGCATGTGTGGGTCAGCAAGCAGCCACTGGCACCGTGATGGAGCCCCCCAACACAGATCTCCACAGGAACCGGCATCCCCAGGGCCAGCCGCACAGCCATGAGCAAGGAGCCACAGAGGTCCCAGCTTGGCGCTTCTTCAGCCGGCTCGCTCTTCCTGCCTGTGAACTGAGCCTGAGAGCCACAGCCTCCCCAGGAGGGTCGTGACCACCAGCCTGGAGCCTGGCTGAGGCCCTACAGAGACCCCATAGCAGCACTGTGAGGAGGTACAGTTATGAGCCCATTTTACAGAGCAGGAAACCAAGGCCGAGGGAGAAAAAGTCCCTCCCCCAGAGTCACGGAACTAGGGCGCCAGGGGTGGAGGGGTGAGACACAGCACGGCCAGGACGGGGCCTTTGTGCTGGAGGAGAGGAGCCCCCGGTGCTGAGCCTGAGGAGGGTTAAAGGTGGGATTTCAGACACAGGCACCTGCGGAAGCAGCAGTCTGCGGGTCCCTCATCTGCCGTCTGTGCCCTGGTGATGCCCAGCTGGGGGCCTGGGATGGACCAGGACTCTTGGGCGGTAGCAGGGCCTGCTCTCTGGGCCCCACCTGGCTGTCTGAGAACGAGGCCACCTGGGCGTGTCAGCAGCTGCAGAAACATGCCCGGAGGCAAAGGTTTGTTTGGCCGTGAAAGCCTAGGTGGAAAGTGATGGAATCCAAATTCCTGCCCCAGGTGAGTGGGCCTGGCTGGGCTTGTCTCGCTCAGCCTGGCCCAGCCCTCAAGCTCCTCTCAGCTCTGGGCAGCTTTTCCCCTCCCCGGCAGGCTCTGCAGGCGCTCTGGCACTCTGAAACCTGGGATGTCCAGCATGGCCTGGCCAGGAGGTGCCAGCGCCCCTCCGCCTGCTATGACCTCATGCAGGTGGCTGTGGGCAGGTGCTGTGTGGGGCCAGAGGCTCTCCTGGGCCCCAGAGTGGGCACTGGGACCTGCAGTGTGCCAGACAGATGGCCCCTGTCCCCAGGGAGCTTACGGCCTGGGAAGAGGACAATGAGCATCTCATCTCAGGAGGCTCTAGGGCAATGGGTCTCACGCAGGGGCGGTTCCCCCCGGGGCACGCAGTGATGCCGGGCTGTCACAACTGGGGGAGGGGAGGGTGCTACTGGCTGCTGATGAGTGGAGGCCAGGGATGCTGCTCAACACCCCCACAGTGCCCAGGAGAGCCCCGCGGGGAGACATCCAGCCCCAAATGCCAACGGTGCCTGGTCTAGAGTTCTGAAGGGCAATGGCCCAGCTGAAGGGGCTGTGTAGGTTGGGTGGTCAGGGAAGGCCTCTCCGAGGAGGGGACATTGTCATGCAGTAACTAGCCCTGAGAGGTGCCATCCCTCACCCCAGTCATCCAGTGCCCCTGCAGCCCTAGGAGAGGAGGTGGAGAGCGCCAGGCCCTGGGGGGGCAGGGAGAGGCAGGCAGGGATCTGGTGCCAGGCCTGGGGAATTCCAGAAGGCAGAGGCCTCCCGACTCGCTCCTCCTCCCAGACTCCCAGCTCCCAGCAGCCTCTGCCACATTCCTCCCCCTGGGTGGGCAGGGGGTGGGGGGCTCGGTGCATTCCTGCTGGAGATAGGGGAGGCCCGGAAGGCAGTCTGCGCCAGCCTCCTGCGGGACCCAGATAACCTCTGTGCAGGCTCTGTCCCGATTGGCTCCCTGGGGCTGGGCCATGGGGCCTTGCTGAGGACGCTCGGGTCGGCTTTGCTAGAGAGCATGTGGGCGCACATCCAGCCAGGAGCAACCCTTCTGAGCACCTTGCAGAGGCAGTCAGGACTCACCAGCCGGCGTGGGCGGTATCCCCAGTGCCTCGTGGTCATAGAGCCAGGAAACGCAGAGTCACACACAGCCCCTCTGATCCTCGGTCTCCCCATCTGTAAAATGGGGTTTCTTGAGCATCACATTAGGCAAAGCAGCTTAGGCGCTTGCCCAGCACCAGGCACCAGGGCACCAGAAACGGCAGCCCTCCAATGACCCCCTGGGTGTGTGGCACAGGGTGGCATGGCGGCGCAGAGCGGCTGGGGCCAAAGGGTCCAGGTCAGATAGTGGAGACAAGGCAGGGAACACAATCAGCCATTTGCTCAGGGATCCAGGCAGGTTGTGGCCCTGACCTGAGGTCACACAGCAAGCCAGGGATGGATGGAGGTGGGAGCGGAGGCAGCTCTCAACTCCCAGTCTCGCCTCCCTCTCTACCACTCCCCAGGATCTGAGCGGGAGACCTGGAGGGGACCAGGTACAGACCCCCAGACCCCTTTGGAGAAGGAGACTGTGCTCCCGGTAGATGCTGCCAACAGTGGCCTGGCGGGAGGCTCCCCAGTCTCTGGGTTAACAGCCCCCAGCAATGGTCTCCGCAGAACAGCTGCAGGACTAGTGTTTTGGACGTGTTGAAGCTTGAGGCACACAGAGGCCTGGAGCTGAGCCCACCCACCACCCCTACCTCATCCTGCAGGGCGGCCCACCCCTCACTTCCCAGACAACCAGATGAGCTGGAGGCTTCCGGGCCCAGCAGGAGAGGGGCCCAGCGGGGCGCGGGGGTGGAATCCCCACAGGCCTTCCCCTCTGCTTTTTGGTACTCCTGAGCCCTCCTTTTAGAAATTGGGGCGACAGGATGGGAGGGGCTGGGATGTCACTTGCATCTGAAGCAATGGTGACCCTGGGGAAGGCCCCAATCAGGCACCTGTGGGACGGGCAGGGATGAGGCCCGTGCCCGGGTGGATTTCACAGCCAGGGCTCAGAGGGGCAGGCCTGCAGGCTGACCCACATGGTGATGAAGACAGGGCGGGAGAGGCCCGCCGTCTTCCTCTCCGCAGTCAGGGCCCTGTGGCTCTTGGCTCCAGGCTGAGTCAGTCTCCTGTTTAGGGTTGGGTATCTTGGGTTTACTGCAGCCCATGCCTCCCAGTCACCCGAAGCACGGGACCAGCTGGCGGTGTCAGGGGGCTGGGTGGGTGGTCCACAGCGCCCTGAGCTAACCCTGCCTCCACCGTCTCCACCTGATGCCCGGCAGGCACCCACGCCCACCTAAGCTGAGCCTCCGTGGCCCCGCTCTGTGTCCACGACCCTGCCAACGTCGCTCTGGGCCCAGCTGAGCCTCCCTCACAACACCCAGGGCCAGTAACTGAGGCGCACCCCATGCTGCCCGCTCCTGGTCCCTGGGCAGCCTCCTTAAGGGGGCCGCCCCCCAAGGCTCGAATCCAGACCCGGGCCTGTTTATGGCTAACTAATATTCCACTATGTGGCTGGACCCACCACACTCACCCGCCCACTCACCCACCGATGACAGGGGGCTGTCTACACCTTTGGGTGTTCTGAATAGTGCTGCCAGGAATGCTCGTGTGGAAGGTTTCGTGTGTGGGCATGTGTTTACATCTCTCTTGGGCATGTTCGCAGGAGTGGAAGTACTGGTCACATGGTGACTCTGTTTAATCTTTGAGGAAGCGTCATGCTGGCGTCCACATGACTCTGCCATTTGCACCCCACTAGGAGCACAGGAGGCCCCAACTTCCCCGCAGCCTCGCCCACTTGTTAGTGTCTGGTGTTTTTCTTCTGCTCAGTGACTGCAGGGCAAGGACTGCACCAGGGACCTCAGGCCACATGAGAGGAGCACCCGGTCGGGCGCCGAGCCCCCACTCCCTTGGCCTACGCCCCCGCCTCCCACGGGGCCTCCAGGCCAGTGTGAAGGTGATGGGGCACAGGTGTCCCGGCATCCAGCCACTATCATCCAGCACCTGCTCAGCACAGGGCTCTGGATGCAAAATAAATAATAAAATAATAAAAGTAAATGAAATAAATAAAATTTTTAAATAGCTGTTGAATAAATGGAGGAAGAATATACAGCAGACTGGGGGCCTAGGGAGCCCCTGGAGCTGGGATGGGAAGGGCAGGCTGCAAGCGGGTAGGAGAAGCATTCTTGGTGGGAGGTGTGGCTTGTGCAAAGGCCCAGTGGGGCTGCGCAGGCGGCTCTTAGCGTTTTGTAAGGAGGCCAGTGAGGCTGGAGCCCTGGGGGCTCCGAGGGGCGGCTCGAGGCGGGGCCGTGAGGCAGGGGCAGGCCGAGGGCCTTGGAGGCTGCGGGAGAGCCAGAGCTTCCCGGTAGAGGGAAGGGCTGAAGGGTTTCCAGCAGGGGCCACACGGTGACTTGTCTGTGAAAACCACCTGAGACAACAGGCCGTGCGGCAGAGGAGGGCCCCCTTGTCACAGCCAGGGGCCACAGGGCAGGGGGGCTCGGGCCCTGGGCCTCGTCTGGACCAGGGCTCCCCGCACACCCTGCCCAGTCCCTTCCTGCTCGGTGCTGGGGGAGAGGCGGCAGCTCCTGCCAGCCCAGAGGACATGCTGGTCTGAACCACAGTGGGACGGACTAGGGTCCGGTCAGCCTGGCAGCCCTCGCCCTCCCACTGCATCCCCTTCAGAGCACGTCCTGGACAGACAGTTGTCAACGCTGCAGGCACGCGCCTCACTGGCCCCTTCCTGGGTCACAGCACCTCCCCGAGCCTCAGTTTCCCCTCTGTGAAACGGGAACAATGATTCCCTGAAGTCATGTGAGAGCCCACCTGCAAAGCGCAGACACGTGGCAGGGCCAGGAGCCCCCACAGCGTCCTTGGGACATGCGGGCTGAGCACGTGGAACCTGGCGTTCAGGGTAGGCACAGAGGGCGGCACAGTCGCTGTGTGTCTCCCCTCAGTCTACTCACCTGGACAGTGGGAGTGACAGGAGTCCCCGCCTCTCATAGCTGGCTTGAGGAGTGGCTGTGCCCAAGCGCATAGTGGGTCTGTCACCTCTTGTCTTCCTCTGCCCTCGGCCCAGGGCGCCCCAACCTGCCGGAAGGTGGGCTTGCACGTGAGGGTGGGATACGGCACTTCCTTGCCCCTGGATGAGGTGGATACCACTGTGTCCCAGGGCATGTGGTGACCACAGGGCTGAGGGTCTGTCAGCTCAGGGGCCCCAGGGGAGCTGCGTCCTTGCCAGCCGGCCTATCCCCAGCCAGCCTGCAAGGGCCACCCAGACCCTGCAGCTAGAGCTTCCCAGGCAGGCGGGCAGGAAGTGGCCCTGTCACCACCACTGCTGCCCCTTGTCAGAAACAAATCCCTTCTCCACAGGCCCCCAAAGATAGTGGCACTCTGAAGCCGGACGTGGGGGCGGGAGGGCTCAGGCTGCCCTAGTAGCTGAGCTTGGCAGACCTAGGGCTGCGGTGGGGGGGAGACAGAGATAGAGATGCAGAGAGACAGATAGACAAAGAGACAGAGAGACAGTGAGAGACAAAGGGATAGAGACAAAGAGAAACACACACAGAGAGGGAACATTCAGAAAATGAGAAACCCAAAGAGGGAGGGAGTCAGAAGAGAGAGCAGTGGGGCCATGATAGCTTAGGAGGGTGAGGCGGGGGCTGGGGGGTCAAGACCCAGTAAGAGCCCAGGGCCAGGTCACACCCCCAGGCCTGGCTTGGGGACCGGGTGCTGCTCCAAGGTGGGGGCCGAGCTGGCCCAGGAGGGGAGGCGACTTGCTGAGGGCCAGTGGTCTTGCTGGTCAAGGCACAGGGCAGGGCTGTGGGACTCGGCCCGTCTGGGCAGGGAGAGGGCCACACCTGATGAGTGTCTGTCCATGTGGTGCTGGGAGGGGAAGGCTGACCTCAAACGGCTGCTCTTCCCCCGAGGCAGACCCAGCAGGGTTCAGGGGGCCTGCCCATCCCACTGCGGTGAGGGGACCCGTGGGGAATGGCAGGTGAATCCCTTCGTCACAGGGTCCCCAGCCACATGTCCCAAAGTTGCCAAGGGGGGCTAGCTAAGCTGGCTCCCTTTAAGGGACCGTGGGCCCAGAAGGCTGGGGTTTAGGGGCCATGGGAGGCTGTCAGCTCACGGCAGCTCTGGCCCTGCCCAGGGCACAGCCCCGGGTCCCTGCCCAGGGGATCAGATTCCTCCTCGGCTGCGAGGCCTCCTGGCCATATAAGGCCGTCTGTGGGCACCTCTTGGAGAAGCTGCAGAGCCCTCACCCCTGCCCCGCCCCCATGGGAACCAGAGCTTGGCCAGGCCCCCAAGGACGGAGAGGGGGAAGGGGCCTGCTGGAGCCTCGTCCTGGAGGGGGGAGGGCAGGGGCAAGCCAGAACCCCAGGGCTGGGGCTGGGGTCCCTCCCTTTGTGCTGGGGAGCCCCTACCTCTCACCTGTTTCCCCCAGGGCTGCCCAGTCTGGGGCATGGAGCCGGGAGGTGGTGAGGATGGGGGTGGGGGAGCCCCGGCAGGCAAAGGTCAAATAGGATAAAGAATGACCCTACAGAGATGCCAGCACCTAGGGTGACCGTGAGGTGCGGTGGACACATCAACTTGGTCGTCACCTCCTTCTGAGGACATCCCATGTGCTCCCCACAGATATGGGATCAGGAGCTCTAGATCCCCAACTTCACACCCAGCAAGGTGCTGGGGGGGCCCTAATGGGGCCCCCTCTGGAGGGAGGTATCTGGGGCTGGGGTCCTAAGAGGAACCTCATTACTGGAGCAGCCCCATCCTCTGCTCTCCCACACTATGACGATGACAATGATGATGACGCTGGAGATGGCTGGATCTCCAGGGAGGTCCCGGCCCCTCCCCAGTTCCCAGGGTCTCTGCCCTGTCCAGTCCCTCCTCTGAGGCTGGGGCTGGCCATTCATTGCAGAATCTTGTCCTCAGGCCAAAGGCTGGGTCCAGGGAGGGGCCTCAAGTGAGCCGGGGGGGGGGGGGGGGGGAACGATGTCTTTCAAGGATGCAGATACCTGGGCTGGACCGGACAGCAGCCCCTCCCTTCACTCCCCACAGCAGGGGCTGCTTCTCCCAGGCGAGCCCCTCCTTCCGCTCACAGGACCCAGGCCGGACAGGGTGCAGGAGGGGACAGGAACGGGCCACTGGGGCACAGCAATGACGAGTTCTTCCTGGGAACCTTGGGCTTCCTCTGAATGCCCCCAAAGTCACAGCCTGGCTGGGCTCGCGGAGGTACATGGAGAGGCCATTCCTTCATGCAGCAGGCACACTCTGGGCACCCACTTTTTGCCAGGCCTGGAGACACGGCAGGGCGGCCAGGCAGGACACAGCTCGGATTTAATTTAACAAAATGAAATCAGACAGGGGAACACCTGCTGGTTCTCTGGGGTGGTGGCTGGGGGGCCCTCCCGGGGCGGGAGGGAGGTGGTCAGACAGAGGGGCAGGGACTCTATTGTGTCCAGGGTTGAAGCAACAAGGCCGAAGTCCCGAGTGAGAGAGAGGGGAAGGCTGCAGGACCTGCTGGGCATGGACTGACCAGACAGATGGCACAGCTGGAGGCGCCTGGCTCCGCAGGGCCTGCCAGGCTGCAGTGAGGGGTCTGGCTTTTATCCCAAGACAAGCAGAACCCCTGTCTGAGGCTCGTGTGCTGGCCCAGGGCCCAGCACCCAGCACCCAGCAGGCACTCGGCACCTAGAGCTGTTATCATAAGGGTTCTTGCCCACAAGGGACAGCCTCTGACAATGGTGACCCTTCCGATTCCTTCCAGCTCATGGTGCACTTCACAAAGCCAGGTGTCCCAATGTCAGCCTGCGGAGGAGGCCCCCCTACACTCAGCTGGAGATGCTGCACCCATTGACGTCACGCTGACCACCCCTTGCAGCATGACGAAGCCCTGTTTTTTTTGTTTTTGGTTTTGGTTTTTTGGTAAGGATGATTGACCTTGAGCTAACATCTGTGCCAATCTTCCTCTAGTTTTGTATGTGGGACACCGCGACAGCACGGCTTGATGAGTGATATGTAGGTCCACACCTGGGATCCGAACCTGTGAACCTCGGTCCACTGAAGCGGAGTGCACAAACTTAACCACTACGCCAGCAGGCTAGCCCCGGAGTCCCACATTTCTGAGCATCCTGGGTTCATGTGTTTTTCATAGGGCCAGGCCTGCCTGTCCAGGGCATTAGTTGTGAAGAAGGCAAGCCAAGTGGGGGAGACCTCTGGGGAGAGCCCAGGACCTGAGGGGCTGGCCTGCCCAGGTCTCCTGGCACCTGGGCACACCTAAGCCTGTCTGCACCCTCTTTGGTGTGTGGACCACCCCCCATCAGGCCACCCGATGGTCAGGAGTGTGGTAGGCACAGCCGTTGAGCTGGGCATACAGCAGCCAGATGGGGACCCTCCTGCAACTCCAGGCTCAGAAGGCTCCCAGAGGAGGTGCTTGGCTGGGCAGTGCGTGGGTCAAACCATCTGTTGCTGGTTGGGGTCAATGCAGAGTCTGGCGGCCTCAGAAGTTTCCCAGAGCCATGTGTCCTGGAGGCCGGGAAGAGCCCAGTGGTGGTCCAGCTGGAGCCACAGGCGTGGAGAAGAAGGGACCACTCCTTTCAGAGCAACAACAAGGGGCCTGTCCCCAGACTCTCCTCCAGCCAGAGATGCCGGGACTCTCCCCTGGCCCCATCCTTCTGAGGGTAGTAGCCCACAGCCCTTGGGGGTTGGAGGAAGCAGAAAGAGGTACTCCTGGCCTAGGGGAGGGGTCCAGCTGCTGCTCTGGGTCCCCTGCCAGTCCTCGGGCCCTGGGCCCCCATTCCTTGACGGCTGTCCTCTGCCCACTGGTCTCCAGCCCCCCAAGCTCTCAGGTACTCCAAGCAGTGACAAGAGAGGCCAGGACCTCTCCCCTGTCCTGCTGGGCTCACCACCTCCCAGTGACGCCTTCTCCCAGCTGTGAGTCCTCAGGGCGCCCAGCTGGTCTGCATCTTCCTCCCACAAAACTGGGCTCCACCGTGGCTGACAGCGGCCACCAGAATCAGGCCTGCCGCCTGCTCCCGACCCCTCTGCCCCACGGCCAGGGTAGACGTTCTCGCCAGCTGGGTTCCCTGGAAGGGCATCAGGGCAGCCCCGAGGAAGGGAATGTGGCCTCCACTATTCCAACCCACCGTGCCAGCCTCTCCCCAAACCCTCTTCCTGCCGAAACAAACATTCTCTGTAACGGAGCCCAAAGCCACGCGCCTCTCCGCCCGCCCGACTGGAGCAGCAGGGCCCCTCCTCCTCACACAGGCTGCACGGCTCCTGCCCCAATGTGCAGCTTCTCCCAAGGGTGCAGGGCTCAGCAGGAGAGCTGGGCTCTGGGGACAGGACGTCCAGCACAATCATCTGTTACTGATTGTGACCGCGATGACGAGGCCCGAGTGTGGAGCCAGTGGGCGCCCCGTGCAGCTGCTTCCCAGAGAGGCAGGCTCCGGCTGAGGCAGGTGCGCCCGGGGCCTGGCCTGTTGGTCCCCACAGCTGCCCCACGGATGGGCTGAGCGGGGGCTCCTGAGAATGCTGGAGGGGGGGAGGGCTGTGCTAAGGGCCACGTCCCAGGGCTGAGGGGGAGTCTGCCGGCCTCCTGACCAGGGCCAGGAACACCCCTCCCCGGCTCCGGCTGCCCACTGTCTGCGATCTCCCAGGTCCCAGAGCTCCCATTGCCTGCGGCTGGGTGAAGACGGGCTCTGGATCTGGGGTCGTCCTGTGGGGGCTGGGCAGAGTCTGGTAGGACCGAGGATAGGTCCCTCCCTCAGGGAGCTGACTCCTTCCATGGGCACCGCCCAGGACTGGGTGTCCCTCCCCTGTGGATTCAGGACAGAACCTGGGGTGGCCTGACAAACCAGAAAGGGGGCACAGCATTAGGGACTGGTGCCCAGTGAATGTGGGGGAGGAAGTGAATGACTGACCAGCCCCCTCCCCCTTGCTAACTGTGTGCTCGACTGACCCCGGGACCTTTTGGCCTCAGTTTCCCCATTTGTAAGTAGGAAAGGTGGCTGGGTGGCCTTGGGAGACACACTTGCCAGTCTGATTGGGGATGACTTGCTGGCTATATGGCATGGGCAGCAGGAGTGGAGGGGGCAGAGACGGGCCTCCCTCCCCTGCCCTGCCCCTCTCCCCTGGAGCCCCTCAAGAGGCCTGTGTGTTGCCTGGCTGGGACAAGCCCTCCATCCTCCCTGCTGCCCCAGCTCCTGCCCCAGCCCGAGCCGGCACAGGGTAGGGTCAGTGGGCACCTCACCCAGCTCCTTTCACCACATTCTCCTCTGCCCACTTCGCCCTGCCCCCTCCTGGCCACCAGTTGTCCTGTCCTGGGGCAGCTGTCTGCCGGGAAGCAGCTAGCCCGGATTAACCCTCCCTGTACTGGGTGCTTCGGCTGACTCAGCGCATTCTTGGAGAGCCGCCCCTCCCCACTCGCCTGCTCTGTGCCCTCGGTCAGCAGAGGCCTGGCCGCTAGGGGGCTCTGAGGGCTCCCCCGACCTCTGCCTGTGGGCCCCTCCAGGGATATCCGGAAGCAGAACTTTGGGGTGGTGGGCAGGTTCCCGGTCCCCTGCCCCTAGGCTGCCAGGGGCCAGCGTGCAGCCCTGTGATGTGTGTGATGTGGGGACCTCTGGGCAGGAGGGAGGGCGGGGCAGGGCAGGTCAGATCTCCCACCTGGGAGCCCTGCTACTGCCCACAGGCGGCTCTCCAGCTGTCCCTAGCAAGGGCTCATAAATTAACTCGGCAGCTCGCCTGTCTGCACTGGTTCTCAGGATCGTCCTGGTTCCCGCCCACCCTCTGGGCTGGCCCCTCCCCCACTCAGATCTCCTGCAGAGGGAACGCCTCTTCTCACCCTCCCCAGGTGGAAGAACTAAGTGAAGTTACAGAACTGGGGAGGAGGGAAGGAAGGGTCATCCCCCCTGCTTATTTCCCAACCCGAAGAGAAGGGGCCGCCCAGCCCCTTGGGATCCAGGATTTGCAGGAGGCCAGGGGCAGCCTGGAAGATGTGGACTGTCGTGAAACCTTCTGGGAACAGCTGCTGGTGAAGGACCCCGGCCAGGACCAGCTGGCTGTGGCTCCACGCACTTAACTCGGCACCCCAGGACTGTCCAGGGGGTCCCACGTGGGACAGACACCCCGGCTGGCCTGGCTCAGACAATGAGGGATCTGCCAGCCCGGCAGCTGCGGCCCCACCCCCAGTGCTTCAGGGCTTCCCTGGAGGCTGATGTGGGCCAGGAGCGGGAGGGAGGAGGCCCAGTGGCCACAGCCACCCAAATGCAGAAACAGCTGGGACACAACCCTGAGCTCAGGCCTCTAGGTCCTGTCCTATTTCCCGGTGGCCTCGAGTCCCTGCGCTGCACCGGGGAGGGGACCTGAGCGGGAGGGTTTCCGCGGCAGATGAAGTTGCTGGACCATAGTGCCCAAAGCGGGGCAGCCCCTGGCACTGGGGCAGGCTCACACCTGCCACCCCCCACCCCCAGCTGACCTCCTCTGTCACACCAATCCTCCTGGCACCCATGGGGCTGTGAGCACCCTCCCCTTGCCATACAGAGCCCCATGAGTGGGCACCGGGAGCCAGTCCCTCCTGATGGGTTTCCCTATTTTACAGGATTTTTAAACCAAACATGGGCAGGCAGGAGCTAGGAGGGGTTGACATGCCCGGTTGCCCCAGGGAAGCCTGGGGTCCCCAGTCGGGGTCTCCCTGTCCCTCTGCTGGTCTGATTCCCTCCAGGGCCCCCACCCACGACCACCCACTCACTGTTGGCAGAGTGTACTTTCTGGCACATCTGTGGGATGGGGCAGATGAGGGGCAATATGAGGTGAGAAAAACCCAAAACCGGCAGGGGAGACAGGGTGAGGCTGCGCTGGGTCTCCAGAGGTAACTCCCTCAAGCCCGGGGGACCCAAGTGTCCAGGATCCCCAGCAGCGGTCGTTGGGGACGCCGATCTGCTCCTGGGATTGCGAGGAGGCACGGGCTGGCCGGTTGATGGGAAAGATGCCTGGGTTGGACCCGGGGCGAGCGTGCCCGACTTTGGCCGCTGCGCCTGCGCCCGAGCCGCCGGGGGCGCTCGGCCGCCGAGAGGTGCCCGAAGTTAGGGAAACAAAGAGCGGAGCCGTTTGGGAAGAACTGGCCCGGGGCGCCAGGGGCCAGGGGCTCCGGGAGGCGCGACGGTGCCCCCGGGACTAGGAGCCACGCCATGGGGCGCCTGGCGGCGCCGCGTTCCCACGGCCTGGCCCAGGGCCAGCAGGTGCCCCTTCCGGGAGGCCGGCCGAGCCGGGGTCCGAAGGGTTAAGGCCGCCGGCCGCCCTTCCCCCGCCCTCCCCCCTGCCCTCCCCGGGGCGCGGGGCTCGGGCGCCCGGGCGGGCCGGGGCGGGGCCTGACGTTCGCGGGCGGAGCGAGCCGGGCCGCCGCCGAGCAGCACACCCGCCGGGCTCCCGCCGCGCCTGCCGTCCCTGGAGCGCCGGGAGCGCGGCCCGAGCTGGACGATGGCGAAGCCGGGCGCGCGGCACTTCGCGGGGAGCGCACGGTGCGCGGGCGGCCCCCGGGGCCCCGCGCGGCTGCTGCTGGCCGGGCTGGCGCTGCTGGGCGCGGCGCGGGCGCAGGAGACGGCGGGCGACGGCTTCAGCCTGCACCCGCCCTACTTCAACCTGGCCGAGGGCGCCCGCATCGCCGCCTCGGCCACCTGCGGCGAGGAGGCCCCGGCGCGCGGGGTCCCGCGCCCCACCGAGGACCTCTACTGCAAGCTGGTGGGGGGCCCCGTGGCCGGCGGGGATCCCAACCAGACCATCCAGGTGAGCGCGGGCCGGGGGCAGGGTCGCCGCCGGGCTGGGGGGGTAGGGGGGACACTCCCGAGGACGCCGGCGCCGGGGACGGATCGAGCTCGGACTCAGGGACCCCAGCCCGACTCGGCGGGGAGCGCCACGGGCCGGGAAAGCCCAGGTGCGGGCCGGAGCTCCGCGCGCCCGGGTTCCGCATTTTGGGGGAGGAAGGGACCCCAACTTGGCTACTCTGGCTCGGACAGATACCTGCGCGTCTCTGCGGGAAGGCGGGACGCGGCATCCCCGGCATGGACCCGGGGGCGGCCGGGCGCCGGTCGAGTTCGGCGGCGGTGGCGGGGCGGGGGGGGGGGGGGGGGGCGGGTGCCCAATCCCTGGCGGCTCCAAGTCCCGGGATCCCGGCAAGGGCGGGGCTTGGCCTCCGCCGCCTGCTGCCTGTGGGGAGGGGGCGGACCGCTCCGCCTCCCCCCGGGACAGGCTGGAACCTGCTGGCGTCGGGATGGGACGGGGATGGGGCGAGAGGAACCTGGGGTCCTCGCGTTTGGAGCCAAACAGAGGAGGCTCTCGCTGCCCGCGGCAAAGAGGGTCTAGGGACTCAGTGGGACCCTCAAGGAGGGGGCGGCAAAGCGGATCTTTAACTGGGGATGGGCACACCGAGCTGCAATCTGGGGCAGTGTCTCTGCACCACAGTAGGTGGGGTCCGTGGCCTTCAGTCTCCCTGGAGAGATGTGGCTTCTGTCCCGGAAGACCCTCTGGCAGGCATGCCCTCCTGAGCCATGAGCCTGTAGGCGGGGAGTGGGTTAGGTGGCCTCACGCATGGACACCTGACCAAGGAAGCTGGCGGTTGAGATTGTGGGACTTAGTTTGGGGGCTGGGGTCCAGTGAGGCTCCTTGGTGGGCAAGGCCTCCTGGGGTCAGTTGTGGGTTGGGGGGGTAGGCAGGTGAGGTCTTCTCCAGGTGCTCCCTGACACCCCATGCTAGGCCCATCTTCCCACCCCTGCTAAACCTTAGGGAGAGTCTGGGGGCCCCAAGGCCGCTGTAATTTGAGCTGCCTCCTCCAGGGACTTGCCACCTTCCTGGTAGGAGAAGCTGGGGGAGGGGAGGAGGGTAGTTGGAGACTGGGTTAGCTGGGGTGGGTGAAGAATGAAGGAGCCTCAGCTGGGCCCCCTTCACTGCCTGCCCACCTGGCTCCTTGGCCGTGCAGTGGAGGGAAGAGCTGAGAGGGATCCGTGGTGCAGCAGCCATCCTGGGACAGAGGTGTCCCTCGGGCTCCTGGGCTCTCCTGAAGGCCCTCCTCTAAGCCCAGCACAGCTGAGACAGGAGCTCCAGCCAGCATTTCAGATGGGGAAATTAAGGCCTGGAAAGGTGCACAGCCAGACCAGGCTATGGCTGGGGTGAGGGTGGGAACCAGGGTCCCTGCTACCGGCTGGGTTCGATGCATCCGGTTGATGTCAAAGGGGCGGGGTTGAGGCAAGGAGCCTGAATGGGGGTCTCCAAAGCTGCCCCGAGGGCCTGGCTGAGCCCCCGCCACCCCTCCTCACTGCTCAGTTGGGATTCCGCCCTGTGGGCAGAAGAGGCTCCAGACCACCTCCACGCCTCGGACCACTCCTCCTTGTGGCCCACCCGTGCTGCCTGGCCCAGGACCCCAGGCCCTTGGGGAGGGGCAGCTGCCTGGACCCCTGCAGGGAGGGGCCGTGTATCACCCCTCGTGGTGCTAAAGGAGCGGCCTGGGAACCATGGCCTGCAAACCCCTCTCTGCTGCCTCTCCGTGCTGTGTGGCTTCCCTGCAGCCTCAGGCTCCTTGTCTGGAAAACGGGCACGGTGTGAGGGCCCGCCTCCCCTGAAGTTAGGAGCTTGGCTCGAGGAGCCTGGGAAGCTGTGCTAAACACAGTGACCGCTTGGCAATGGCAGTGGCCAGGACATTGTGTGCGAGGCAGCGGCCAGGAATGAGCACGGTCACCTGCTCGCCCAGCTCACTGTTTCAGAGGAGAGAGGCGAGAGCTTCCCTCTGAGGGCCTCTGGCACTTATCACCTGGGCCCGGGACCTGCAGGAGTGCCGGCCTCTGCTCAGGCCAAGGTCTGTTCTCCCTGGCCTGGCCCGTGGCCCTGTCTGGAGCTGAGCGGACAGGTGGAGGAGATGCCAAGGAGATGAAGCCCCCCTTCTCTCCATCCCAAGAGCCTCGTCTCGTGCCAGCATAGGGGGCGGCTCACAGAGGACACGGGCCATGGCTGCAGGCCGCAGCTCCCAGGGGCCGCTGGAGGAGATGGACAGAAGCTGGCCCGGGGCGTCCCAGCTGGGCCCGGGCAAGGCAGCTGTGTGGGCAGTGGGAGCAGGCAGAGGGCGTCTTGGGCCCCGGGCCCTCACAGCCCCAGGTGGCCATCAGCGGAACTCGGGGCTGGCCCTGACTCTGCAAGGGAAGCTGGGGGCTCGGCTGCGCCGTGGTGACTCACTGGGAGGGGAAGTCCTTATCACGGCTCCCTGCTTCCTCGCTCTGTTCCTGGCAGGACCCTCTGAGCGGAGGGGTGGAGGGCGCCTGGTTTCCCCAGCCCCGTCCACTGCGAGCCAGAGCCAGGCTGAGAGGCTGGGTCACTGAGTGGCCCCCACGGTGGCCACGTGGGGACAAGAATCGCCTCTCCTTGCCTCTCTGGGTGGGCTGAGCAGAAACTTCCCTGGGCTCCCTCAACCCTTGACCCAGCATCCCCATGGTGCTCCTGGCCCTGGGAGGGTCTTGACCACGGGCAGCCTTCTCTAGAAGGCCTGCCACCCAGCCAGATGGTCTTGCTCACCTCCTCTGGGAAGCTTCGTGGCCACCCCCACTGTGCCAGGCCCCTGATGAGCTGCACCCACGTGCACGGTGACTTCAGTGACCTCCCTGAGCCCCTGCCTCTGTCACTCGCCAGGAGCTCCCGCAGGACCAGGCAGCCAGAGCCCCAGGTTCCAGTTTGGGGGTCACCATTTGAGCTTGGCAGTATGGCCCACAGATCATGCCGCTTTTTCTGGGTGTCCTCCTTGCCTCCAGCCTATGGTGGCCCTGGGTGGTGGGCTCCGGGACTGCAGTTAAGAGCAAGGCAGGTGTGGCGCCCCCACCGCTGAGCCCTCCGCCAGGGGGGCAGCAAACAAGGCAGACAGTTCCCAGTCTCACGCAGGATAAATAAAGCAGGGTGATGCATGGGCAGGTTGTCAGGTCAGCGTCTTGGGTGGTCTGGGGCTTGTGGGCCCTGCTGAGGAGGTGACAGCTTAGCTGAGACAGCACAAGAGATGAGGGTGCAAAGGCCCCAAGTGGGAACAAGGCCTGAGATGGGGTGACCTGGAGCACCCAGCACAAGGGTCCTGGGGGCCCCTGGCCGGGTGCCCGGGTGTTCTGCCTGCTGATCTCACCCTCTGAGCGCATGGTGGAAGCCTGGGACAGATGCGTCCAGGGGTGGCAGGGGCACGCCATGTGTCCGTGGAGGCCTGGGGGCTCTCTATGCTGCCCAGCCTGGGAGTAGGGGCAGGGAAGCTCCCACGCTCCCACCTCCAACTCCTAGGAGGAGGTCTGGCCCCCTGGGAGGCTGGGGTGGGGGGGGCGGCCACATTTCCCAGACGCGGCCTCCAGGCCTCAATCAATGCCAAGTCCCAGAGGGCTGCCTTTGTGTGGCGGGACAGCAGGTCTGGTTTCCTCGGGGTGGGGGGCTGGGCCTGCACTCTGCCAGGGCCCAGCTCTGTCCCCAGCCCCACCCCCAGCTCCCAGCACCTGCTCCTCTCCAATGGACAGCGGGCCAGGCCCTTGCCAGGGGCCTCCCTTGCCCCCCAGAGGACAGGCCCCCGGCAGGTGGCTGGACCGTGACAGAAGCAGCTGCCGGGCCCCATGTGGGATCCGTTAATCCTTCGGCGGCTGAGGCAGGTGCCAGCGTTACCCCCACTCTTCGGATGGGGACAGTGAGGCTCAGCGGCTGCCGGGGCTTGGCTTGGTCCCAGGGCTCGGAAGTGGCAGAGCCAGAAGGCCCAGGCCTCGCCTGCCAGCTGCCCACATGCCTCCACTGGGGCCTGTCCCCTCAGGACGCCGGAATGGCTTAATTCCGTCTCTCTGGAGACCCTAATCCTGACAGCTCTGCACGAGAGTCTGGCAGGGGGAGAGTGGGGAACAGGCTGGTGCAGGCAGGGAGGGAACTGGTTCTCCTGATCATCCTGGCCACTTAGACCCCTCGCCTCCAGATGATCCCAGGGCTTCCGTCTATAAGGGGTATGTGACTTGTCCCTCCACTGGACCCTTTTCCCCCTCAACTCTTGTTGTTTACTCCTTGGCTCTTCCTGCCCCAGGGCCTTTACACAGGCAGCCCCTCTGTCTGGAGCATACCCCTCTTACAGTGTAGGCCTCAGATGCCACTTCCCTAGAGAGGCCCGCCTTGATTTCCCTACCGGAAGCGGGTGCCTCTCTCCCTCCCTGCTCTCCTGTGGCCTCTGTGATGGGTGTGTGACCATCTCTCACAAGAGCCATTTCCCCTGAGTCAAGGTGCTCAGTGGGTGTTTGCCCATTGAATGAGTGAATGGTGGACGAGGGCCCACAGGTTGGGGGTGGAGGCCGGTGCAATGGGGTGAGAGGGTGACTGGAGGGTCCAGAGGTCCCAGTACTTCTTGGCCGTCTGACTGCCCCCTCTGCCGCAGGGCCAGTACTGCGACATCTGCACAGCTGCAAACAGCAACAGGGCACACCCCGTGAGCAACGCCATCGACGGCACGGAGCGCTGGTGGCAGAGCCCGCCACTGTCCCGCGGCCTGGAGTACAATGAGGTCAACGTCACCTTGGACCTGGGCCAGGTAGGGTCCTTCTCTGGCCCGCTGCAGCCCCCACCCCTGTGTCTCTGGAGAGAGCCCACCCCGGGGCACAGACCGTGAGGTCTCAGCCGGAGTGGGCGCGGGGCCGGGAGGCTGGGCGCACATGGGCTGCTGGTGGCGGGCCCAGCACGGACATGGCAGCGGGCCCTTCTCTTTGTTCTTCCGGTACCCCTGGCGCACGGGGAAAGAGCGCCAGGGGGCGTGGGGGCTCACAAAGGTGACAGGGGGAGTTGGGTGAGGGTGCTGAGAGGGCAGCATGGAGGTGGGCTTGAGATGCTGCGTGCCCCTCAGGCCTGAGATGCTGCGCCCCGGCCACGGCCTGGTGTTTACTCAGAGGAATTCCTCCGCAGGGAGCCAGGCTCTGGCTAGCGGCTGTGGGAGGGGCCCCAGGAATGTGGAGGAGGCCAGGAAGTGGACATTCCTGGGATACCTGTGCTGCAGTGGAGGCCACCTCGGGGTCAGGTGTGCCTGAGCACTCAGGCCCTGGCTCAGGGCTCACCTTGGCCTTCGAGGCTGCTGTGCAGGTCTTTGGGGGGTGGAGGGGCGGACGTTTCCCAGTGACAAGTGAGCCCCCTCGGTGGAGCTGGGCTGGGTCCAACTCAAGCTGTGTCCCACTCCTGGTGTGACCGCCCAGGCGCCTGGCCTTGGTGTCCTGGCCTGTGAAACAGGCCCACGGTCCCATTGCCTCCTGGGATGGGGCGGGGAGGGGGCAGGTAGATGAGGCTGAGCCTGGAAGCAGCCAGCCGTGGGTCTGCCTGAGAGCTGGGGCTAGAGGCGATCCTGTCAGACCCCTACGCTGTTGGCAGGGGCGAGGACGGAGCACGGGACTGTGAGTCCAGAGGTCTGAGTCCAGGCGGCTTGGCCACCATCTCAGGCTGTGACCCGGTGGGTCTCTACTCCTTGCTGAGCCTCCTGCCCTCCAATCCTGAGGCTGTTAGAAGAGACAGGGAGAAGTGTCTCCTGTGAGCCTGGCTGGAAGGGTGGGTGCTGGGGACAGGTTCAGGGTACAGTGTCCAGCACCTCCTGCCCCTGGCCTGGAGGCCCGCAGGCTTGGCCCAGTGGGTGGGTGGGCTGTGAGGGAGTGGGTTCAAGTCCCAACAAGTGGCCCGGAATTTCCGGGCCTGGATTAGCTGTTATGCCCTAGGGAGAAGCAGCCAGAGTAGGGGGGAGGGGCAGGGGAGGGGTGGGCTGGGGAACAGGCTGCCCACCATGGGCTCCCTGCCTGAGAGTCAGGGCTGGTAGTCACCTGGCCCAGGTGTGGGTGGGGCTCAGCCCATTTCCCTCCCCTCCCTGGGTTTTCACCATGTCTCTGCTCTCCTGTACCTGGGAGTGGGAGGGACCTCCGAGACCCTAAGTGACCCTGGGGACCCCTCTCTCGGGCACCGGCGTAGGGGTGCCCACAGGAAGGTGGGAGGGGAAGTGGAGCCCAGCCCCGCCTGGGGTCGGTCAGCGAGAACTTGTGCAGAGCTGGTGGGTTCTTTCTTCCCCCTCCCCCTCCTCCTCCTCCCTCCCAGGGACAGGCCTGGGCAGTCTGGGGGAGGAGCAAGGGCCCTAAGTGGACACACAATGGCCCAGTCTCCCTGGCAACCCCAGGGGGCCGCAGAGCAGATGGGCACGGTGCCCGCTCAAGGTGCACTGGGTGGGGCCAGGGAGGCACTTGGATGTCACTCCGCCCCATGCCCTGTGGCTCTGCCCACTCCTGGCTCTGTTGCCCCCTGAGCCTCAGTTTCTCTGTCTGTGAAACAGGCTGGAGACATCAGGCAGCAGCGCGTCTGCTCTGTAGCCAGTCCCGGGCCAGGCAGAGGGTTTCACCACGCACATCTTGCCTCTCCAAGCCTCGGTTTCCCCAACTGTAAAATGACACAACGGGGAAAGGGGCCATTTCCAGCTGCCTGGGGCAGGCTGACCCACCCACCTGCCCTTCCCTCTGCCCGTCTGCCTTTCCCTCTCTCCCTCCTCCTCCTCCTCCCTGGCTCTCTCCTTCCTTTTCTCCCTCCCCACTCTCTCCCTCCTTCCTCCCTTCAGCAGATGAATCCACCAAGCCCCTGTCTTGGTTCAGGCGAAGGGGCTGCCAGCTCTGGTTGTGGGGGGCGGGGGAGGACAGGGACTGCCTACCCATGTGCTCTGGAGTCGGGGCAGGGGGCGGGTTTCCAGCTCTGTGGGTGAGAGGAGTCTCTCTCCCGGGGATGAGCCTCAGCAGAACTCCAGAGGAAATTACCGAGTTCACCGCCTCATCTTTCAGAAAAAGGAAGCACACTGCCCCTTCCTCCCTGAGGTGCCCGGCAGGCCCAGGGTCCCTTGGGTGCCGCTGCCTGTGGGGTCAGGGACAGAGACTGGGTCCTGCCATCAGTGCCCAGTCTTGGGGTGGAGGAGCCCTATGTAGGGTGGAAAGAGGAAGGTGAGGACTCTGGAGGGGCAGTGGCCAGGGCCGGACCCCTAGGGAGAAGCATTGGGAGGAGTGGGCCTGGAGTATGTCTGACTGGCCCTCGCAGGGACCCTGGGGTCTGGCCCTCAAGTCCCCCCAGCTCTGGTGACAGGAGCGGCTGCACACAGTCAGACCGGGATGTCCCCAGGACAGGACCCTCCGCGCACCCTCCCCGGTGCAGATGGGGGGATGGGCCAAGCAGGAGGCTGGGATCCCGACTGGGGCTCTCCCACGTTGGGGCCCGGCAGTCCTTCGAGGCGTGCATCCTGGGGTGGGGCTGGGGCTTCTGTCAGGAAGCCCAGCTGAAGCCATGGGTCTGGGCACTCCCCCTGCGCGAGCTGCCAGTGGCCTTTGTTCTGGGATCTGGAGCGGATGCCCTGGGAAGAGGGGTGGGGGCAGCTGGCACTGGGCACAGGAGGCCTTCCTGCCCCGGGAGGACTGAGAAAGGGGGCGGGTGGGCTGCATCACAGCCTCCATCTCGCGCCTGGCGGGGGGAGCTAGGGCTAGTGGGCCTGCTCCCTGCAGTGTGTGTCCATCTGTCCGTCTGGGGGCCATCGAGCCCTGTGGGTCCTCCATGAGCCAGCTCTTCCTTTCCTCAGGCCACACCTCATCTTGTTCTGATCTTTCCCATCCCAGGGTAAGGTGGGGGGCCATTGGACCCTCTCCCTTCCCATTTTTCAGATGGAGAAACCAAGGCTCCAGGAGCAAAGGCCTGGCTGGGAAGGGCACGGAGAGGCCAGGCCTTGGCTCCCTGCCCTGCTTTCTGTGTGGGCCTCGGCCAGGAATCCTCAGACCTGAGAGGACCAACTCATTGGTCTGGGCCTTGGTGGGTGCCGACCTCGGAGGGGCTTCTCTTCGGGCTGGGGCACGGGAAGACTCCACAGCTGGTGACTGAGTCCCACTGGTGACCCGCCCAGGGGTCCTCCCCAGGGCCATGGGGTTCTTGTTTATCTCCTGTCTTCCCCAGGGGCTTCCTGCCGGCCTCGGGCTTCCCCTTCCCCGCACCCAGGGCAGGGTGGGCTTGGTTTCTCACCACCCCAGCTCAGACCACGCGGCAGGGTGGGTCCTGACTGAAGTGCCCTGCCCCACCAGGGGCTCTGCCACAGGGTCGCAGGCCCTGTCCCACATTAGCCCACTGGCCTTAGGGAGCTGGGCAGGGTGCGTTGGGGCTGGCCAGATGTCCCCCTCCCTCTCAGACATCTCCCTGGTGGCCTGGCCCTGGGGGAGGGCCTCTCCCCAGCAGACCCCTCCCTTTACCTGCCCGCCTGGCCCACATTCCCCACAGGCGGCTTCAGGTGGGGAATGCTGATCCCCTCCTGGCTGTTTTCTCGTCATGTGCCCTGTGGTGGGGCAGGTTGGCCCTTTGTCCCAGTCCTGAGAGGCCCAGGGCTGGAGGAGAGCAGACTAGAGGGCCAGGTGGGGGGTGCAGAGGGGGACCAGGGGCTGGCGTCGGGGTGTAGGCTGAGGTGGTTGTGTGTGAGGCCAAAAGTGTTGATTGGGGGCCTCGAAGTGCCAGGGTGAGGCGTCTGTGCCCTCCCTGGGGGACAGGGGAGAGGTAGGGAGGCTGCCAGCTCCCCCCCAAGATGGGGGTGCCAAGGAGCAAAGCCCCAGTAAAACACTGACCCTTGGAGGTGAGTCCTCCCCGGGCACATGGGGAAACAGCACCGTGTGGAGTGACCAGGCCCTGGTGCTGGTATCTGAAGGAGACGCTGGGCTTGGACATGGCTGGGCCGTCTGCCTCCCATGCCTCCCAGGCTCAGTTTCCTCCTGTGTCCATGGGGGTGCGAGCGCCTGTGCCTTGGAAGGGCCCCAGGACATCCCGGCTGCCTTGGCTGTTGGGCTCCCTGTGCAGCTCTGCCTACCCCAGTGCCGGGCGGCACGCCCTCGGAGGCTGGCCGGCTCGGGGCTCTCTGGGCAGGCCTTCTGGTCCTGACGTGCACACTGGCCTGCTGGGTTACGAGGCCGTGCTGCTGGCCTGGCTCTCTAGGCCCGACTGGGCGCCCAGCCATGTGGCCAGCGTCCGTGCGGGTCAGCGGGGTTGTTTGAGGGAAGCGGCAGGAAATGGGGCTGAGGCTGGCCAGGCTCAGGTTACAGAGCCCAGTGGCCAGGACAGGTGCGGGGGGGGGAGGACAGCGTGAGGGTCCTGGTGGCATCCCTGGGGTAGGCCCCCTCCTGCCATACAGGCCCGGCTCTCCTCACGAGAACTGACGAGACCCTCCCTCTGCTGGTCTTTTGCTCAGAGGGGCTGCCCATCCTCAGCCCTGTGCATCCTGCCACTGCCATCCTTGCCCTCAGTGGCTGCTCGTGGCCATCCTGGCACACTTGTCTCTGGGCACACACAGATACCCCCGCCACCTCACACTGGACCCCTCAGGCCCTGGAGGCTCCTGTTTTCCATCTGTTTTTAAACAAACTGCACAGCGTTGGCCTCCTGCAGTACCGCTCACTGGAGACTAAACTGTTTGGGTTTCGGGGTCCCCTTGGGATAAAACTCTACTTCCTGTGGCCCAGGGCCCAGACCATCTGGCCTGACCTGGGCTGGGCTGTAGGGGTGGGGGGACAGGGCCAGGGAGCGCTGGGCAGAACCTGGAAACCCCCCTTCAAGGCAGGGGGACCAAGATTGCCCCTGGGTGGTTGGGGCCTCGGAATCCCTCCCAGACCCGGCTCTGTCGAGGGTCTGGGCCACACGAGGCATTTGCCCTCCACTCTGGTTGGTGAGCTCCTGCACACCTGGCAGGGGCCCTTCTACCCCTACCCATTCCCTGTGAGTCCCGCCACTCTGCTCTGCAGTTGGGCACCCCGCCCAGCAGAGTGGGGTCGCTGGGGCCTCTGCCTGTTCTCTCTGCATTGCCATGCTTTCTTTTTTCCAGCAGTGGCTTTTCCATTCGCTGTCTCTCTGGGAGCCGGGTCCACTTGTGGCCTGTTTTCAGCATCCCTGATCTCGTTGTGTGGATGCCTGTGTTTATTTGCTCAGTTGGGGGCCTGAGTAGACACACCTGCCCTGCCCTGGCCTGGCCCAGCCAGCCCCTGCTGGGGTGATTGTCTTTATGGAGGTTTCCAGATGGGGTCTCTGCCGAGAGGGTGGGCACATTGAGGAGAGGGCAAACCTGGGGGGGCTGGGCCAGGCAGATTTAGTGCAATGGCCCCGAAGGCCGGCCCAGCAGTCTGGGGGGTCCAGGAGGTCTGGGTGCCCCGGGGCTCGCTCCAAGGGGAATGGTCAGGGAGCTAGCCCGGATGCCTGGTCTAGGAGGGGCTTCCTGCCTCCACCCAGCCACAGCCTGGGCCCCGGGCCCGTCCCCAGGAATCGGCATGGGTCTTGCTTCCTGTGGGGCCAGGGCTGAGTCAGAGACTGCCCGGTGATTCACACTGCCAGGCCGAGAGGGTGGGGGCTGGGCCCCCTCCTCCCCCAGGCCAGGGGCCTGAGAAGGGCCTGGGCAGAGGTTGGTATGCTGGCCCTGACCACCGTGTACTCCCGGGGGTTCCAGCTGTGGCCCTGTCTTAGTGACGTGGGTGCCTGAGCCCAGGAGTCACCCTCTTCCCCCATGTCAGGGGCTACAGAGACCCCGGGGGGTCTGAACACCAGTTTTCCTCTCGAGCTGTCCTCCTGCTGTCTAGACCGCAGCCCTGTCCCCTGTGCCCTCCCCTCCCGACTCTGCCTGTGGACATCAGGGTGTGTGGTGTGGTGTTGGTGCCCTCTGCAGCGTCCCTGCCCGGTGGCTGCTAGCTTCTGCTTGCTGCTTCCAGGGCTCTCAGAACCATCGCACCATCTTGAAAGGCACCAAGTCACCCACACCTATGCTGTTTATCTTCCCACTGCCCTGTGCCCAGGGAGGGGAAGTGACCACCCAGGGCCACACGGCTCCTGGAGCCTGGAACCCCCCCTGGGCTCCTGCCCGACCCGTGCTCTCTGGGCTCTTGGCACCCTGGCAGACTGATCATGGGGGCACGTCCCCTCCTGGGGAGCCCTGGCCCTCCGGTCAGGCTGGGTGTGGGGGCCGGGGGCGGTGGCCAAGAGGCAGGTCCGGCTGCTGTCCTGGAGACGTGCCGGCCCCAAAATAGCCAGATTGTTAAAAATAGCTCCGAGGCCTTTGTGGCTTTTGCTTTAAAAGACATTTTTTTCCTTCTGCACAGACTCTGTAGCAGCAGGAAAGGTCAGCCCAACTTGGCAGTGGAGCAGAGTGGGTGGGGCTGGGGGAAGGCTGTGTCCAGCGAGGGCAGGGGTCTGCACCCACCCCGGGTCGTGCCCAGGGCAGCTGTGTGGCCCTGGGAGCTGGGACCAGATTGAGGGTAGATGGGGAGCGCTGAGCACACACCTTCCTTCCTCGCCAGCCTGGGCCAGGGCCTCAGGGACAGCTGTCTGGGGCCCGTATGACAGACGGATGACCAGGTGGACAGACAGACAGAGGCAGGGTCTTTCATTAGCGCATCCCAGCGTGCCGGGTGTGGGGGTGGAAGTCTCATGCTGCCCTTGTCCTGCCTGATCAGTGTCGTCGAAGTCAATATTTGTGCAAGTGCTCTCAGCTGGGAAAAATGCGACCGGCCCGCCGACCTGGGGGAGGGACAGAGCTGGCCAGCGGAGGGTGCAGCCTGGTGGCCTCGCTCAGGGAAAGGCGGGGGTGGGTCCCCGGGGACTTGCCGGGAGATTTTAATCTCGGGGGCCTTTGGTAAGGGCCGTGCTGCTGGCCCCCAAGAGCAGCCTGCGTTTGTGTCTCATGCACACCCAGGCCGCCCAGGCTCCCCCTGCCCCACCAGGGTTCCGGGAATGCCTGAGGGTTGGCCAAGGTGCCAGGCTGGGTGTACATCCATCCCCCCAGAGGCTTGAGCCCCTCCCTCGACTGGGCGGAGTGAGATGCAAGATGACCTCAGAGCCTGGCAGTGAGTGAATAGGCCTGTGCCCCCCCCCAACCCCCGGGAAAGGCCTCTCCTGGCTTCACTTGGGCCTGTCCCTACAAACGCCAGGCCTTCTGGGAAGGGCAGGACTCAGAATGGGTGTGTCTCGGGGTCCTGGGACCCTACCCCCTGCCTGGATTCTTAGCAACCTGTGCCTCCTGAGAGCTGGGGCCACAAGGGGTCCACGGTCCCTCCTTCATCCTTCTGTGGGGTCACCACAGCAGCTTCAGGCTGACAAGGGCTAGCGGGTGACTGTGCCTCATGCAGCCCTGGAGGGGACTCCCGCTCTCCCCTGTAGCGCCCGTAGTCTCCAGGGCCTAGCTGGCCGGCAGGAGCCCTGCTGGTCTGGGGCAGAAATCCAGAGCACCCAACGCTGGAAGGGGACCTGCTCCCTTGGGCTGGGCAAGGTCCCGCTGAGGGTGCAGTGGGTGGCCTGGGCTATGACATCACCCTCAAGGCCAGTGGGCAGTTCAAAGCTCACCTGGGGGCACCCCCCCGAGTGGGCCTGGGGTGGGGGGAGTGGGCTCATCCCAGGCCCTCGAGTCGGGCATGGCACCCTCCACGTGTGGCATGTTCACTAGTGTGTCTCTGCCCTTCGTCTCAGGCCCCCAACTCCTCTTGAGTGGCTGGCCCTCCTGTGCAGACTGGGGTGTCCCTGTCCCCCCGCCTGCCCTGCCCAGGTCTCCTTGGAGTCCAAACATACCCCACACAGAGCCCAGCCTGGTAAATGGTCGTCTGGCTTTGTCGTTCCCTTGGCCTCAGGCCGAGCACGGGGAGGGGGAAGGGAAGGGCTCAGTGGCCTCAGAGCTGTGAGGCCTGGAAACTATGGTCAGCATGTAGGGGTGACCAAGGCTGGGGTGGGCGCCAGGGGCTTGCCCCCAGAGGTGTGTGGGCAGGGTTACTCTCAGGTGTGTGTAAGAGTGGAGCCTGCTGAGGTGCCCACCCTCTCGGGGGTCTCGGTGGCCCAGTCTCATCACTGAGGCCACGGGCTGGGCAGCTGCTTCTGCCTGAGCCTGTGGGCTGTTCTCAGTGGACCCAGAGCCCTTTCCTGGGGGCTATGGCCTGGGGTAGGGGTTCCAGGCACTGACACGGGGACGTCTGTCTCAAGCTGTATGAGGAATAGCTTTGGCAGTGAGACCCCAGCTCCCCAGCCTAGGAGAGCCCTCCAGCGTCCGCGCAACAATTGCCTTTTAAAAGGGGTACCTAACTACCCTCCCACGTTTCTGCATGTCCGGGGCCCTTGGGCCAGTAAGGATGGGCTGCAGGCAGGAGGGCTTCCCCGAGGAGGTGTCTAAAGTGCCCTGTTTGGGATGTCCCAGGTGGGGCTAGGGGCCCAAGGCTGCAGGGCAGGAGGGCAGACAGCCAGGGAGGTGCCCCACCAAGCCCCCAGGGGTCCAGGACATGGGGACATCCACAGATGCTGACCTCTGGCTAGGAAGAGATGAGAAGCGAAGCGTGGGCACCTCCCTGGGAGTGAGGTCCGGCCAAGACACAGAAGAGAGCAGGAGAGGCGGGCCTGGGCCTCCTGGCAGGGGGTTGGGGGTTCTGGGTGCCACTGGAGGAGCAGCTTCACCCTCCCCCTGGCCAGGTGCTGCCCTGACACACTCAGGGCCCAGCGAAGTTCCAGCCTCCAACTCCTGAGCTGGCAGGGTCTCCTCAGCCCGGCCCAGAGAGGGCCCGCATTCCAATCTGTCTCCCCTGTTGGGGCCTCCTGACAATGGCAGGGGCTAGGCCCAAGCTGCTCCATGCCACCTGCCCCCGGGGTCTTCACTGGCCATGCACTGGTCAGCAGGCGAAGGGGGCAGGTCCTGAGTTGGCTCTGAGAATGATGAGGGAGTGACAAGGGTGAAGAGACAAGGTCCCCTGTCCCAGGAGGGGGTTCACCTGCCAGCTGTGTGAGGAGGCCAGGCTCACTTGGGAGCTAGGGACGCTGTCTAGCCACCTGTCCAGGCCGACCACCAGAGCTTTGGGGACGGTAGGATGAGGTCTGGTCTTCACCTTGCCCAGCCCCACTGCCTGGGCCCTGTAAACAGGCTGTCCCCTACTGTGTGCCCCATCTGGCCCCAGTCCCCACCCAGCCTGACTACAGCCTCAGAGCCCACAGGACCAGTGTGGCTCTCTGACCTCCTGGGGCAGGGATGGGCAGGCAGGTGGCCTGAGCTCCCAGGCCCAGGAGGGGAGCCCTTCAGAAACCACGGCTTCCCACCATTCATCTCTGTGTCCCCGGTCAGGCCTAAGTGGCCACAGGCTGGTCTGCAAGCCCAGAGGCTGCTCCCTGGGCCAGCTGGCCCTGTCGCCCGGGTGCATCTGGCCCTTGCAGGCAAACCCACAGGTGTCCACTGTGAGAAAAGGGAGCCCCATCTCCCAGGGTAGGGTGGCCCTCCGGGTGTGTGTGCCCAGGCCCAAGCAGCATGAAGGGCCTCGGGCGTCAATACCCTCGCTGCCCCACAGGTTTTCCATGTGGCGTATGTGCTCATCAAGTTTGCCAACTCCCCTCGGCCAGACCTCTGGGTGCTGGAGCGGTCCACGGACTTCGGCCACACCTACCAGCCGTGGCAGTTCTTTGCCTGTGAGTCTCCCAGAGCCAGGGGCTTGCCAGGAGTGTCCCCTGGGGTGGGCTGCCATTTCATGCTCTCTCAAGGTCTCTGGAAAGCAGGCCTGCCCTCACACCTGGCTCCTGCATGCATCAGGCCTGTTGGGTGCAGGTTCCTGAAGGCAGGTGGGGTTTAGTGGCTCCCACCCCTGACATGGGCCACAGCTGAGTCCAGGGGCTGGTGGTGCCAGGAATCCTTCGTGCCATCTCTCGGCTCCCTCTGGACTGGCTTCATGCTCCAGCAGCTCCTGAGGTGACAAAGGCGGCCTGTTTAGCTTCCTGGTCAGGAGAGCATGGGGGCCCTGCACCCATGCTCACCGGCCGGCCATGTCATGTGCCACCCCAACCAGTCATGTTGGTGGGGATGCTCCGATTGGGCAGGCATGGGTCACATGTCCCCCCAAAACTCCATGGCCCTAAAGTGGGGACATGGTAGTCCTCTAAAGGACAGCCTAGAACGGAACCCTGAGGACAGGGATGGGGGGGCCATCCAGGGGGACATTCACTACAGAGAGAGGGACAGGCACAGCAAAGGCCCGGAGGGGTCAGGTCGCACAGTGGGCGAATTCAGAGCCCCTGGGCTTGGGGCAGGGGCAGAGGCCGGTGTGGGTCCCCACCAAGCCCTCCCAAGAAGGCTCCTCGGTCAGCCAGAGCACCACTCTTTGGCAGAACCGTGTGGGGCTGGCGGTGGCCATCGAGGTGGGCGCAGCCTTCCTGCCCCACAGCGAGGCCGTGAGGCTCAGGAAGTCCAGACACGCAGGGGCATGGCCGTCGGGCCCGGGGTCCCAGGGCTTTCCTGGGGGCCCGTGCCCTCACCTTCTGGTCCACTTCCTGCAGCCTCCAAGAGGGACTGCCTGGAGCGATTCGGGCCGCGGACGCTGGAGCGTGTCACGCGGGACGACGATGTCATCTGCACCACGGAGTACTCCCGGATAGTGCCACTGGAGAACGGCGAGGTGGGCCCCAGAGTGGGGCTGGGGGGCAGCCCGCGGGGTCCTGGCCGGTCTGATCGTGGCGACCAGGCCCCGGCCTGACCCTCCGCCTTGTCTGCAGATCGTAGTGTCCCTAGTGAACGGGCGGCCGGGAGCCACCAACTTCTCCTACTCACCCCTGCTGCGCGACTTCACCAAAGCCACCAACATCCGCCTGCGCTTCCTGCGCACCAACACGCTGCTGGGCCACCTCATGGGCAAGGCGCTGCGCGACCCCACCGTGACCCGCCGGGTGAGCACGCGGGCTGGGTGGGCCAGGCCAGGCTGGTGTGGGCAGTGTGGGTGGGCCAGGCGGCTAGGCCGGGCTGGTGTGGGCAGCGTGGGGTGGTCTGGGCCGCTGGGGTGGGGTGGTCCAGGCAGCGTGGGTGGGCTGGTGTGGGCAGCGTGGGGTGGTCTGGGTGGCGTGGGCGGGCCAGGTGCTGGGCCGGGCTGGTGTGGTGGGCCACGGTGCTCATGCCGTGGGTACAGTACTATTACAGCATCAAGGACATCAGCATCGGCGGCCGCTGTGTCTGCCATGGTCACGCAGATGTCTGTGATGCCAAAGACCCCACAGACCCCTTCAGGTGAGGCCGTCGGTCCCTGCCCATCCCCCTCATCCCTTGCCCAACCCAGGGAGGAGTTCCATTGCCCACCATGTCCCTGTCCCCGTGTGTCCTGCACCAGCTACCACTTGTGGCCTCAGTTTCCCCATGTGCACAGTGAGGGGAAGGCAGTGCCATGGGGAGCCTCCCTGAGGTGCCCTGTGCCTAGGTTGGGCCTGTTTGTCCTGCTGCCAGCAGAGGTGGGGTTCTTGTTTGGACCCCTGAACCAGCTGCCCCTCTCGCCTCAGGAGAAGCCCAGGGCCCTATGGAGGGGAGTGAGAGAGGGAGGTGATGGGCCTGAGGCTGCCTGTCTCTGTCCTCTGGGGTGGGTGGGGTGCTCCCCCACCTGCCCTCAGGCCACAACGACACAGTCCCTGCTGCCCACCCCCCCCCCGACCTTTGCCCTCCACTGTAGTCAGGGGCCACAGCCCAGGACAAGGAGTCACCCAGAGAGCCCTGTCTGACATGCGCTGTGCTCACCCAGCTCGGGGCAGCTGAGGCCTCCAGAGAGGGTCCAGATCCCAGGAGTCTGCATCTGTAACAGGCTGCCTGTAGATGTTGTGTGCCTGAGTGGCTCCAGGCACCCTAATTCGGCCATGAGTGTTCACCAAATTAACAGCTGGAGCCTGGCACTAGGCCAGGGCTGTCCTCTTCCTGCCTTGCACCAGCCCTGGCGGTGGTTCCTTCCTTCATTCGTTCCTCCTTCCTACCTTCTGTCAGCAACTGTGTGTTCAGCTAACATATGCTGGGCTCTGCTCCTGCACTGGGGACACGGTCCCACCCAGGAGCACCTGTTCTGGGAAGACAGGGAGCTTGCAGACCTGTATCCAGCGCAGTGGTCCTACAGGGCTGAGTGCTGTGGGCTCATGAAGCAGGTACGGGGGTGCACAGAGAGAGGCACAGCAGGACCTGCCATGGGGAGCCCGGGACAAGGTTCCTGGGCACCCCCAGCGGGGAGCTGGCAATCTCCCCCAGCTACTTCCATCACCTTGAAATTGTGCAGCCCCCCACTTCATGCGCTTGGATTTTGGACCTGCTCCGTGCCTTCCGCTGGGGTTTTATCGCTCTGTCCACACCCCAGTTTATAGGGGAGGCAAGTGAAGCCCAGACAGCACAGAAGCTCACCCCTGTTCTCACGGTCAAAGCTGCACCAAGAGGCAAACCCAGACCTCTTCAGGTGTGGCCAGTGGGTCTGAAGGAGGGAGGGGTGCAGTCCCCCTAGCTGGGGGGCTCAGGCCGGCTGCTTCCCTCCCGCAGGCCCTCAGGACCCACCTGGCCCTCCAGCCTCAGTGCAGCCCGGGCCAGGCTCCTGCCCACAGCATCAGGCGCCGAGCTCAGGGGCCGCTGATTGCTCTGGGAAATTAAGTGCCAAGTGGGAACTCGTGAGAGCTGGGAGGGGAGCCTGCTAGGCAGCCAGATTGGCCTCGGAGGAGAAGCGGGCCTGCCCTCACCTGCTGGGAAGGCGTCGCGTCCACCTGACTCACCTGCACGTGGGGGTGGAATGAGCTCAGCTCACCCTGCAGGGCACGAGTGATGATGTGGACTGGGCATCTTCCCCAGAACCACAGCACCAACGCTCTCACACACCAATGTCCCGAAATAATCAACCTGCCAGGTTCTCACTGCACCCATCTCCCACTACCTCTGCCCCTCCAGCTGGCTTGTCTCTGCCCCTTTACCTCCACTATCATCACCCTCACCTCAACCTCCACCACCATCACCACCAGCTCCAACACCCCTACCTGTAGCACTGTCACCACTCCTACCATCACCATCACCTCCTCCACCGTCAGCTGTGCTTCCAACCCCACCTGTACCCTCTCTCCCACCTCCATTATCAACCCCATCATTTTGAGTGCTGACAACCTGCCCGGCTCTGTACTGAACCTCTCGTTCATTCTCACCCTTTCCCTTGATTTGAAAGTTACACGTTTTGTTTCTGTTGGTACCTGAGTCCGTTCCGTAGCATGGATGGCTTATAAACGGACATTTCCTTCTCACAGTTCTGGAGGCTGGTGAGGACCTGCTCCCTGGTTCACAGATGACAGCTTCTTGCTGTGTCCTCACGTGGCGGAGGGGGGAAGAAAGCTCTCTGGGGTCCCTGTATAAGGACACTAATAGTGTTCATGAGGCTCCACCCCATCACCTAATCACCTCCCAAAGGCCCCACCTCCACACAGCGACCGTCACCTGGGGGGTAGGTTTCACATGTAACTTTGGGGGGGACATTCAGTTGGTGACCCTGTTGCATTCCTTTCCTCCTCCTGTTTACTGTCAGGCATACCTGACTTAACTGAATCCAGAGTTAACCAGCTCTTCTGCCATCTCCCTGATGACATGGCCCGAGTGCCCTGGCCCCACGCGGGGTTCTGCCCAGCGGAGCTCCATCGCCACTGCCTGTGGAGCTGCCCACTTGTCTCCCCAGTCCCGTGTTCTCTTTGCACCCAGGAACTCGGTTTCCTTCTCCTGAAATGCATCTTCAGCTGTTCTTTCCACGGGAGTCTGTTAGTCGTCGTCTGGAAATGGCCGTTTCGCTTCCTCTGGGGTGATAATGGAGCTGACTGCAGAATTCCTGGTTGGCGCCGTGTCTCTCAGCACTTTGGAGAGCTCATCTCACTGTCTCTGGCGTCTCTTGATGGTTGGGAGAGGCCACCGTCACCTGCACCAGTGTCTGCCTCTTCTGGATGTTTCCATGATCTTCTCTTGATTCTCTGCAGATTCACTCTGGTGTCAAGGAGTGGACATGCATTCTGTTGCTCAGGACTCAAGCTGTTTGAATCTGAGAATAGGTGTCTTCATTAACTCAAGACCGTTCTTGGCCCTTGGCTCTCTGACTGTTGGCTGTCCCGCCACCTGCCTCTTTTCTCTTTCTGGAATTCTCCTTACACAGACGGGACCTTCTCAAGGTTTCCTTCTGTCTCAGAACTTCTCGTATTCCGTCCTCTCTTCTGAGCTGCTTTCGGGACGGTCCCTCCGGCTCACCGACCCTCTCTTCAGCTGTGTCTGACCTTCTCTGTAGCCCTTCTATTCGGTCTTTCGTTTCAATGATTTTATTTTCCTTTACAGAAATTTTGATTGGTCTTTGGTCAACATGTGCCTATTTTTCATAGCATTGCGTTGTTTTGTTTCAGATTCCTTCAGTTACAATCTTTACACAGCCTTCTTTTCTGGTTTCTATGTGATTGCTCCGTTAAGGGAAGTTCTGGGGTCGAGTCTTGCTGTGGCCGCGCTGGCTGACGCTCCTGTGCTGTTCCCCTGCGAGTTCTTCGGCTGGGCGTCATCCGTGCGGTGCCGTGGGCCCTGCCTTGGGAAGACTCCCTCCAGATTGGTTTTGTGATGGCTTTCACCAAACACCCCCGGGCATCTCTAGCCCGGCACCGCTCTTTATGTTACTTTCTTGGTTTAGAGGTGCCTTGACCATGTAGATTATTGAAAAATCAAACACAGGCCCCTGGCTGCAGGTCCTCGGAGCCGGGTGAATGCAGACGGGCTTCCCGCAGTTACCTGCCGTGGCAGGCTGTTCCTGTGTCCTCTCCTCCTGAGGACCCTACATGTCCCTGGACTCTGTCAGGCACCGGGGTGACTCCAAGGCCTTGTGGACCCTCGTGGGGGACGGGCTGGGCTCACATGATTTGAAGTTCGGGTCTTGTCTTCCTGGACTGGCATCTGGGGTGCTGCTCAGGACACGCGCAGCGCTGCAGCCGTGGCGCTGGCCTGGGCCACGGAGCAAACAGCCCGGGACGGGGCTGTGATCCCTGCCCCACCTCAGCTGAGTTGTGGAGGTGTGTGCCGAGAGGTGGGGCTTTGGCACGGTTGTCCTGTGCGGTAGGTGGCTCAGTCCTCAGCTGTGACCAGCTGTCCCCCTGCCCACTGAGCCAACAGGAGCTGCTCTCCAGGACAGCAGGCAGGGTTCCAGCCCTCTGACTCGTGTCCACCCATGGCTGGAAGAGGAAGCAATTCTTGGCCACTTGCCTCTGGGAGGTGCCCTGGACGTATGGGGGCGTCTGGCTGAGCTCAGGGCTGCCTGCTGGGCGAGACCTGAACCTCAGAGCTGGCCCATGAAGGCTGTGAGCTTGGCCGTGGGTCCTAGCCCTGGTGGGGAGGGCATAGCTTGATCTCGAAGGACCCAGGGCTCCAGGCTGACCTGCAGGCAGGGACTACTGACCACTCACTACCCTGCCCCAGGCCCCACCCACCAACACATACCCCTTCCCCAGCTCCCATCCTCCACAAAGGCCCTACCTAGCCCCTACTGCCTCTGCTTCCTTGGGTCCCTCTGGGTCCACCGTGGGGCTGAGCCCTTCTTGTGCCCTGTGTCCCCCACAGGCTGCAGTGCGCCTGCCAGCACAACACATGTGGGGGCTCCTGTGACCGCTGCTGCCCTGGCTTCAACCAGCAGCCATGGAAGCCTGCCACCACTGACAATGCCAACGAGTGCCAGTGTGAGTGTCCCCCCACGTACACACTCTCACACACACACTCTTGCACAACATTCTCACATGCACTCACATGCGCAGGTGCTTACCTAACGCTGACAGCACTCACATGCACACACAATGCTCACCCACATGTTCACATGTACACTCAAATGCATATGCATGCACAACGCATGCCCCCGCATGTGTTCACACACACACTTGCACAGTGCTCACAATGCACTCACTCACACACTGACACACACGTGTATACACACTTATGCACGTGTGTGTTGTTGGCACACTGAGGCAACATGGCACGTTCTGCTGTCTGAGCCAGGCCACACCTGGGGTCATCTTTGATTTGTGGGACGTGCCCTGGGGGTCCCAGCAGTCCCAGCCAGGCCGGGTGATGGAGGGCCGTCTGACAGCTAATCCCCCTTCTCTCCAGCCTGCAACTGCCACAGCCATGCCCACGACTGCTACTACGACCCCGAGGTGGACCGGCGCAATGCCAGCCAGAACCAGGACAACGTCTACCAGGGTGGGGGCGTGTGCATCGACTGCCAGGTGGGGCCGGGCTGCTGCCAGGCCTGCATTGGGGGCTCGGGAGACTGAGGCGCTCGGCGTGGGTGGGGCCCTGTGCAGGAGGGCAGGCGTGGGGCTGAGGGTGCGGTTGGGTCACCTGGGGCCGGGGGTGGAGTGTCCCTGGACTCAGCGGCCCTGCACCCCCAGCATCACACCACCGGCATCAACTGTGAACGCTGCCTGCCCGGCTTCTACCGCGCCCCAGACCAGCCCCTTGACTCACCATACGCCTGCCGCCGTGAGTGCGATCGGCCTGGGTGGGGTTTCCAGGGGAGCAAGGTCTGCCCGGGTAGGGGTGTCCTAGGGCAGGGACATCCTAGGTCTTGGGGTTCTGCCCAGGCAGGGACATCCTGGGAACAGGGTCTGTGCAGGTAGGGGTGTCCCAGGGCCTCAGGCTCCCTGTGGCCCCGGGGCCCTTGCACTGCTTTGGGAGTCCTGGCCACAGCTCTCATCCCCCTACTCAGACTGGTAGGCAAAGACTGCCCCTTCCTAGACCAGCCCCCCCGGGGCCTGAGAGCCCTGGGCTTGGGGTCTCAGGACCTCCCGCTTCCGCCCCACCCAGGCTGCAACTGCGAGTCGGACTTCACCGATGGGACGTGTGAGGACCTGACGGGCCGCTGCTACTGCCGGCCGAACTTCACGGGGGAGCGGTGCGACGCGTGTGCCGAGGGCTTCACCGGCTTCCCGCTCTGCCACCGTGAGGACGCCGGCCTGGGGGCGGGGGCCTGGGGCTCCGAGCGCCCGAGCATCACTGCCTGCTGGGCCCCGGAACCCTGGGGTGGGGGGACCCCAGGGGGGGCCTTTTGTCGGGTCTGCATCTCCAGCTGTCGGAGACACCCAGGGTGGCCCGGCCTGGCTGACGCGTGTGTCTCCTCCCCTCAGCGGTGGCCTCCTTCCCCAACGACACCGGGGAACAGGTGCTGCCGGCCGGACAGATCGTGAGTAAGTGGCCCCCAAGGCCCCCGCCCTGCCCTGGGCCCCAGTGAAGCAGTGGGGCAGGAGGGGGCCCCACGAAGGCCCTGCAGAGAGGGAGGATTTTCATCTTACCTTATTTTGGGTTCTTTTATTTTTATGCAAATAGTTCATATTCAAGCTAAAAAACCTTCAAAAATATAAGTAAGCATAAGGTTGAAGAAAAAGTTATCCAGAATCATCCCGCTTCCAGATAGTCCCTCTGCCCACCGCGGGAGCCTCGCCATGCGCGTGCACACTTGGCCATGACCAACATTGACGTTTACTGTGCACACTGTTTTGTACTTGCGTCTTCACCCACCACAGTCCTGTAAACATGTCATTTCCTGGTCTCTGTGGCTCGGACAGATGTAGCTGTTACTTAACCAACCCCCAGTTGTTGGAAATTTAGGTTCTTTCCAGATTTTTTTCTAGATAGTGCTACATAAACATCCTTGCGGCTAAAGCTTTCCATAAATTCTTAATTATTTCCGTAGGACAATTTCCTAGAAGGTTCTGCCCAGGCTAGATGTGCACGTCTGGGGCATTTGTCTGTAGCTCACCAAGTAGCTCCCTTAAAATAAAGTACTCTACCAGCCTGGAGTTACCTTAGCAGCATTCACACACATCAGTCAGGTCATTGTTGTCCCTAGGAAGTAACGTTTATTCTTATCGTCAGCTTGATTGGCTAAAGATACTCTCCTCGGTTCAGAGATGCATTTCTCCCTTTTGCCTGCTTCTGGGGTTGGGATGTATCTTTTGGTTGGTGGCACATCATAGTCTGATTGGCAGGTGTTTTCCTTTCATCACAGGACATAAAATAATGGTGTGCTTTCTAATTGGTGGTGGTGGAGGTCTGAGTGCATTTGGTATTTCGTTGTTTGTAGCTGTGTGGTTTCATTTCTGGGCTCTCAGTTCTGTTCCATTGGTCTGTGTGTCTGTTCTTCTGCCAGTACTGTGCTGTTTTGACTACTGTAGCTTTGCAGTATATTTAGAAGTCAGGGAGTGTGATGCCTCCAGCTTGGTTCTTTTTTTCTCAGGATTGCTTTGGCTATTCGGGATATTTTGTGTTTTTCTAGCGGGGCCAGGTCAGGGATACTGTTAAACATCCTGCAGTGCACAGGATAGCCCCCACCCCCACAATAAAGAGTTACCCAGCCCAGAATGTCAGTGGTGCCGAGGTTGAGAAACACTGAGTTAAAAAGCTCTTAATCTGCCTCAGGGTGTAGCTTTGGCTAGGGGGGCCCCATAGGGTTGATATGCTGAGTTGTCATTACTGTTCCTTTCTAAACAATGTGTCATTTCAGTTTCCATGTTCCTTTCCACCCGAGTTATTTAGAAGAGTGTTCCTAACTCCGGGTGGTTAGATTTCCTTTCTGTCCTTTTTTTGATGGTTCAGTCCTAGTTTTATTGCATCTTGCTCAGATTTAGTAGTCTGATAATTTCTGGGTTTTCCTTCTAGAGTGAAACTGACACCTTTGGGTTTTATCTCATGAAAGGGACAGAGACTATGGCTGCTGTCGGTAGGGCTTGCTCCTGCCTTTATTGTATCATTTCTCCCTTCCTGTACATTTTTCCCTTCCAGCCTGTTGCCAGATTGAGCAACAAAAGGTGCTTGGGTTGGTTGGTTTGCGTTTCCTCCTCGGGGTTTGCAAGTTCTGTTTCTATCTTCTGGTCAGTCCCATGGTTATTCTTACATTTTTGATAAATATCAAGTCATCATATTGTATCAGTTACAAAAATTGCATAGCATTTATGACCCTGTTTTCATGCATAAGTTAAGACATTTAGCACACTTTTTCTTCCTTCTTCCCGACCCCCAGAATTATTTATAAAGACTAGAGTTTTCTCTTTGCCTTGTTATGTTTTGTTCTTACGTTTTTCTCTGGTTGTGTTAATGCCTGCAGTTGACTTGGTATCAATGTTATAAACAACTAGTCATATGTGTTTACAGTTGTCCTGATTTCACGCACACCACTGTTTTCTCAAAGCGTCGGCTCTCCCTTCTTGGGATTTCTACTGTCTTTCAGTTTTGTAGGAACATAGTATAAGTGTAAGGAGATGAGTTTGAGGAGGTTTCCCAGCAGGGAGGGCTCGGGTCTGCAGGGCATCTGAGACTCCCCTCCTCTTCCCCCACTTCAGACTGTGACTGCAGTGCCGCCGGGACCCAGGGCAATGCCTGCCGGAAGGACCCAAGGGTGGGACGCTGTGTATGCAAACCCAACTTCCAGGGCACCCACTGCGAGCTCTGTGCCCCAGGGTTCTACGGCCCGGGCTGCCAGCGTGAGTCCAGCCCTGTCCCTGTCCTTGCATGGACACTGAGAGCCTGGCCCCTCTCTGACAAGTATGCCACCCCTCCCTGCAGCATGCCGGTGTTCCAGCCCCGGTGTGGCAGATGGTGACTGTGACCGCGACTCGGGCCAGTGCCAGTGCCGGACTGGCTTCGAAGGGGCTGCCTGTGACCGCTGTGCCCCCGGCTACTTCCACTTCCCTCTCTGCCGGTGTGAGTGAGGCCTCCCCCAGTGGGCACAGCTGGGTGTGGGGCCCAGGCTTGGGCTGCCCAGCTCAGGGCCCCCTGGGCACTTTTCCACTCCACAGTGTGCGGCTGCAGCCCTTCAGGGACCCTGCCCGAGGGCTGTGACGAGGCTGGCCGCTGCCTATGCCGACCTGAGTTTGATGGCCCTCACTGTGACCGCTGCCGGCCTGGCCACCATGGCTACCCCGACTGCCGTGGTGAGCAAAGGGCCCAGGTGGAGCCTAAGTGGGGCAGGAGGCCACCCGTAGGCATCCAGAGCCTGACTCTGTGTCCCCTGCAGCCTGTGCCTGTGACCCCCGGGGTGCCCTGGACCAGCTCTGTGGAGTGGGTGGCGTATGCCACTGCCGCCCTGGCTATATGGGGACCACCTGCCAGGAGTGCAGCCCCGGCTTCCACGGCTTCCCCGACTGTGCCCGTGAGTGCCCTTGTGGGAGGCCGGGAGGGCGGCTGTGTCCGCACCATGTGCCCACACCCATCCTCCTCCCCAGCCTGCCACTGCAATGCCGACGGCTCCCTACATGCATCCTGCGACCCTCGCAGCGGGCAGTGCAGCTGCCGGCCCCGTGTGACGGGGCTGCGGTGTGACACATGTGTGCCCGGTGCTTACAACTTCCCCTACTGTGAAGGTGAGGCTGGTGCAGCATGTGTCGTGTGCTGGGTGTGTTGTTCACATGCGCACTTTTGTGTGCTGGGTGTTCCCGTGACTGTTCGCGTGCTCTGCTTGCCCACACGTGTGCTCATGTGGTGCTTCACACGCTGCAGTCTGTGAATGTGTGTGTGTGTGTGTGTGTTCGTGTGCTGCGTGAGTGTCCACGCACATTTTTATGTGGGTGTTCTTGGATGTGTGTGTTCACTTATTTGTGTTCACGTGCTATACGTGTATCCGTGTGTTCACGTGCTTTGTGCACACATGTGCTTGTGTGGCTGTTCGTCATGGTGCATGTTCACACGTGTTCACATGCTCTGTGTGCTGGTTGCATGTTCATAACCCATGTTGTGGGGACCACAGCACAGAAGCACAGGTTTTCACGCTTGTTCATATGTGTGGGAGGTGTGTGTGCTGGCTCCCATGGAGCTGTGAGTCCTGGCTGGTCCTGGGCAAGCCGCTGGCCATTGGGGTCGGGGACCAAGGAATGACCATGGTCCGGGTGTCTCCACAGCTGGCTCCTGCCACCCTGCTGGCCTGGCCCCAGCCGTTCCTGAGGTAAGCCCTGGTCAGCCCTCGCTGGGGGGATGGGTGCGGCCCAGTGAGACCATTGCTTCCTTCTGCTGCTCAGTTGTCACAGCAGCCTCAGGGCCCACCTCCTCCCCAGTAGTCCTCTGTCCGTACTCCAGGAGCATGCCAGAGACAGGGCAGGGCTCCAGGGCTTAGGGTTGTGGGCAAGAGGACAGGGACCCACTCTGACCCTCAGTCTCATCTTCTCCCAGGCACAGGCCCCCTGTATGTGCCGGGCTCATGTGGAGGGACCAAGCTGCGATCGCTGTAAACCCGGGTTCTGGGGGCTGAGTCCAAGCACCCCTGAAGGCTGTACCCGTGAGTGTGCCTGGAGTGGGTATTGGGGGTGCTGGGGGCCCTGGGAGGTGAGGGCTGGCCTCACAATCCTGAGCAGGATGGAGTCCAGGCCCTCCTGCCCCTCCCCCATCTCAAGCTTGCCCTGCCCCCGTCCCCCCAGGCTGCAGCTGTGACCCCAGGGGCACACTGGGTGGAGTTGCCGAGTGCCAGCTGGTGAGTCTGAGGGCCGAGGTGCTGGGGGCTGTGGGGGCCGGCGTGTCGAGACCCTCCCCTGCCTGGTCCCACCTTCTCCCTCGGTCCCCAGGGCAGCGGCCAGTGCTTCTGCAAGCCCCACGTGTGTGGCCAGACCTGCGCGGCGTGCAAGGATGGCTTCTTCGGGCTGGACCGGGCTGACTACTTCGGCTGCCGCAGTAGGTCCTTGCTCACTCGCGCCTCTGACTGTGTCGCGGAGGAGGCTGAGCCAGGATGGGACCGGTGGGGCGAGGGCCCCAGCCAGGGCCTGGGCACGGGGAGGCCCAGATGTTGGACTGTCACTCATTGAGCTGCTTCTGGATGCCTGGCCAGGCCTGTGCGGGGTGTGGGAGAGAGGGGGCACTACCATCTCTGCCCTCAATCCTCCTGCCCTCCAACCCGCACCCCTGGTGGACGTCGCTAGTCAATCCCAGGTCCCTTGCCCCCGAGCCTGGACTCAGAGCCTCTGGTGTCCAGAGCCCCAGGCAGCCTCGAGTGCTAGACAGAAGGTGCCTTCTCAGGCCCGGTTGCTCTCGGCAGAGGGTGGACAGAGCCCCAGGGGCCTGTCTCTGAGGCCGGAGCAGGCTCCTGAGCCAGGGGGCTGTGGGAGGAGCACTAAGGCAAGGGGGCTGGGCCGCGTTGACCTCACTCCCTCCCACTGCAGGCTGCCGCTGTGATGTTGGTGGTGCGCTGGGCCAGGGCTGTGAACCGAGGACAGGCGCCTGCCGGTGTCGCCCCAACACCCAGGGCCTCACCTGCAGCGAGTGGGTGCCCCCCGACAAGGCAGGGGCAAGGGGCTCGGGGAGGCGGCTTGTCCACTGGGCTGCTCCCTGGGGACCATGGTGGGCTGTGCAGGGCCAGTGCCTGCCCTGCCCAGCCAGGATGGCGGCTGCCCCTGACCACCCCTGCTGTGGCCAGGCCAGCGCGGGACCACTACCTCCCCGACCTGCACCACCTGCGCCTGGAGCTGGAGGAGGCAGCCACGCCTGAGGGCCACGCCATACGCTTCGGCTTCAACCCCCTGGAGTTCGAGAACTTCAGCTGGAGGGGCTATGCGCAGATGACGCCCATCCAGGTGGGTGTGGCACAGCCCCAGCCCCCGGCTCGGGGCTTGAGCTGGTGGGCAGGCCCCTGCGGTCCCAGGACCAGGCTGAGAATGGCCAGGGAGGGGAGACCCTGATTTTCCACACCTCCCCACAGCCCAGGATCGTGGCGAGGCTGAACGTGAGCTCCCCTGACCTCTTCCGGCTGGTCTTCCGATACGTCAACCGTGGGCCCACAAGTGTGAGTGGGCGGGTGTCTGTGCAAGAGGAGGGCAAGTTTGCCACCTGCACCAACTGTGAGTGTTGGCGGGGGTGCCCCTGCCCCTCCCGCCCGCCCTCCCCCTGCCCCCACTCACGCCTCAATCCCACCCAGCCCCAGCCCTGCCCTGGGCCCGCACGAGGGTGGGGAGGTTAGCCTGTCCGCTGGCCCTGGGCAACGTGCGGCCTGGGCTGGCTGGTGGGCTGTGTCCGGGAGTCTCACCGTCCTTGCTCCCAGGCACAGAGCAGAGCCAGCCGGTGGCCTTCCCGCCCAGCACGGAGCCTGCCTTCGTCACCGTGCCCCGGAGAGGCTTTGGGGAGCCCTTTGTGCTGAACCCTGGCACCTGGGCCCTGCTCGTGGAGGCCACAGGGGTGCTCCTGGTGAGGCAGGGGCTGAGCAGGGCGGGGTGGGGCGGGGCGGGGCGGTGGTTAGGGCCATGGTACCCACTGCCCGCTCTGCCCCAGGACTATGTGGTCCTGCTGCCTAGCGCGTACTACGAGGCGGCCCTCCTGCAGCTGCGGGTGACCGAGGCCTGCACGTTCCGGCCCACTGACCAGCGCTCTGCAGAGAAGTGAGGGTCGGCCCGATGGGCGGGGGCGTGGGGCCCGACCCTCACTGTGCTCAGGCCGCCTGCCCCTGCTGACCACAGACCATGTCCCCCTTGGCAGCTGCCTCCTGTACACCCACCTGCCCCTGGACGGCTTCCCCTCGGCCGCTGGGCCCGAAGCCCTCTGTCGTCATGACAACAGCCTTCCTCGGCCCTGCCCCACGGAGCAGCTCAGCCCCTCCCACCCGCTGCTGGCCGCCTGCCTAGGCAGTGACGTGAGTGTCTCTGGGGCCCCACAGAGGGGCGGCCGAGTGGGGTCAAGACCTGTGGGGAGGTGTACCCTTGGCCTGGGAAATAGGGGTCCGTGTTGCAGTGACAGGACACAGGTGCAGGGCAAGAGAGATGCGGGCGAGGCCGTGGGTTTGACCGGGAGTCAGGACACCCTCGGGCCTTGTCTGTAAATGGTATTGACGGCTCCAGCCCTCTGCTGATCACAAACAGGTGTTGGGTCTTTTATTCACTCCAAGACTCGGGCCAGACCTCTGGGCACTCAGCAGCGGTGAGGCCAGTGGGCCTCAGGTGGGCAGGGGAGGCTCGGAGTGAGCAGAGGTTGCAAGGTGGCGGCTGAGGCAGTGTCCTGGGAGGAGTGGCCCAGGCAGCCGGGACAGCAGGTGCACAGGCCCTCAGACCAGCGGGAGGAGGCTCTGAGGGAGGACAGTGGGAAGAGCCATGTCCAGGGAGCACATGGAGTCCTGTTCTCCAGGTGGGGGCTGGGGCGGGGCCTCTGACTGTCCTGTCCCCCCAGGTGGATGTCCAGCTGCAGGTGGTGGTGCCGCAGCCAGGCGACTATGCCCTGGTGGTGGACTACGCCAATGAAGACACCCGCCAGGAGGTGGGCGTGGCGGTGCACACTCCCCAGCGGGCCCCTCAGCAGGGGGCACTCACCCTCCACCCCTGTCCATACAGGTGCATGGGGTCGGGGGCTAGGGGGCTGGAGAGGAGGGCTTGGGCCCCAGGGCTGCCCCACCCACTGACCACCCCTGCCCGGCCCCAGCACCCTGTGCCGAGGTGCTGTCCTGGACGCCCAGCACCACCTGGTGTTCTTCCATCTGGACACAGAGGCCAGCATCCGGCTCACAGCTGAGCAGGCGCGCTTCTTCCTGGTAAGGTCCTGCCCCTTGACCTGCACGGTCCCCACGACCTCCCGTGGGGTCAGGTCTCCTATCTGATCTTAAGCACGTTCAGAGGTAGGGAGAAGAGTGCAGGGAGCCCAGGTCCCCGTCACCAGCCCCACCCACAGCTCCTGGTCCTGAGTTTTCTAGAACACCCCTTACCTGCAGGGTTTTTTCCCTGTGAGCACAAAATGTCTATTTATTTAGAAGTAGTGCTCACAGCCATGGCAGCCGTGGAAGGGGAAGTACGATGCACTGGAGCTGGAGTGGAATGAAAGTGACCTTAACCAAAGACCGCTTTTTTGGTATAATTTGCAAAAACATGTCCGTATGTGAACAGCACCCCTCCCCTGGGTTAGGAGGGAGCCTGCTCACCGGGTCCTGAAGCTTAAGTTCACCAGCGTCATGGTGATTTGCTTCTGTACCAACCTCACGGAGTTGTGAGCAGTAAATCACAGACCAGATACCTGCAAACCTGTTTTGTAATCACTAAATCCTGTGCAATAGTCGTCGTTATTCTGATGCACAGAACCAAGCGTAAAAATTTATTCTGCAAGTAACAGAACGGATGATGTCTGCTCTCACAGAACCTCTTACAGTCATTACGTTTCCCTTGGCCTTTGAAAAGTTCACGTGGGTAATACACGCACGCATTTTTACTGAAGTATCAATCATCAATGAGAGGCTTGTAATACAGTCACCCCCTCATCCTGCATTTTCCTTTTTCTCTTTTTTTGATGTTTTTTTCAATCATTTTATTGAGGGCGTAATGGTTTATATATTGTGTGATTTCAGGTGCACATTGTTATTTATCAGCTTCTGCATAGACTGCGTCGTGTTCACCACCAACAGTCTGGCTTTCACCCATCACCACATACATGTGCCCTTTACCCCTTGGCCCACCTCCCAACCCCCTTCCTGTCCCCACATCTTTCCAACTCCACTCTCCAGAGTCAGTGTTTCTGCCATGTTGCTAATAGCATGGACCACGTTGCTTTCTCCTGAGTGGTCGATGCATGACACCACAGTCTGCCCTCGCCCACGGCTCTGCCACTGGGGACAAGGGTGTTTTAAACTTGCTGTTTCGTGTACATGGGAAAGGACCCACAGCACACAGGCCAGCGCATTTCTCCCGGCCCCAGCACCCAAGCCAGGAAGCAACACTGCCCACCGACGGCCCTCAGGCCCCTGGGGTCACACCTCCCCGCGCTGACCACACTGCTTAGTTTGCTTGCTCCGGAACTTTCTGTAACTGGGACACCTGGGTTCCTCTTTTGTGCTGCGTCTTTCGCCAACTCCGTGTTGGAGATGGATCTGTGGGGTCACTGAGTCTGTGCAGTGTTTCTTGTCTTCGCTGTAGGGTTTTCTAGACGCGCTGCGATGTCTCGTGTTGTGTTGTATTTGTCACATGTGTACCTACACCGCAGTGGACAGCCTGGGGCAGAGACGCCTGCCGGTGAACTGGGCTTACTGAGTGCTGGCCTTTGCCGGGTCCCATCCCTGGAGCTGTGGGGAGGCAGGCAGTCAACGTGCACTTGAATGACTGCAGACAGCAAGGGGGTGGACAGCGGAGAGGTGGGGCAGCCAGGGCGAGAGCCGCGCAGGAAGTGCTCTGAGCCCCAGAAGCCGCGGTTGAGGGCTGGGGTTTATGCAGACAGAGGAGGGGCTGCCAGAGTGGGGACAGGGACTTGATGCAAAGAGCAGGACTCGGTGTTCGCCGGGGCGTGGATGGGGCTCCACCAGCACCTCCACGTCCACCCCTGCCCTCTGCCCGCAGCACAGCGTCACCCTGGTGCCTGTGCAGGCGTTCACCTTGGAGTTCCTGGAGCCCCGGGTCCACTGCGTCAGCAGCCACGGCACCTTCGGCCCCAGCAGGTAGTGGGGCTGGGAGGGGGCGGGGGGGCCGGCAGGGCACACTGGCCGGATCACCAGGACTCTCCCCTGTGCTCCCTTGCCAGTGTTGCCTGCCTGCCCTCCCGCTTCCCGAAGCCGCCCCAGCCCATCGTCCTCAGGGACTGCCAGGTGCTGCCACTGCCTCCCGGCCTCCCGCTGACCCGCTCGCAGGAGCTCACACCAGGTGCACCCCCGTCTGGGCCCCAGCCTCGACCCCCCACCGCCGTGGACCCCGATGTGGAGCCCACCCTGCTGCGCCACCCTCAGGTGAGGGCCCGGGCCACGAGGGATGGGGCTGTGGGCCAGGCCGGCACTCAGGCCCCCTGCTGTTGGCTGCCCTTGGCAGGCGGTCCAGGTGGCAGTGGGGGCTGGCTCAGCTCCCCCTGCAGCGTCCCCACACCACACTCACTGGAGCCTCTACCTGCAGGGCACGGTGGTCTTCACCACCCAGGTGCCCGCCCTGGGCCGCTATGCCTTCCTGTTGCACGGCTACCAGCCGGCCCATCCCACCTTCGCCGTGGAGGTCCTCATCAACGGGGGCCGTGTCTGGCAGGGTGAGTGGCTGTGGCGGGTGGTGGAGGGGACAGACCCCCAGACAAGGAGACTGTTGGGGGTCTTATCCACATGGCCCCATTGTGTGGTCACCACACACGACATGGACAGATAGTGTGCTGGTTCCATGCGTGGCCTGCGTGGGTCACAGCACAGTGCCCATTACCTGGCTGTGAATGACAGGTCCACACATCCCCATCCTGCCGTCAGTTCTCCAATGAGGTGCCCCGGGGTCCCCTGCAGGCGGCAGCCCCAGCCTCCCTGCCCCCTCAGGTTCTGCTCCTCGTACCTGAATCAGGATTCGCCCATCACACGCACGGGCGATTGAGGGTTTGCTAGGGACCACTGGTTGATGGCACGCGCGTTCCTACGTGTGTGTCTGTTTTGTTCCTGCTCAGCCAAGCTCAGGGGCCTGTGTTTAGTGGGCCCAGCCAGGCGGGCCTCTGCAGGCGAGTCATATGTCCGTGTCACGTGTCACAGGTGTACGCTCCTTGGTGGGGAGGGCTCTGCCCCATGGGCACCCCCTCCTTCTGGTGGTTCCAGGAGTGCCCAGGGCCGGGATGAAGCCATGGGCCAGGGGTGGTAGGTGGGGGTGCTGACCTGCCTTTTCTTCCTGCTCCAGGCCATGCCAACGCCAGCTTCTGCCCGCATGGCTACGGCTGCCGCACCCTGGTGGTGTGTGAGGACCAGGCTGTCCTGGATGTGACCGACAGTGAGCTCACTGTGACTGTGCGTGTGCCCGAGGGCCGGTGGCTCTGGCTGGTGAGTCCTGAGGCTGGTATCTCTTTGTGGGGACATCCCAGGGCCTGGCATGGGGCTGATGTTCTGTGTGGGGCTGGTGTCCCTGCATGTGGACATTCCGGGACCCAGCGTGGGGCTGGTGTCCCTGCGTGGGAATGTCCTGAACCTGCTCCGGGACCAGCCGTCCTCACACCTGTCACACCACCGTTGGTCACTCAGCCAGGGTATGTCCCCTGCCTGCCTCGGCCCAGCCCCATGCCAGTGCTAGGGGACAGCAACCTCTGGGGACTTCTAGGCCTACCACCTGAAGCTCCAGAGAGAGCCCAAGAGCCGAGATGTTGCCCACCAGCTCCCTAGGGTCCTGCTGGCCAGGGTAGCCTTTGTGGAGGAGAGAGGGCCTGAAGGAGGGCGAGGGAGGGCAAAAGTGGGTCCAGGAGGCAGGGTTGAGAGGGACCCCAGGAGGCCGGGCACCTCCTTGTTGGTACTGCCTCCTCACGCTCCCGAGCTTCTGTCAGGCTGTGGAGGTGACCTCCTTTCTGAGCGGTCCGGGTGTGCTCTGGGCCTGGCTGGGATGCTGCGCCACTGTCCGAGCTGCCCGGCCAGACCCTGGCCAGTCACAGGGACCCTCTGGTGCTGTGCTCCTACAGCAGGCTCTGGCATGCTCCCCGTCACGTGCCCTCTTCGGGGCTACGGGGAGGTGACCAGGCCTTGATGCCCTAGGAGTACGTGTTAGTGGTCCCTGAGGACGCCTACAGCCCCAGCTACCTCCGGGAGGAGCCCCTGGACAAATCCTACGACTTCATCAGCCACTGTGCCATCCACGGTTACCACATCAGGTGGGCCGGGCTCGGGGCAAGGCCGAGGGCAGGGCTGGGAGCCCGGACCGGGAGCCGGCCTCACCACTGCCCCTTGCTGCAGCCCCACCAGCTCGTCCCCGTTCTGCCGCAACGCCGCCACCTCGCTCTCTCTCTTCTACAACAACGGGGCTCGGCCCTGTGGCTGCCACGAAGTGGGTGCCACGAGCCCCACGTGTGAGCCCTTCGGGGGCCAGTGTCCTTGCCGCGCCTACGTCATCGGCCGCGACTGCTCCCGCTGCGCCACTGGCTACTGGGGCTTCCCCAACTGCAGGCGTGAGTAGCGCATCCATGGGAGTGCCAGCGAGGGGCGTAGTGCCCGAGGCTGAGGGGGCTTCCTGGTGGAGGGGGGCTCACCAAGAAGCGTGGGCACAGTGGTCCAGAGAACATTCTGGAGCCTGGCAGGCCAGCTTTTCGCCTCCTAACTGTGGGACTTGGGCAGCTTGTGGCCTGGGCTTTGCAGGGTTGTCCGGAACGTTCTAGGGACTAGATGGCAATTCTGGGTGGCTGACCCCTTCTCAGAGGAGCCGCCTGAGGCCCGGGACTTGGAGGTGGGTGGAACTGGGTAGGGGGTGGGGTGGAGCGTCCCTGGCTTCGCCCCCTGGTGCCACACCCCCAGGGTTGCAGGCCGGGGCCACCCAGCTGGGCAGAGGGGTCTGCCAGCCCTGTGCATGTTCCCCACAGCCTGCGACTGCAGCGGCCGCCTCTGTGACGAGCTCACAGGCCAGTGCACCTGCCCTCCCCGCACCGTCCCACCCGACTGCATCATCTGCCAGCCCCAGACCTTCGGCTGCCACCCCCTGGTCGGCTGTGAGGAGTGTAACTGCTCGGGGCCTGGCGTCCAGGAGCTCACGGACCCCACCTGTGACACGGACAGCGGCCAGTGCAAGTGAGAGCCTGGGCGGGTGTCCCCATGGCTGTGGGGCAGTCCCAGGTCCTGAGCCACATGGCCCCCACCAGGCTCCTCGGGTCCAGCAGTGCCCACTCCTTCAGATCTTGGGGGTCTCTCATTCAACACGGGGGCTGGGGAGGAGGGGAGGCCCAGCCAGCTCCTGAACACCCACTGGCAGGTGCAGACCCAACGTGGCCGGGCGCCGCTGTGACACTTGTGCCCCCGGCTTCCACGGCTACCCCGCCTGCCACCCTTGTGACTGCCACACAGCAGGCTCTGCCCCTGGCGTGTGCGACCCCCTCACAGGCCAGTGCTACTGCAAGGTGAGGGGCCCACAGGGGGCCAGGGACCTGCCACCCCCACCCTCCCTCTCCTCCTGGCTCGTCACCTGGAATTCATCTCCTCGGGGCGGTTGGGGCTTCCTAGGAGCTTTTGGGAGAGTCAGTCCGTCAGCGAGCTGGGGGTCACAGGGAGCCAAGGGGGATCAGGGGCCCCAGCACCTGGCCGAATGACCTGCCCTGCCCTCCTGCCCCTAGGAGAACGTGCAGGGCCCGAGGTGTGACCAGTGCCGCCTTGGGACCTTCTCCCTCGATGCCGCCAACCCCAAAGGTTGCACCCGCTGCTTCTGCTTTGGGGCCACGGAGCGCTGCAGGAGCTCGGCCCACGGCCGCTGGGAGGTGTGCAGGCAGGGGGCCTGGGACTGAGGGCAGCGCCTTGGGGAGAGGACATCATGCTCCCCAGCCAGCGTGTCTGGGATGTGGGAGAGGGCCTCGTGATGTGGAAGGGTACTCATCCACCTGCCCTACGTGGGTGCCCCACAGTACGTGGACATGGAGGGCTGGGCGCTGCTGAGCACTGACCGGCAGGTAGTGCCCCACGAGCTGCGGGCAGAGGCGGAACTGCTCCACGCTGACCTGCGGCACGTGCCTGAGGCCTTCCCCGAGCTGTACTGGCAGGCCCCACCCTCCTACCTCGGGGACCGGGTGAGCATGCCCATTGGGCCCCCACTGCGAGGTGTCTGGGACCTCCCGGAGGCCTGGGAGGGTGGCAGTGAGGTTGCCTCTGTCCAGGGAGGGATGGGGGCTCCCTGAGGGTGTCCAGGGCCCCCTAGAGGCCTGTGGTGGTGGAGGCAGCCAGAGAAAGTGCCCAGGCCCAGCCCCGTGCCCCAGGGGTGCCTAAGACCACTGTCGTCAGCTCTGGGCCTGTGGACAGGGTCTGGCCAGGCCTCATCCTTTGTGTGACCTGCAGGTGTCATCCTACGGCGGGATCCTCCGCTATGAAGTGCACTCGGAGACCCAGCGGGGGGACGTGTTCATCCCCACGGAGAGCAGGCCGGATGTGCTGCTGCAGGTGGTGGACGGGGGGGTCACTGCAGGGGGCAGGCGGGCACAGTCGAGCCTGCACAGTGGGCAGCCTGGTTGCTGGCGCTCACCTGGCCATGTGCCTCCCCAGGGCAACCAGATGAGCATCACATTCCTGGAGCCGGTGTACCCGGCGCCCGGCCACGTTCACCGTGGGCAGCTGCAGCTGGTGGAGGTGAGTAGGGCTGGCCTGGGTGCCCAGGTCCCTCCTGGACCCTGCATGGTGCAGGGAAGGCCAGAAGGGGCGCCGGGCTGCTGTGCCTGCTCTCCCTGGTGGAGAGTGGGGCCTGGGAGCGGGATGGGGCAGGGCACTCCTCTCCCACGCTTGAATCGTGGCACCTTCTTCCTGGCTACTGGGGGAAATGCTCCCAGGCACAATGCTCCCGGGCCACGTGCTGGCTTGGGAACCCTGATCCCCAGTGGGTGAGCAGCCCCTTGGATGCTCAGAGGACTGTGGTTCCCTCTGAGCTGCCTGTTCATGTCTTTTGCCGGTTTCTCTTTTGGCTGTGGTCTTTTCTCATCTTTTTAGGGTAGTTCTGTGTTATTCTTTTCTTTTTTGTTTTTTTGGTGAGGAAGATTGGCCCTGAGCTAACATCTGTTACCAGTCTCCCTCTTTTTGCTTATAGAAGACTGGCCCTGAGCTAACGTCCGTGCCCATCTTCCTCTATTTTATGTGTGGGATACCACCTCAGCATGGCTTGTTGAGTGGTGTGTATGTCCACTCCTGGGATCCAAACTGGTGAACCCCAGGGCGCCAAAGTGGAGTGTGCAAACCCAACGACCATGCCACCGGGCCAGCCTCAGTTCTGTGTTATTCTTGACACTCACCCTGTGTCCAACATCAGAGTGGCAATGTCTTCCCCTGCGTTTGTGGCTCATGTCTATCTTTCTCTAAGACGTCTTCTGATGAATGGAAGCTCTTAAATTTGACACACTCAGATTTATCAATCCTTCCTTCACAGTTAGTGTGTTTGTGTCTTGTTTAAAAAAGTATCTGCCTCTCCGAGATCAGGAATACTCACGTATACTTTTTTTCTCAAAGCTTCAACTGTCTTCCTTGTGTGTTTGAACTCTTGCCATATCTGGGTTTGTACATGGCGTGAGGGAGGGTCCAGGTCCTGGTGTCCCCATGGTGACGGGTTTTCTAGCTCTGCGTGCCACCCTTCCTGCCCCGTGATCTGAGTGCCCCGCCGCTGCAGGAGGGGAGGCCTCCTCCGGGCTCCTGCTTTGCCCTGTTGCGTGCGGCCCGCTGAGGTCTTGCCGTGCCCCGCAGGGGAACTTCCGGCATGCGGAGACCCACAGCGCCGTGTCGCGCGAGGAGCTCATGATGGTGCTGGCCGGCCTGGAGCAGCTGCAGATCCGTGCCCTCTTCTCACAGATCTCCTCGGCCGTCTCCCTGCGCAGGGTGGCGCTCGAGGTGGCCAGCGAGCTGGGCGGGGGGCCTCCAGCCAGCAACGTGGAGCTGTGCATGTGCCCTGCCAGCTACCGTGGGGACTCCTGCCAGGTGAGGCATGGGCACAGGGACCGGCCATGGGGCTGCTGCCCACCAGCCAGCCTGCCCCCACCCACGCACGCCTGGCCCGGCCGTGCTCAGAGCCCAGCGTCTGCTCTTGTCCTCTCTCCGCATCTCCCTCGCCTCCATCTCGGATCCTAACCGCTGGCATCGCCTTCCCAGCAGCCCTGCCTTCCTGCCGCAGGCCGCGCCAGCCCCCTTGCTCATCTGGCCACTAATCCGCTGTCACGCCGTCTCGGTGCCCAGCCGTCTGTGCATGCAGCTGCTCTTTATCCACTCACTCTCCAGTCTGCCCCGTCTCCTGGTCCACCCAGGCCTCGTCCACCACACCACCCTCCGCTGAGCATTCGCCCGTTGGGCATCCGTCCACCTGCTAACCTGTCCGAGGCAGCTTGTGGTTGCACACCCACCCACTTGGAAGGGGTGTTCGGAGGAAAAAGAAGGCCCCGGCCCACTTAGGAGGGGGGTGTCCCCTGAGCCAGGGCGTCTGTGTGGTTTTACAGGCTGTGACTTCGTGCCTCCAAGCGGTCAGGGCCAGGGCCAGGATCCCTGAGGGTCTGATCTGTGAGCATGGTTCTTGTTCTGCCCCCACGTCGGGCTGGCCCTGCCTCCTTCCTGAGCGCTGATGTCCCATGCTGTCCCACAGGAATGTGCCCCCGGCTATTATCGGGACGTCAAAGGTCTCTTCTTGGGTCGCTGTGTCCCTTGTCAATGCCATGGCCACTCAGACCGTTGCCTTCCTGGCTCGGGCGTCTGCGTGGTGAGTGGGGCCCTGGTCGGGGGAGGGCAGCCGCCAAAGGCACAAACTAGGGAAGACCGGGGCCTTTGGGTCAGTAGTTCTGTTACGCTGAGGTCTGGGGGAAGGGAGGTGCCCTGGGCGGGGCCCCAGCCAGCCTTGCGCATAGAGTCCCTGGCAGGGTTGGGGGCAGCTGAGTGTACCCTGCTGGTGGGGAGTGGGGCCTCCACCATCCTTGCTGATTTGTCCCCTTGCCCCAGGGCTGCCAGCACAACACTGAAGGTGACCACTGTGAGCAGTGCCAGGCTGGCTTTGTGCGCAGTGGGTCAGAGGACCCTGCAGCCCCCTGTGTCAGCTGCCCCTGCCCCCTGTCAGTGCCTTCCAACAAGTAAGCTGGGCCAGCTCCTCCAGGGTCCCAACTGGTGGCCACACGCCCTGACAGCCCTGTTTTAGAACGCCCCCATCCCCTACCTGGTTGGGTCAGCAGTGCCTTCTGTGGAGGCCAGGGCACCTGGGGTGGGCCCACGAGGTGGGGACCCCTGACACCTGGCCCAGGCTGAGTACACAGGCTGCTCAGCCAGATCACGCAGGTGTGTAATGCCTGCCTCCAACTTTGCAGTTTTGCCGTGGGCTGCATCCTGCGAGGCGGCCGCACCCAGTGTCTCTGCAAACCCGGCTATGCGGGGGCTTCCTGTGAGCGGTGAGCAGGCGGGGTGCTGAGAGCTTGGGCCTGCAGAGAATGTGTGTGTGGGCACAGATCACTGACCCTGCTCTCGCCCCAGGTGCGCACCCGGCTACTTTGGGAACCCACTGGTGCTGGGCAGCTCATGCCAGCCCTGTGACTGCAGCGGCAACGGTGACCCCAACATGCTCTTCAGCGACTGTGACCCCTTGACGGGCACCTGCCGCGGCTGCCTCCGCCACACCACTGGGCCCCGCTGCGAGAGCTGCGCCCCTGGCTTCTACGGCAACGCCTTGCTGCCCGGCAACTGCAGCCGTAGGCAGCGGGGCGGTTTGAGGGGCGGGTTGACCAGTGGGGGCTGCTGTTGTCCTCTGGGATGAGGCTGTGTTCCCTACCCGGCCCAGCAGGGACACCGTGGTCAGGCCAAGGGCCACTTTGGGAGTCTGGCTTCCCCTGAGGGAGGACTCTGGCAGGCCCCTCTGGCCGAGTGTGGGCTGCAGGGGAGGAGGGCAAGGTGGGACAGTGCACAGGCCGCTGTGTGGTCTGGACAGGGGTGAACCTGGGGAGGTGGTGCAAAGTGAGGGGCTGGGGCTTCTTTGGGGCAGGATGGAGATCCCTGCGGAGTGTGAGCTCAGTAAGGACTTCTTTGGGGAGGGGGAAGAGGCCGAAATGGGGGTCAGGACTATTGTCACAGTCCCTTTTCTATAGGGTGTGACTGTTCCCCATGTGGGACTGAGGCCTGCGACCCCCAAAGCGGGCAGTGCCTGTGCAAGGCAGGTGTGACAGGGCCAAGCTGTGACCGCTGTCAGGTAGGGCTGCTTGGGAGGGGCGGGGCCTCGCTGTGTGGGGGCGGGGCCTCCAGGCTGGAGGGGTTGGGGCCTCGCTGTGTGGCGGGGCCTTGATGTGTTGGGGCAGAGCCTCCAGGCTGGGCAGAGCTGTGATTGCAGCATGTACTGGCAGGAAGGACACTTCGGCTTCGCGGGCTGCAGGGGCTGCCGCCCGTGCGCCTGTGGACCAGCCGCCGAGGGCTCCGAGTGCCACCCCCAGAGTGGACAGTGTCACTGCCGACCAGGGACTGGGGGTCTCCAGTGCCGCGAGTGTGCCCCTGGCCACTGGGGGCTCCCCGAGCAAGGCTGCAGGCGTGAGTGTGGGCAGGTGGGGCACTGCGGGATGGCAGGCACCTGGGGCCCACCGCCAGCCACTCACCCCACCCCTCCCACCCCAGGCTGCCAGTGCCGAGGGGGCCACTGTGACCTGCACACTGGTCGCTGCACGTGCCCCCCAGGGCTCAGTGGCGAGCGCTGTGACACTTGTAGCCACCAGCACCAGGTGCCTGTGCCAGGCAGGCCTGGGGGCCATGGTGTCCACTGTGAAGGTAGGCCCCCACTCCACCCCACCTGTGCCCCAGCTGACCACCCCCGTCTCACCCCAGCTCTCCCAACTCCCTGTGAGGGAGTGCGAGTGCCAGCCTGCACTGCGCTGGTGACCCCCACGTTAACCCTGACTTCCAGGGGAGCCCTGTGATCCCAACTCTTTCAGTTTTCCAAGGGACCCTACATCTGCCTTTACATTGACCCCAAGACTCCGTGCTGACCTCACTCCCACTCTCTGACACCCACCACTCTGGACCCTACCCAACTGTGTATTCACCTCGACCTTGTGCTGACCTCCTGGCACCTGCCCAGTTCCCTGTTAACCTCCTGATCCCCACACTGACCTCTGACTCCCACCAACCTTGTCACCTTCAGCCCAGTGCAGAACCCCCATGTCAGCCCCATGACCCCTGGCAGACCTATCCCCACTGTGTGGATCCCACGACTCCCTCCCTGGTCCCATGCCCACCCGACGCCCACCCCACACCCTGCACTGACCCACCTGTGCTGTCTGCAGTGTGTGACCACTGTGTGGTCCTGCTCCTGGACGACCTGGAGCGGGCCGGTGCCCTCCTCCCTGCCATCCGGGAGCAGCTGCACGGGGTCAATGCCAGCTCTGCGGCCTGGGCCCGGCTGCACAGGCTGAACGCCTCCATCGCTGACCTGCAGGTACCTCTCGGCCCGGCCCCCCAGCCTCTCTCCCCAGTTACAGGCCCTCACCTTCCCCTCCCCACAGAGCCAGCTGCAGAGCCCCCTGGGCCCCCGCCATGAGACAACGCAGAGGCTGGAGGCGCTGGAGCGACAGAGCTCAAGCCTTGGGCAGGACACACAGAGGCTGGACGGCCAGGCAGGACCACTGGGGACCCCTGCCCTGGAGTCTCCTCCCCCAGAGCCCCCTGGGATGGTTCTCAAGCAAACCCCTCCCCCTGGGCCTCTCCCCCTTGGTAGACTCCACCTCCTGAGGCCCCTCTTCCTGGGCTCCAGACCACCCACTGTCACCCCTGACCCTCAGCTCAGGCCCGAGGCCCCTCCCCATGCCCCCGGCCTTCCTCTCATCATCAGAGGCTGTGGGCTGATGGGGCACTGCGTCCACAGGCCACAGGGGCCCAGGCTCGGGCCAGCCAACTGCTGGACAGCACTGAGGCCTCGCTGGGCCGGGTGCAGACCCTGCTGGCGGCCATCCGGGCTGTGGACAGCGCCCTGAGAGGTAGGGGCTGGCTCAGCCAGGCAGGGGGATAGGGGCCGAGCAAAATGGCGTTCGGGGCTTAGAGTAGGGGGGCTGCCTCCGGGGGGCTTGGCCTTGAAGAATTGGCAGGGTGTGGACGTTTAGAGAGGGAGGTATGGCCTCGGCTGAGTCAACAGCAGGGCAGAGTGGGGAGGTAAGAGAGGTGGCAGGTGTGGCCAGAGCAAGAGAGTAGGTGGCTCTGTGAGACAGGCCAGCGATCCCCTCGCGGGCACCTCACCTCCTGGGAAAACCAACTGGTGAACACCTTAATTACAAACTAAGATGTGTTAGCAAGAAGGGGGCACCTGGCCCAGCCCAGGGGTCTGGGAAGAAGTGAAATTTCAACTGAGCACTGGGCTAGGAGGAGGGGTTGGCCAGGCAAGGAGGCCAAGGGAGCAGGCAGCAGACGGCAGTGGGCCTGTGGGAAGTGGGGGGCTGTGGGCGAGAGGGCCGAGCCAGGCTGGAGGCCGAGCACAGCTGTGGCCTTGAGCCCGGGGCTCTGGGAGGCATCCAGGGCATGCTGGGTTATGTACTGGTGGTCTGGAGATGCTTGGGTGGGGGTCTTGGGCTTGGGAGCTAGTGGGCAGAGGTCTGCCCGGCCCTGACAACCCCCACCCCCACAGAGCTCGAGTCCCAGACGGCTCGACTGTCACCAGCCAACGACTCGGCCCCGTCGGGTGAGCAGCTGCGCCGGACAGTGGCCGAGGTGGAGCGGCTGCTCCGGGAGATGCGGGCCCGAGACCTGGGGGCCCCTCGGGCAGCAGCTGAGGCCGAGCTGGGCGAGGCCCAGAGATGTGAGTGGTGTCAGCCCCAGCAGGGCAGGGACAGGGAGGAGTGGTGACTCGGCTGGGAGCCCTGGGGCTGAGGTCAGCATGGAGTTGTGTCACATCAGCTTTGGGGGGTAGATGGGGGCCAGGCGAGCACCAGGGTCACTGCCCAAGCAACTGTCCCCATACTGGGTTTTGGCCAGTGCTGGCCCGCGTGCAGGAGCAGCTGACCAGCCTCTGGGAGGGGAACCAGGCGCTGGCTGCACGCACCCAAGACCAGCTGGCCCAGCATGAGGCCGGCCTCATGGACCTGCGAGAGGCCCTGAACCGGGCCGTGGGCACCACACGGGAGGCTGAGGAGCTCAACAGCCGCAACCAGGAACGCCTGGAGGAGGCCCTGGTAAGGAGTCCCACCCCTCCCGTCCCCTCCCCTTCCCTCCCCCTTTCCCACCTCTCCCTTCCCCTCCTTCTTTCCCACCTCTCCCCTTCTCTTTCATACTCCTCTCCGGCAACCCTGCACTCCATCTTTACCCTGTCAGACCTCTTTGTTTCTCTCACCCCCTCCTCAATCCCCATCACCTCCAGCAACGGAAACAGGAGCTGTCCCAGGACAGTGCCACCCTGAGGGCCACTCTGCAGGCTGCCCGTGACACCCTGGCCCGGCTCTCTGAGCTTCTGCATGGCATAGACCAGGCCAAGGAGGTAAGTACCCCCTCCCAGGACCGCACACCAGGCAGGTATGGACACTCCACTGCGTGCAGAGCATGGTGCCTGGGGTCCCGGATCAGGGGGAGTGAGGAGGGCATCGGGAGGAGGGTCCCACCTAAGCCCATCCCCCGCCAGGAGTGCGAGCACCTCGCTGCCGGACTGGACGGGGCCTGGACCCCGCTGCTTGAGAAGATGCAGGCCTTCTCTCCGGCGAGCAGCAAGGTGGCTCTGGTGGAAGCCGCCGAGGCCCACGCGTGGCAGCTGGACCAACTGGCGCTCAACCTGTCCAGGTGTGGGGCCCAAAGAGGAGTGCCCTAGGGACACAGCCCAGGTCCCTGCCGGGGCAGTCAGGGTCTGGAGGGGCACAGCTGGTCTGGGAGGGCTCCCAGAGAGAGGAGCCCAGGCTCAGACTGGAGGCAGGGAGCAGGGAAGGCACATGCCACAGACGGCAGGGAAAAGGCAGGAGGCTGGAGCCAGCAGGCAGGCTGGCCGAGCAGCTGTGATGGCAGGAGGCCCGCGTGCTGGCCTGAGGATGTCTGGCCCCCACATGCCCTTTGATTCTCCCCTGCCTCCCCCGACAGCATCATCCGCGGAGTCAACCAGGACGGCTTCATCCAGCGAGCCATCGAGGCCGCCAACGCCTACAGCAGCATCCTGCAAGCCGTGCAGGCTGCCGAGGGTGCCGCCGGCCAGGCGCTGCAGCAATCGAGCCACACGTGGGCGGTGAGGCCCTGACTTTCCCTGAGGCCCTGCCAGGAGCCCCTGACCCCCTACAGCTCCTTCCGGGTGGGTGTGAACTGCCTCCTGTCCTGGTGTCTGCAGATGGTGGTGCAGCAGGGCCTGGCGCCCCGTGCCCAGCAGCTGCGGGCCAATAGCAGTGCCCTGGAGGAGGCCGTCCTCAGGGAGCAGTGGAGGCTGGGCCGCGGTGAGTGCCGGGTCCGTCTGGTGTCCGGGCTCTGCGGGGTCCTCAGCCTCCAGCCATGTGTGTGGGGGTTTGTGAGTTGTCACGTTGTGAGTCAGGGTAGCGGCTGCCCCGTGTGGAAATCCTGCTTCCCACCACCTTGGCGTGTCCACCCCCTGGGAGCCCTGCAAAGAAAGGCCCACCACTCACCCTGGCCTTGTGACAGGGCCCTGGGACTGTGGAGGTCCCCCAGGGAAGAGAACATGGGACCAGCTGACAGTTTTCCTGCTGTCCTGGCTGGAGGGTGGTGAGCGTGAGAAAGCAGGGGGAGGTGGTGGGCGTGCACCTTCTGCCACTAGGACCTTGGAGCACTGGCAGGCCGTGGCAATGGCTTGGCTTTTCTGAGCCTCCATCGTTTCATCCATGAGATGGGAATAACTACATTTGCTGTGGGACTGGGAGGCTGCCTCAAGACTCGGGGTGTTCCCATGCTTCCCCGAGCCGAGGGCCCTCGTGTCTGGATGTCTCCGTCTGTCTGTGTGCAAGTCAGCCTTGGTCCTCCGTGGTCAGGAGGGCCAAAGTGGGCTGCACCTGTGTGATGAGGGCGGGGGCTCCTTGGGGCTGAGGCTGCCTCCCCCACAGCGCAGGCCACCCTCCACGGCACCGGGACCCAGCTCCGCGACGCCCAGGCCAAAAAGGAGCAGCTGGTAGCCCAGATCCAGGAGGTGCAGGCCATGCTGGCCATGGACACGGGTAGGTCAGGCCTTGTGCCTGCCCTGAGCCTCACTGCTATCTCACATTCCTCAGAGTGAATGGACACCTGCCCCATGCAGACATCACTACAGTCAGTGCTGTCCCGTTGTGCTCTGTGAGCAGGGACATCTTCACACCTGTACCATCCAGAATGGTGGCCAGGGTGGTTGAGGGGGCTCCCATAGTGGGCGGCCCTGGCCTTGGGGACCTGCTTCTGGTCAGGAGACAGACACCACACAAAGTAGCCCCAAGTGGCAAGTAAAAATTGCAAGGGACAGGAAGTGCTCTGGAGAGAAATAACCAGGGGCTGGCATGGGAGCGTGTTGGGGGATGTTTTACCCCAGAGGTTGGGGACATTGGGGGTGTCCGGGGGAAGGTACAATTGGTGGGTGAGCGCAGAGGTGAAGGTGGGAGCAAAGAGGCCAGTGTGGCTGGAGCCAAGGGCTCAGGGGACGGCCTTGGGGAGCAGGGGGACCCCGGGGGAGGGGGAGGCATCTGAGCCAGCTTTGCAGGCATCTGTGTGGCTGCCCGACGACCCCTTGAGAGTAGAGCATCCCAGCCTGGACGTGGGGCCCAGGGATTTGGGCAGGGTCCCACAAGAGATGGTGGCCCAGGGTAGGGGTGGCTGTGGGGAGATGGGGCTGAGCTGACATGGGGAGGTGTCAGGGTGACCAGGCTCTGGCCCAATAGGCTACACACAGGAGGGGCCATCAGCAAGGGATGGAGGGTGGGTGTCCACTGCTCCGAGGTTCTCACAAGAACCGTGGGGGGTGGTGTCGCTGTTGCTGGTCCTGGCTATGGGGGACTTAGTGGGCTCCCCAGATGGGAGCTGAGGCCAGGATGGTCCTCACCTGCCCCTCACTGAGCCTGTGCACTCCCCGCCACAGATGAGACCAGCAAGAAGATTGCCAATGCCAAGGCTGTGGCCTTCGAAGCCCAGGACACGGCGGCCCGCGTGCAGTCCCGGCTTCGGGACATGCAGCAGACCCTGGAGCAGTGGCAGGGCCAGTTTGGAGGCCTGCAGAGCCAGGACCTGGGCCAGGCGGTGCTTGACGCAGGCCGCTCAGGTGGGCCCCTAGGGCACGGTGCCCCTGATGGCGGGGGGAGGCCAGGGGCAGGGGAGACAAGGCTCTCAGGGTCACCTCCTCTCTTCCATTCCCCTCCCTGCAGTGACCACCCTGGAGAAGACGTTGCCACAGCTGCTGGCCAAGCTGAGCCTCCTGGAAAACCGTGGGACGCACAATGCCAGCTTGGCCCTGTCTGCCAGCATCGGCCGTGTGCGGGAGCTCATTGCTCAGGCCCGAGGAGCTGCCAGCAAGGTGGGTACGAGTGCCAGGGGCAGGTAGGTGGCTGGGAGACCACGTGATAGACGCTGATGGACTGTGCACCCCACGCAGGTCAAAGTGTCCATGAAGTTCAACGGGCGCTCGGGGGTGCAGCTGCGTACCCCCCGGGACCTCTCAGACCTCGCTGCCTATACCTCCCTCAAGTTCTATCTGCAGAGCCCGGAGCCAGCGCGTGGCCAGGCCGCTGGGGACCACTTTGTGCTGTACATGGGCAGCCGCCAGGTACCAGGCAGGCTTGGTGGGTGGGTGGAGCGGGCAGCAGGTTGGAGGGGGTGGGCCATGCTGGTCCCTGTCCCACCGAGTGTCCCACTGCCACAGGCTGCAGGTGACTACATGGGTGTGGCTCTGCGTGACCAGAAGGTGCACTGGGTGTACCGCCTGGGGGGGGCAGGCCCTGCAGCCCTCAGCATCGACGAGGACATTGGGGAGCAGTTTGCAGCTGTCAGCATCGACAGGTGGGTGGCCCAGCCCCCGTGCGCTGTGCCCCCCTGGTGGGCCTGGTGTGGCCCCATGTCCATTTCTCACGCCCTTGCCTCTGCCCTCAGGACCCTCCAGTTTGGCCACATGTCTGTCACAGTGGAGAATCAGATGGTCCATGAGACCAAGGGTGACACAGTGGCCCCTGGGGCCGAGGGGCTGCTCAGCCTGCAGCCTGACGACTTTGTCTTCTACGTGGGGGGCTACCCCAGCAACTTCACGGTGAGCCTGCCCTGGCCTGCGCAGCAGCTGCCCCATGCTATTGTCCCAGCAAGTCCTGCTTGGTGTCTGGCTTCAGTCCGTCCCACTGCAGTCTGAGTTCTTCCCCTTGGGTCTGTCCTGGGTGGAAAGGTGCCCTGACTGTGCTGTGCCCACAGCCCCCCGGACCCCTGCGCCTCCCTGGCTACCGGGGCTGCATTGAGATGGACACACTCAACGAGGAGGTGGTCAGTCTCTACAACTTCGAGAAGACCTTCCGGCTCGACACAGCTGTGGATAAGCCCTGTGCCCGGTACGCGCAGCCTGGGGCCCGACCCTTGCCCCAACTCACCTTGCCCTCAGCTGACCCCGTGACCTCTGACCGGCAGCTCCAAGTCAACTGGGGACCCGTGGCTCACAGACGGCTCCTACCTGGACGGCTCTGGCTTTGCCCGCATCAGCGTGGAGAGTCAGATCAGCCACACCAAGCGCTTTGACCAGGAGCTGCGGCTCGTGTCCTCCAGCGGCATCATCTTCTTCCTGCAGCACCAGGCATGCCTGCCCGCAGCCCCCCCCCCCCCCCCCCCCCCCCCCACCCCCCCCCCCCCCCCCCCCCCCCCCCCCCCCCCCCCCCCCCCCCCCGCCCCCCATCTGCCTCCCCCCCCCCCCCCCCCACCTGCCCACCAGTGCCACCCCCACCCGCCTCCCTGCCACCCCCACTTACCTGCCCGCTGCCTCCCATCTGCCTGCATCCCCACCACCACCCACCTGCCCAACGCCCCCACCCCACCTGCCTGCCCGCTGCCCCACCATCTACCCATACCCCCACCCCTCCCACCCCGTCCCTGACCCTGTGCTGACCCTGCCCCCCCCAGGACCAGTTCCTGTGCCTGGCTGTGAGGGAAGGCAGCCTCCTGCTCCTCTATGACTTTGGCACAGGCCTGAAGGAGGCTGTCCCGCTGCAACCCCCACCGCCCCTGACCACAGCCAGCAAGGCAGTAAGGCCCAGGTCGAGGAGGGTCTTGGGGTCGGGGACAGCTGGCAGGGACATGGCTTACCCTGCAGCCCCCACGCCGGTGCCTTCCAGATCCAGGTGTTCCTGCTCGGGGGCAGCCGCAAGCGCGTGCTGGTGCGCGTGGAGAGGGCTACCGTGTTCAGCGTGGAGCAGGAGAACGTGCTGGAGCTGGCCGACGCCTACTACCTGGGGGGTGTGCCACCCGACCAGCTACCCCCAAGGTGAGCAGGTGGGGCTGGGCGTGGGTGAGGGGCTTGGAGGAGGCAGCCCCCTGACGTTTGTCCCTGCAGCCTGCAGCTGCTGTTCCCTTCCGGAGGCTCCATCCGTGGCTGTGTCAAGGGCATCAAAGCTCTGGGCAAGTACGTGGATCTCAAGAGGCTGAACACGACGGGCGTCAGCTCCGGCTGCACAACAGACCTGCTGGTAAGCCCCCACCCCCGGCCCGCAGTGCCCTCGCCGGGCTGGTGCTGTGGGTCCTCATGGGCACCCTCCCTGCAGGTGGAACGGGCTGTGACTCTCCATGGCCACGGCTTCCTGCCCCTGGCGCTCCCCGATGTCTCGCCCCTCACGGGTGATGTCTACTCCGGCTTTGGCTTCCGCAGCACCAGGGACAGCGGTCTGCTCTACCATCGAGCGTCCCCGGTGTGTCTGCCCCGCCCCGAGTCTGACTGTCCATCCCACTTGTCCCTCCCGAGTCTAGCCACCTGCCCGCCCCCTGACCTCCCACCTGTCCCCAGGATGGGCCGTGCGAGGTGTCCCTGCAGCAGGGCCACGTGACACTCCGGCTTATGAGGACCGAGGTGAAAACACGAGGGCGCTTTGCCGATGGTGCCCCCCATTACGTAGCTTTCTACAGCAACACCACAGGGTGAGTCCAACCTGCCTGGCCTCTCACTGCTGTCTCCAGGAATGGGGTTTGCAGCAGAGCGGGGGCCCTTGGGGGGTGCCTTGCAGCAGGTGCGTGAGGGCAGGCGGAGGAAACACTGCTCTGCTCTCCAGGGTCTGGCTCTATGTGGACGATCAGCTTCAGCAGATGAAGCCCCACCGTGGGCCACTGCCCCGGCCCCATCCCCAGCCTGAGGGGCCCCCTCGGCTCCTCCTGGGAGGCTTGCCAGAGTCTGACACCATCCAAAACTTCAGCGGCTGCATCAGCAACGTTTTTGTGCAGCGGTGAGCAGGGCAGGTGTTGTGGGGCTGGTGCTGACCCGCCACCATGCATCCAGCTGACTGCCCACTGTGGCCCTTTGCAGGCTCCTGGGGCCACAGCGTGTGTTTGACCTGCAGGAGAACATGGGTGGCGTCAACGTGAGCTCAGGCTGCGCCCCAGCCCCTCACACCCAGACCTGGAGGCAGGCACCGCGAGGACTGCGGGCTGCAGCAGCTCGGAAGGTGGGGTGCCTGAGGGGTGGTGTGTGGGCGGAACTGGGGCAGGTAGAAGGCGGCCCCAAAGCATTCCTGCATCCCCATCCCACCCCTAGGCCTCCCGCCGCAGCCGGCAGCCCACCCAGGACCTTGCCTGTATGCCACCTGGGCCCTTCAGGACCATCCGAGATGCCTACCAGTTTGGGGGTCCTCTGCTCAGTTACCTGGAGTTTGCACACGTCCCGGCACCTCCCGGGGACTGGTAAGGCCGGGCCGGGTGGGGTGGGTGTGGAGGGGGCGCCCAGGCTGACATCCCTACTCTGTTTCCAGGTCCCACCTCAGGATGCTTGTCCGCCCTCACACTCCCCAAGGGCTCCTGCTCTTCGCTGCCCCCCTGACGGCCAGTAGCCCCTCCCTGGCTCTCTTCCTGAGCCACGGACACTTTGTTGCTCAGACGGAAGGCCCTGGGCCCCGGCTCCGTGTCCAGAGCCGCCAGCGTTCACGGGCTGGCCGGTGGCACAAGGTGAGGGGCTGAGGGGAGAGGACACAGACAGGGCCCCAGGAGCTTCCGCCCTCACCTGGCTCTTTGCACCCCTAGGTGTCCGTGCGATGGGAGAAGACTCGGATTCAGCTGGTGACAGACAGGGTCCGGGCCCAGGGCCAGGAGGGGCCCAGCCAGCAGCATCAGGGTGTAGAGGGCCCCCGGCCCCACACTCTGTTCGTGGGCGGCCTCCCTGATGGCGGCCGCAGCCGCAAACTTCCAGTGAGAACCACCTCGCCCTGGCCTTTCTGACCCCATCTCCAGCCCCCTGCCCAGCTGGAAGCTGTCCGCTCTCCTCGGCACCCAAGACCTGAGCCCACGTCCCCCCATCTGCATCTCCACAGGTGGCCATCATCAGCTCCAGGTTCAGCGGTTGTGTGAAGGGACTGAAGTTGGACGGGCAGCCTCTGGGGGCCCCCACACAGATGGTGGGAGTCACGCCCTGCTTCTCGGGCCCCCTGGAGAAGGGCCTGTTCTTCGCAGGAAGTGGGGGAGTCGTCACTCTAGGTCTGTCAGGCGCTGGTGTCCCTACTCCCACGTGTCCCAGGTCGGGGTGGGTGGAAGTGACACCCAGGAAGGAGGAGCCTGGGGCTGGGCCTTCCTCCCCTCACAGCCCTTCCCCGCAGACACCCTGGGGGCCACACTGCCCAATGTGGGCCTGGAGCTGGAGGTGCGGCCGCAGGCGGCTAGCGGCCTCGTCTTCCACCTGGGCCAGGTGCAGGCGCCCCCCTACCTGCAGCTGCAGGTGTTGGAGAAGCAGGTAAGCTGAGTAGGGGCTGCAGCCACAGGGCGGGATTCGGGTTGGAAGGGCCCTCCTGACCTGGCCCCCGCCTCCCCCCAGGTCCTGCTGCGGGCGGACGATGGTGCAGGCGAGTTCTCCACAGTGGTGACACACCCAGCCGTGGTGTGTGACGGGCAGTGGCACCGACTGGCAGGTGAGCTGTGCCCTGTCTCCCACAGCCAGAGACACTCCCGAGTTCCTCCTCCTGCAGAGCAGAGTGCCTGGGAGGGTCTCAGGAGGGGGCAGCTGCAGACCCCTGGGCAGGGGAACTTGAGAGAGGCCAAGCAACATGAACAGCCCTGGCCCCGTGGCTGTTGAGAGGGGCCTCTCCAAGCCCGGCCACAAGGAGCCTGTGCCCCACAGTGACCAAAGATGGGAACATGCTCCGGCTGGAGGTGGACAGGCAGAGCAACCACACCCTGGGCCCCATGCTGGCAACCTCGGCTGACGCCCTGGCACCTCTGCACCTTGGGGGTCTGCCTGGTGAGCATGGCCGCCGCCTTGGGGTGCAGGAGGAAACTGCTGCTCGGGGACCAGGCACTGGGGTCACCCTGCTCTCATCATACCCTCCAGAGTTGGGACAGCTGGGGGAGGGTGCCAGTGGGACATCGGTCTCTGCTCCAACCTGTCTTCCCTCCCTCTTCCCCTGGCCCCCAGAGCCTATGGACGCACACGCTGGGCTGCCCGCCTACCGTGGCTGCATGAGGAATCTGGTGGTGAACCGGGCCCCCGTCACTTTGCCTCACTCTGCTGGTGTCCAGGGGGTAGTGGGGGCGAGCGGCTGCCCAGCCACATAGCACAGCTGCCTCTCTAGGACCCTGGCCACAGCTCCAGCAGCCACGCAGGAGGGTCTCCAAGGGCCCCCAGGCCTGGAGCCCATGGGCAGGCAGGGTCCTGCCTCTCAGACCCCCAGGCCCCTCCACGCAGCTTACTGACAACACTGCCCTCAGCCCGTTTCACAGAGGAAGTTCGTGTATATTTATCTAGGTCCTAAAGTCTACGGGTTTTAAATCTTTTTTCTGGACATGGTTTAAGTTATGCCTGACTTTTCAAATGAAAGGGTAAAATGGGGTTTTTATACTTTTTATCTTTCAGCTTAATTATGAGATTTCCCTTCCACCCATTTTTAATAGCACGGGAGATCTGTAAATCGCTGGTCCCTACTGCTTAAAACAAAAATTAAAAAAGTAACTTCTGTTCAATTGAGTGTCGACTTTAAATTTGAAAAGATTAAAGCGGTTGAGACGGGTCTACAACTGGCTATGGCGGCCCGGGCAGAGCGCAGCTCTCAGGCGGAACAGCCCCTGGTGTGTCACCTCCCTAGAATGTCCCGCAGAGGGGCAGCTCCCATCCAGCCAGAACAAGGGGTGGGGCCATGACACTTGGTCCTGGGCCCACAAGAAAAACCAGAGCTGGCGTATAGAAGAAAAGCCTTTTATTTCTCAGCAAGTTGGAACAGAGGTGTGAGGGTGCGTGACAGATCACAAACGCCACTACTGAAATCGCACAGCCAAGAGCCCCGACCCCTTAAAAGACAGCAAATAATTTAGTCTAAGCTCATGTCTTCCTCTTCGTCCTTCTTGTCCTCCCCGTCGCCCTCCTTCTGCTCGGATCTGGCACTGTTCTGCATAGCTTTGGCAAATGCTTCCACATCTAAAATGCATTTAAAAGCATGAGGCCACCTTCCTAGACGCTGGCCCAGGACTGCTGACCAGAGGGGATGGGAAATGAAAACCAGCCCGAGCTCTGCTAACGGGGAGCTTTTCCTCTTAACTACAAGGAGGACAATGAACTCTGGCCAAGAGGCAGAGCAGCAGGTACTTACCACCCTTGTTGGCTGCCTCCACAGCCTCCGCAGGGAGGCCAAACTGGCACATGAGGGGACCCAGCTGCCCTGAGGCCAAGGCTGCACTGAACATGCCCAGAGCCTGAAAGGAAGGGCCAGAGGTCTGAGCACAGGCACAGCGGAGGCACAGGGGGCACTGGGGGGAGCGCCAGGGCCAGCGGCAGGTGCAGGGATGCATGGGGACAGCCGAGGAGGGCAGGCAGAGCACCCTCTGCTGGGCACACGGCAGGGGCACCCAGGCCAGCATCTACCTGCTGGAACTGGGGCGAGGTCAGCGTGTTCTGGATCTCCTCTGCGGTCTGCGGCAGCGACTCCCCAGAGGGCAGGTAGGGCAGCAGGCGCTCCTGGACGTCCGCGTTGGCGAGGATAGGTGCCATGATCTCAGGTGTCAGCACACTGGCCAGGTCAACTAGGGTAGACAAGCACGTGGCCATCAGCGGCTTGGGGCCGGCCCAGACGCCCACGTGGGAAGAGTGACAAGTGACGCTCCGAGCGTGAGACTGCTGGGCGTGGCGAGGTGAGGGGGCAGAGGTGACGCACGCGCAAAGCAGCAGCTCGGCGAAGGGATGTGCTCAGCCCCGTGCCTCGGAAAGGCAGTGAGTGAGTGGGCAGGGGGCAGCAGGCACCTTCACCCCCCAGCCTGGAGCCGAGGAGCACCGTTACCTTGCTGGCCACCTCCTGGCCCGGCCGGCACGTTCATAGTGGCTAGAATGCTCTGGAGGTCGCTCAGCTGGATGGGCTGGGTTGGGCTGGCTGCGGTGCTGGTTCCATTACCTGAACTGGGCGCGGGACTTGGGCTGGTCACCGAGGCAGCTGCTGGAGCAGAAGGGGCTGGGGTGGCGCGAGCGGAAGAGGCGGTGGAGGATGGGGTGACCGCTGCTGACTGGCTCCGGGAGCTGGGAAGAGTGAGGGCAGCACTGGAGTGGCCACACGCCCACGACACACTGGTTGGTTCTGCCCAGGTCCTTGCACTGCCAAGAACCCGGGAAGAGTCTGGACCATGACAAGGACCCTCCCTGGGTGCCTACTGTGTCCTGCACCTCCTCCATCCAGGCTCCTTGAAGGAGCAGACATGGTGCTGGGGCCCGAGTGTGCTCTGGGGGCAGGGGTGAGGCTCACCTGGATGAAGAGCTGCTCGCCGGAGGCCCTCCGCTCCCCAGCAAGCTGGCCAGGCCTGGCCCAGTCAGGGCCCCCAGCCCACCTACGAGGAGCAAGGAGACAGGAGCTCAGGCACCATGCCCACCTGGAGAGCCCACCTCCCCCTCCTAAGGAGCAGAAACGTCCTGCACTAAAGCCAAGGGACAAGCTAGGGAAGATGATGACCGCAGCAGGCCTGGGGGCTGAGGGGGAGCAAACACTCAGGCTGGAGGATTCTGGAAGCTTATCCCATCAAGTCAGATCACTTCTGTTCCATTCCATTCCACTATCAGCACACTTAGGTTCCAGCTAACACGCAATCCAAATGCAGTTCAAGGTAGCCAGTGTTTCCTCTGTCTAAGAAACACACCTACCAGAGCCCGGCAGGAGATGGCAGCGGGCACACTGACCAAAGGGGGACCAGGGAACCCTAGGCAGGAGCCCCGAGTGCACGTTCTCAGGCCCCACTCCTCAGCCAGCGGTGCTCCCCTAAGGTATGGAGCTGGGTCCTCCCTGGGGCCCTGGAAGGCCTTGCCCACCTTGCTCCCAGCTCAAACTATAAGGGAAACAGGCCCTTCCCCAGGGAAGCAGGCACAGAGAACACACATCCACGGACGTCACTCAGACAAGGTCAGGTAGAAGCTTAAAGGAAACAAGCTGAGGGCTGTCCAACGTATACTCGAGGCCGCAGGGCCAGCGGGCATTACCCAGTCCTCCGAGGCCGGCGGGTCCGATGAGCTGCATGAGCTGGCTGTGGCTCATGTTCCCCAGCAGGCTCTGCAGGCCGCCCTCACCTGGAAGACAGAAGGCGCTCAGACACGGGGCGCGCCTGCGGCCTGGCTGAGAACCCTAGCGCCATGGAAAGCGCTCAGACACAGGGTGCGCCTGTGGCCTGGGCAAGACCCACAGCGCCGTAGAAGGCGCTCTCAGACGGCCCCCACTGCTCAAGGGCCTTGGGAGGGCCTCCAGCTGAGAAAGAGCGTGCACGCTGACTCCCCCACTGCGACAGCCCTGGGGGGCTAGCCCCCAGCTCAAGTGCCCCTGGACTGTAGTCAGTGTCGTCTGATACGGGCCCGTGGGGTGGAGCCTACACCGTCTCATCAGGTGAAGACGGGAGTGGAGGGTCTTCTAACTTGGAACCTGCCATCTCCACTTAAGAACAAGCTGCCTGCACCACCAGGGGTCCAAATCACGGGCGTCTCCGCTGACCTCAGAGCACAGCCCAGAAAGTGACCATTACCGCCCAGTGCAGAGAGCTCGTGGCCTCCACTCCCACTCGCCCCCAGCGCTCCGGGCATCGGGGGGTTGTTCAGATACTCGTTGACTTTCCGGCAATGCTCCTCATCCTGATCCGTCTTGGGCTCCTGTAGGGGAGGATACAACAGCCACAGCTCAGCAGCCCGCCCACTGACCTGCTTACAGACGAGGGACCTGAGGCCCAGACAGGTGAAGTCACCTGTCCACAGTCACACAGCACCATGGAGAGGACCCAGCAGGGTCGACAGAAGTCTGACACGCAACGATGTCCGTTTCACAGGCGGGGAAACGGAAGCACTAAGGACACTCAACACACACAGGGGTCGCCTGCGGTCCTCCAGGGCCTGCGTCTTCACTCAGCAGCCTACGAGCCCAGAGCCTTCCTTCAACGCGCAGAATGCAATGAGATAAGCCTTCTACCACCGCACTGCCCGGGACCAGCCCTGGCCCACAGCCCTCTGGTGTTTGTCAGGAACGTGATAAAGCCCATGGCAGCACCGGACAATGAGCACCTGGGTGTGGAGGGGTCATCAGGCAGCATCACTCGGTAAGCACCCCTAGAACCGCGAGAGAAGGCACCCACGACTCATTCATCCAACAGTCACCTAGCATGCGCTGTGGGCCTGCAGGCGGACAAGACACACAGGCCCACCTCAGGGCAGAGGGAGGAAAGCCGTTAGATGAGCAAACTCAGGAGGAACAGAAAGGGCAGTGTGTGGTGAAAGTCTGACATTTCCCGGTAAAACAGTGTAGCAACAAGCTCTACGCCAGCGGTTGGCAAACCACAGCCCCCGACCCCGGTCTGCAAAAAAAATCCTGGAACACAGCCGCAACAGTCACTCACTCATCGTCCACGCCGCTTTCACCCCACTCGGCAGAGGTAAGCCGCTGCGATCCAGGCCATCCGTCACCAAGAAGACAGCCTTCCTGCCCTGTCCTAGCAAGTGCTGAGGGGCGGCCGGGGGAGGCAGGCTCAGCCTCCGGGGGCCAGACACAGAGACATGTCACACTGCAAACGCATGCATACCACCGCAGGAGCAAGTCCACATGTGCGTTTTTTTTCCTTCTCCCCAAAGGCCCCCAGTACACAGTTGCATATTCCAGCTGTGGGTCCCTCGGGTTGGGGCACGTAGTGCTAGGTCCCTGCCCAGGATCCGAAGCAGCAAAACCCTGGGCCACTGAAGCGGCGTGCGTGAACTTAACCACTCGGCCACGGGGCTGGCCTCCCACATGTGGATGTGAAGATACGGTTATCCTCACACACACTGGAAAGAGGCTTGGCATAAGGTCATTCTTTACAATACTGCCTGTGACAGAGGAGACAGAAACGAGGCCAATGGCAAAACGAGGAAGGAATGGCAGCTTCCTGACTCGGGTGCACTGAGGGATGAGAAAGCTCAGGGCGCCAACAACCAGAGACCCCCCCAAGCACACAATGCAGGCAAAGGCTCAGAAGGCCTTGGCGAGGACACTCCACTTCTGTGAAAACACCATAGGGAGACTACACATGGTCACCCGTGCTTCTGCTCGGGGGTCCCTGTGACGCTTGAGGGGGCACTGGGAGACAAGCAAACCTGAGGCCATGTGCCCGTCAATGCACAGAGCCGGGGCCCAGCCTGGAAATCACTCATTTGTCTGCCGGGGAACTCCACACCTCAAAAGGGCCCCGGAGCCCAGCCGCGAGCACACAGCCTCCGGAAGAGGCCCCTCCTCCCAAGGCCCCCACCGAACAGCAATGCCCTGGAAGCCTGGGTGCCATGACAAGCACGTGTGGTCAGCATCAGCGGGTCCGTGAAAGCGAATTCTACCATCCGTCAGGCAAGTTTCTAACCTTAATTGGATGACAGTGAGAAACGAAGAGGTGCAAAGCCTCCACGCACCTGCATCCAAAAGAAGAGCCGTTTGGAGCCCGCCTTAAACTTGAGCACGTAGACCCTCCCGCTGGGGCACTGCGGCACACGCTTGAACTCACAGTCGTCGGGGAAGATAATCAGGTCCTACAGGGAGCCACGGAAGAACAGAGTCAGCTTCACAGAAATACACACTCGCAGTCCCGGGACCCCCCCCGGACACACGCTGGACCCTGTGTCAGTGGGGGCGGGGCCGAGAGGACACAGGACACAGACCAGCAAGTCACCACACCCTCCCCAGCAGGCTCTGCGCAGGGTGGATAAGCCAGGTCAGAGGCACTCCAGGAAGGGCGTGAGGGCCGGGACAGGGGCTCGGCGCTCAACAGGGAAGGCGGGCTTTCAGCTCTTGAAGGAGTTAGTTTTTTAAAAAAGATGTTTTGCGAACAACATTCCAAGATGACTAAAAAGTCAACTTGGACCTGCTCTCAAACCTAACAAAGAACACTAAACGAAATGACGGCTAGGAAAGCTTTCTGGAGGACTGTGATAAAGCTCAGGAGTTTTACACGGCTTCCCCAATTCTAGGCAGCTAATCCTCAAAGTTGAAAGTATATACAGCGACAGGAGAAATCTATGCGGTTGTTGAGACCAGGAAGACCCATAAGCAAAGCAAAACAGCTGATGAGGGCTCCAAACCAGAGATTCCCACATATCCCACCAACGCACTCCGAACTGGGCACCAGCTGCTGTCTGCCCAGAGGGCAGTGCTGGCAGCTGGGCATTCCCTAAGGTCGCACTGCTGTGATGGCCAGGCGGGCGTCCTCGAGGTGCGGCGCTAACACACTTACGTCTTCCACGTTCCCAGATGTCCTGTCTTTCCAGCAGAAGTGGATGAGGGAGTCATCCGTCTGCTGAATGTACACGAGCCCTTTCCGCTTATCTGGGGTGACGGTAGTTCCTTTTAATGACATTTTTCCCGCCCGAAACTCCACCAAATACTTGTTGGAGGACCCACGGGAGCCTGGGACGAGGCTTGGAAACAGAGCGCCCGAAGTCGTCATCCTGAAAGAGGGACAGGCAGACCCAGTCACCACGGTGGGGATCCGAACCCCCTCCTCAGATGCCGGGCCGGCCCCGACAGAGCCAAGGCTCCGCTCTCTGAACCTCCGGGCCCCGGGTGCGCCGGGAGCCAGGGAGCCGCGCGGAGGCTGCCAGGCCCGCTGCGAAAACCGCTCGGGCCAGGCCTCGGCGCCCGACGGCACCCGCGCACGGAGCCGGCCCCGAGGGCCGCCCTGCGGCTGCTTCTCAAGTTCCTTCAAGAACGAAATCAAGCTCTGCATCCACACCGCACCACCGCACACGGCTCGTACCCCGGCCACACCACCTTCTGGACTCACAAACTGTTTTTCAGTCTGGGGCTCCCAAGAACTTAAAAACTTGCGCTGGGCGGAGCCGTCGCTCACACGCCAGACGGGAGACGAGTCTTGGGCATGATACCTAGTTCCCGCCGGGCACGCCCGGCAGGTGTGCGCCCTCGAAACGCAAACCGAGCCCGGGCAGCCGCGGCCAGCCCCCGGCCGCCCCAGGACCCTCTGCGCGGGGCGGCCCGGCCTCCGCCTCGCAGGCCTTCCAGCCCAGCGCCCTCCGCTTCGCGCTGGGCCGAGGCCCGGGCTGCGGCCGGGGGAGCCGACAGACACCGCGCACGGCCCCCAGCGCCCCGAAGGCCCCCGCCCCGCGCACGGCCCCCCGGTCCCCCGGCCCCTCCAGCCGCCGGCTCCGCGGACCTGGCGCCCGGCTCGGGGGCTGCCGACGGCGCAGGCCCCGCCCCCGGCGCCCCCCGCGGCCGTCCCCGCCCCCGGAGGCCCGCGCACCTGGCCCGCGCCGAGACTCGGCCGAGAAGCGCCGTCCGGACTCGCTCTTCCTCCTCGGCGCCTGCCGGGCCCCGCCGGAAGCCCCGCTCGCCCCGCCCCACCCGCCGCTCTCGCCGCCGATTGGGCGCCGTCACGCACAGGTCCGCCGCTGGCCGGGGAGCGACTGGAGAGTGCGGCCGTCCATCGCCCGCTGCGCCCGCCCCCGCGCCGGCGGCTCTGTTCCGGCGGAAGCGCCGGCCGGCGCGCGGGCCAGAGCGGCCCCTATTGTTGCTGTGTCATAGGGGCGCGGCGGCGGCCCCTGGCGGCGGGACCGGAAACGGCGGGCCTGGCGGCGGACGTTGGGCCCCCGACAGCGCGGGACAGCGGGCCGGGCCGGGCCGGGCGGGGACACCTGCGGGGCGCGAGGCAGGGTCCCTCAGGTTCCCTGTCAGTGCGGGACGCCAGGTCCCGAGACGTAGGGGAAACAGTCACCGGGCGGGGAGGGGCCTCTTAGGAGGCCGACGCGGGGGAGGGTCGGCTGCGCGTCCCCGAGTGGAGAGAACGCGACCGACCACAGCCCGGGACACGGTGCGTGGGCCGCGGCGCCCGCCGGACGGCGGTGGTGTCCTGGGGACGCCTGCAGCGCACAGCGCGGGGGCTTGGGTAGTGGTCCTGCTAGGGGTCCCCGGACCCCTCCTGAGAACAGTGCCAAGATGGTCGCCCCCACTCCGTGTGCGTGGAGTTGGCAGAGGCTGGCGTGCGCGGTCAGTGAAGGCAGCTGCCCCCGGAGCCAGAGCAGCCGTCGCAGGCCCGAGAAGGAGCCTCCACCGCCCTCCCTGCGCGGCCACCGACGCTCCGGGCTCGGCAGCCAAGGCGCCCGGGGACCCTCCAAAGGCAAGGCCGTCGGAATCGTCGGAATCGCCGGAATCGCGGTGCCACCTCCACGCCCGCCTGATGTGTTACGACCTTTGTATGCGCATGTAAAATCTGATTTAAGCTTTCTATAGAAAGTATAAAAATGACAAGTGTTTTTTATTGAACGTTGTTTTAAAGATTCATGTCGATACACGTAGCTTTAGGCCCTTCATTTTAGCCCCTGTACAATATTCTTATGTATGAAAATACAACTTCTGTATCCATTGTCTTGTGATCTAAAGATTCCCTAATTTTTTTGTTTCCGAAAATATAGCTGTTTTTCATTTAAAATGTTATGTTAATAAGTAATAGGTTTGCTATTTTCTAATTAGTTAATAAGTATTTGTAATTTCATTTTAATTTCTCATACGGTAAATATGAACAGATAGAACCCACGTACACAAAAGCTCTAGGGGGTCCTCGGTCACTGCTGAGAGTCCACAGGGCCCCAAGACCAGAGGTGAGGACAGCGGACATGAAGCACTGTCGTCACCGTGACGGTGTCACCACAGCCTGGCCGACCACTGCTCTGGGAAACCAGGAGAGAAAACGGAGAGAAAATCCAATCTGGCTCCCTGCGGAGGGGCCAGCAGGCAGGTGACACTCGTTCAGTCGTGAAAAGGCCACAAGCTGCCCCCAGACTGCACAGGGAAACCAACTTTCCAGAACCTGAAAGCGGCGCTTGCCTCAGGCAGCCTCACCGGGCCCCACCCAGCGCCTCCTCTCCTGCAGCCAGACAGCCTGTGTCCTGGGATGGCTCAGAGAAAGCTTTACACTTTCAATACTTTCTGTGAAAAACCTACAGTGAGGAAACAAGCTACAGGTGGCCGGGCACCGTGGAGGCCACTCCGCGTGCCCGCCGCAGCTGTGGGCCACGTGGATGCTGAATGTGCTGCACGCGCTGCGAGGGGCAGCTGTGGGGGACCTGCCAGCCCTCACTGGCAGAAGTGCACCTGACAGCCACACGCCCCAGCAGGAAAAGCAAGCCCAGCAGCTCTTGCTGAGCCTTGAGGCCTCGGTGAAAGGCAGGGGCGTGCAGCGACTGCAGGGCCCAAGGGCGGGTGCAACAAGAAAGTGGGCGAAGGACGCACCCAGACATTTCACCAAAGAGGCATACAGATGGCAAGACATACAGGAAAAGATGGTCCACATCACTATTCATAAGGGAAATGCAAATAAAACACTTCGATTAGAATGGGTAAAAAAAGGTTTTCTCCTTTCTCCAAGAACACTTGACAATACTGAGTGCTGGGGCGTCCTTGAGGTGGAGAATACAAATTGGCACAGCCATCTGAGAAAACGGTTTGGCAGGTGGTTTTTCTTGTTTTCTTTCTTTTTTAAAAATAATAGACTGTCCTTTGTTGTTGTTGTTTTTGGTGAGGAAGATTGGCCCTGAGCTAACATCTGTGCCCATCTTCCTCTACTCTGTACGTGGGACGCCACCACAGCATGGCTTCATGAGTGGTGTGTAGGTCTGCACCCAGGATCTGAACCTGTGAACCCCAGGCTGCCGAAGCAAATGCACAAACTTCACCACTACACCACCGGGCTGGCCCCTAGACTTTCTTTTTTTAGAGCAATTTTAAGTTCACACCAAAACTGAGCAGGAAGTACAGAGAGCTTCCACATACCCCTCCACACACACCAGTTGTGCGTTTGTTACACCCCATGAGCTACAGGGACACATCATATCACCCAGAGTCCACACTGACCTTAGGGTTCACTGCTGGTGTTGGACGACACCTAATGACATGGGTCCATCATTAGAGCATCACACAGAGCCGTTTCACTGCCCTAAAAACCCTCTGCTCTGCCTGGTCATCCCTCCCTCTTCCTTAACCTCTGGCAACCAATGATAACTGTTTTTCCATTTTTTAAAATTCTGGTAAAATACACATAATATTTACCATCTTAATCATTTTTTAAGTGTAGAGTTCAGTGGCAGTAAATGCATTTATAATGTTGTAAAACCATCCCCACCATCCATCTTCAGACTTTTTATTTTGTAAAACTGAAACTTGTCCCCATTAAACACCAACTCCCCAGCCCCCAGCCTCGGCCCCCACCATTCTACTTCCTGTCTCTGTGAATTTGACTCCTCTAGAGACCTCATGTAAGTGGAATCATACAGTATTTCTCCTTTTGTGTCTGGCTTATTTCACTGAGCATAACGTCCTCAAGGTTCATCCATGTTGTAGCAAGTGTCAGAATTTCCTTTTTATGACTGAGTAATACTCCATCGTATGGATGGACCACATTTGGCTTATCCATTCATCTGTCAGCGGACACTTGGGCTGCTTCAATGATTCAGCTATTGTGAATGATGCTGCTCTGAACACGTACATAATATTTCTTTGAGACACTGCTTTCTTTTGGGTAAATATACAGAAATGGAATTGCTGGATCCTATGGTAATTCTACTTTTAATTTTTTTGAGGAAGTGCCACACTGTTTTCCACAGTGGCTGTACCATTTTACATTCCCACCAACAGTGCACAAGGGTTCCAACTTCTCCACATCCTCACCAACACTTGTTATTTTCTGTTCTTTTGATAGGAGCCATCCTAATGGGTGTGAGGTGGTCTCTCGTAGCTTTGCTTTGCATTTCCCTGATGTTTAGTGATGCTGAGCATCTTTTCACGTGCTTATTGGGCATTTGTTTATCTTCTTTGGAGAAATGTCTATTCAAGCCTTTTGCCTATTCTTGGATCAGGTTGCTTCTTTTTGCTGTTTTTTGGATATTAATCTTAATCAGATGTATGATTTGCAAGTATTTTCTCGCATTCTGTGGGTTGCCTTTTTACTGATGATACTGTCTGATGCACAAAATTTTAAAATTTTCATGAAGTCCAATTTGTCTGTTTTTTCTTTTGTTGCCTGAGTCTTTGGTGACACATCCAAGAAACAAGTGCCAAACCCATTGTGGTGAAGCTTTTGTCCTATGTTTTCGTCTATGAGTTTATAGTTTTAGGCCTTACATTTGGGTCCTTGATCCATTTTGAGTTAATTTTTGTATGTGGTATGAGGTAAGGGTCCAACTTCACTCTTTTGCACGTGGGTTTCCAGTTCTCCCGGCACCACTGAATGGTCTTGGTACCCTTATCACTTGGCTATATTATGTTGATTGTGTTGGTGGTGACATGACAGTATGTATCTGTCAGCTGCACACAAGGGTGAACCACACTGTAGGGAAGGATTCAAACCCCACTTCCTTCACTTCCTGCTGTGAAGGGAAACCTTGGGCAAGCCCACCTTCCTGAACCTTCTTCTCCTCCTTGTGGGTTGGACTGGATGGTA